ATCTTGTTCTGTCTCTCTTCCTGCGCCCGCACGTGCAAATTACATCACTGCTGCAGCTCGGTTGTGCTGCACCCCCAACGCTAAACAGACAGGTTACGTTGAGCGGCCATCAGCTCCATTCTCCCTCTATCTACAATCCACCAAGCTGCACATTTCTGCTCCGTTTGGTGAGCAGCCTGACTCGCCTGCGCTGCTGCAAATTGGCTGATTCGTATTGTCCAGAAGCCGCTCCGCTCCATCGTCGACTACACGCGAGCATGGCCGCCCAGGCCAACGGAAGGGCAAAAAAGTCCAAAACCTCGCCAAATGGCAGTGCCAATGGCTCCACCGTCGTATCTGCCAATGCAAAGGCGAAGAATAATGCAGACCAGGCCCGCTCAGCCCGCTCAAGAAAGCCCCGACGGACTCTGATGGGAGCCTTTACGAGCATGATAGCACGGCTGACAACGTGGTACCTCATCATCACCTTGCTGTTCCGCTGCCCCAAGTCCATCACCCAGCTGCACGATGACTCTCCCCGCGTGTGCAAGCCATACCTCCAGACTCGGGACTTCGCCGCGCCCTATCTCGACCCCTACTACGAGACCTATGTCGTCCCCCAGCTCGACAAGGTCAAGCCCTACACAACGCCCGCCATCGCCTTTGCACAGGAGCAATACGCAACACACGGTGCACACAGGGTCGAGCTTGCGAGGAAGTATGCAGAAGCTCAATACGAAAAGTCCATTCGTCCTCAGCTGCAGAGCGCTCAGGAACAGGCCTGGGCACAGTACGACGTCCACCTGGGTCCGCACGTCAAGAAGGCGACCGACGCCATTGCCCCCCACTACAACGACCTCAAAGTCAGCTCGGAGGAAATCTACCACCATACCCTCTTCCCAGCTTATGAGCGTTCTCTTCCATACCTCAAACAGGGACATGCCTATGGCCACCACGCCCTCGTTGATATCGTCTGGCCCCACCTTCGCACTGCCCAAGAAACAGCCTGGACTTTTATCCAGCGCAGCGTCTGGCCCCAAATACGCATCCTGTACGGCGACAATGTTGAGCCCCAGCTAGTCCGCATCTCCGAGCGGCTAGGCCGCTACAAAGACCAGCAAAAGATGGAGTCTGCCATGTCTGCTGCTGGTTCGCAGGCGGCTACCTCTGTGGAATCTAGCAAGCATGCCCCCACCACGGCCAGCTCTTTCGCTTCTGTTGCCTCTCCCGGCTCCACCGAAGGGTCTGGCTGGGGTGTCCTTGACGACTTCTTTGGCAGCGAATCTGCGAGTACAGCCTCAAAGGAACTTGAACCAAAATCTTCAGCTAGCGTTGTCCCTTCTGCGCCTAAGCTCACCAAGGCCGAACTGCAGGAGAAGCTTAACAACGATCTCCGCCAGTGGCAGGATAAATTTACTGCCGCCGCAGACAAGGGTGCCGAAGATCTCGAAGTACGCGTAGAGGAAATCACGAATCACAAGATCAATGATGCTGTCAACGGCCAGGGCAAGGCCCTGCTCATCAAACTTGAGGAGACTGCTGATGCAACCATTACCAAGCTCAAGAGCTACATCAAAAAAACTGTTGCCTCTCTCCCTGAAGACGCCTCAGAAGCCGACCTAGAGGCTGCATACGATGATTGCAGTAAAAAGACCCGTGAATTCGGCCTTACGGTCAAGGAACGCGCCCAAGATATCCGTGATTGGAAGGTGTCGTATGACCAAGAGACCGACAATCTAGTGAGAGCTGCAGTAAGAAGTACTGTTGAGGTTCTAGAAAAGATCCATAGCCTTGGCCTTCAAGAGGTTGGCATGCGATGGGTATGCTGTGGCCCCAAGAAGTTAACTCCCTGACGAACTCCGCTGACAAAACATCGTAGGCATGGACTGATGGCGTCACATACCAAGACTGGCAAAACTATCACAAGTTGAAAAACACGCTCATTGAATGGGAGAGTGAAGTTGAGGCTGTTGGGTCAAGACATGACGGTCTTCGTGTTGCTCACGAGGAAGCTAAGAAGCTCGAGGACAAGGCCATGAAAATTGCATCGGACATGGTCGCGGAGTTGGTTCGCCTAAAGGACGTTTCCAAGTCAAAGATTTGGGCTGGTGATGCCAGCGATAATTTCTCCGACAAAATCTTTGCGCCTCGCATCCGAAATGCTGCCCAACAGGTCATGGAGAATGCTGAAATGGCATCAAGCTATGTTTCTGAAGCTATTCAAGGCAGCTCCACCCCACTCAGTGAGAGCATCGCCTCTTCTGCCGCAGAAATGTACTCGGATGCATCCTCTCAAATATCTGAGGCTATCCAGGGCAGCTCAACACCGCTTGCGGAAAGCGTTGCATCCTCTGCCAAGGAAGCAGCATCCGAGGCATCATCCCAAGCTGCTGAAGCAGTTGAAGCAGCCTCAACCGCACTCGCTGAGAATGTAATAGCGCCTGTAGGGGATGCAGCGGCACAAGCGTCCTCTGGAGTCTCTGAGGCTGTCTACGGTACACCATCATCCGAAAGTGTGCTATCTCAGGCCTCTTCTGTAGCCTCACAGGTAGTCGAGGAGGTTTCTGCAAAGGCTTCTGAAGCCTATGAGGCGCCAAAGAAGGTGTTTGGGGGTGCCAATGCCCAGATTCTTGCTGAGGCCAAGCAGGTCGTATTTGATCAACCTCTTGACGACGACGATGAAGATGACACATACTCTGAAAAGGCACAGGGAGTATTGGCGGATACGGGAGACCGAGCTGCTCAGTTGAGTCGTGCGGTCAGCGAAGCGCTTTTGGGACCATCAAAGACGCAAGGCAGCATCGAATCAGCCTCGTCGATTGCAAGCGAACAATACGCCAAGGCACTCGCCGCTGCCTCAAGCGTGCTATATGGAACTGAGAAGCCCGCTGTTGAGAAAGCTACTAGCGTCGCTGCCGACAAGTATGCGCAGGCTGTTACCGCAGCATCATACGCCATCTTCGGCACGCCAGCTCCTACTGCTGTCATTCAGACAATTCATATCGAGGCGAGCTCACGCTACAACGATGCTGTCAGCGCTGCGAGCAAACAGTTTGAAAATGCCAAGGCTCAATTGTCCATGCTGATTTCGGGCGAGCCCCAACCTGCACACCAGACGATGCTCTCATACATCGAGAAAGCCTATTCCGATTCTGTTGCAGCAGCGAGTGAGCGTTTGTCAAACGCTGTGCAGTATACCCAGTCCGTAAAGAACTACGCAGTTGGCCCGCAACAGGGGTACTTTGAGTCAGTTTCCTCCATTGCTGCGTCCCGGCTCTCGGAAGGTCTGAGTCAAGCATCCGCCCAATTCCTTCCCCAGTCGACTGGTGTTGCTGATGGTGCTCGACGACAGTACTACGAGGCTATCGGCCTTGCGCACGCTCGGTACTCTGAATTCGTTGACGCCGCTTCAAGTGCTGTCAACGGCCCCCAACAAGGCACTGTGGAGTCTCTGGCTTCAGTTGCTTCGGCCTCGGCTGCTTCTGCTGCTTCCTATATCTCCGATTCAGCGGAGTCAGCCGCCTCGCAAATCAGCTCCAGTATCATCGGTTCGGAGACACCCTTGACAGAGTCTGTCGCATCGCAAGCCAGCAAGAACTGGGAGGCGCTGATTTCACAAGCAAGCAACCAAGTCTATGGCCAACCCACGCCCTGGGCACAGTCTATTTACTCCCAAGCCGGTGCATATGGCGCACAGGCTACTGAGGCTGCTGCTAAGCAATACGCTGATGTTCAGGCTCTGATTTCCGAACTTGTAGTTGGCAAGGAACCCGATTTCACGGAAAGCGTCATGAGCCGTTTTGCTTCGGCATACTCTACAGATCTACCCGCGGCTATCGCGTCTGCCCAATCGTATGCTGGCGATAGCTACGATGCGGTGACTGATGCAGCTGCTGATGCATACGCCTCTGCTACTTCTGTTGTTGGCGCAATCTTTACACCTCCAGCTGTTATCGAGGACGTACTGAGTCAGGCCAGCGCTTCTTTGGATCTGGCTGTCGAAAGCGCATCTATTGCTCTGTATGGAACGCCCAAGGGTGCCGCTGAACAAGCTAGCGAGTCCGTGGCCAGCGTATACTCATCTATTCAATCTCAAGTCAGCGCCAAGGTCTACGGAACCCAGGCAGCTCAAGACAGCTTCTCAGCGGCCGCACTTTCTGCGCAAGCGGCTATTAGCGAGGCCATCTTTGGTACCCCTACCGCGGGTGATTATGTGGCTTCAGTCACTAGCGGTGCTGGCGAAGTATACAGCTCACTGTCCTCTGCCGCCAGCTCAGTAGTGTATGGCCCCGAGCAAGGAGCCATGGAGAGCGCCAACCGTCGCATTTCCGACGCCGTTGCTGCTGCCAACAGCCGTATTTCAGAGATGTACGCCGCCGCCTCTGCAAGTGCCGAGGACGCAGCCAGCAGTCTATCCAGTGCGGCCACCAAGGTGACAAAAGCCACAAAGGATGAGTTGTGAGGTGTCACCTTGGCATGGTAGCCTTGCAGTAGCTCGACAAGATCGACATTTACACAGTGGAATGAATGAAGAGATGAAGAAGTGCGTTGTATGGGGAGGAGATTTTCTTTTTTCTTTTTTGCGGAGCTCTAAGCACCCTCGAGGGTAGTGGTAAAGCACTCACACGTTACCTACTACACTTTCGCTATGACACGACATGAATTGTACCATCTATATCTATCCCATTTTTCCTAAATTGTTCCTAGATGGACAAATGGCCTGCAAGTAAGGAAGAGAGAAAGACAAGGGTTCAGTTGATCTGGACCAGTAGGGAGTAAGCTTGGGAACTTGGGAAACTCGGTAGTAATGCTTATATCATGTAACCTATGAAGAGAGCCCCAAAATACGGATTATTCTAGTTATGCTTTTTCTCTCTTTTTTTCTTGGTCTCTAATTGAGTAAGGGAGGGAAGGAGGGGGGGTTCAATAGAATGATATATACCCTTTTTTTCTCTATTTCAATCTCCATGTCTTGATTCGTCTAGGAACATAGTGAAAAAGAAAAGAAAACACAACACTTTGGCATGAGAAACAAATTCCATCTGTGGTTGTTTCAATCTGATTTGATTCATTGTTATTGGATTGACTACATACAATACACGTACACATGATGAAAACGTGCTTAATACTTCATATTCGTTGTTCCCATTTGGACATCCCAATCGTACCGACATTAACGGGGGGTATTTTCCACCAACATTCCATCATCCACCTCTTCTTCTTTTCTCTCTCGAAAAGAAAAGCAAACCAGACCTAAAAAAAAGGAACAATCAATCGTAAGAAAGAGATGAAGGAGGAAGAAAAAAGAAGAAAAGTCGCTTCATGCCAAACGCCAAAAAACACCTATGCATGTTCCTCTCCAGCTGAACTTGGCAGTGATTGTTGAGGAGCTTTAATCACTATCGCTCAAACTATCCCTTCGGCCTACAGCCCTTACACCACCGCGACGATACCCATCCATAACGTCCCTACCGCCCCTCTCACGGCGATTTGTTGGCACACCGACCTGCGAGACGCTTTCCATGGGGTGCACGCTACCAGCCTGACTCAGACCGGGGATATGGCACGGATAGCTCATGTGGCCGTGCGAATCTCCATTCGCAGTGGTGAAGATATCCGAGGAAGGAGGCGCAGGACGCGAGGAGCGGTGCTGTCTCCTTGACGACTCGGAGGGGGGGCGGGAGCGGGATCCAGAGGGGCGGGGGCGAGATGAGGAGGATGGGCGGGCGGAGCGCGAGGAGCGGTCGCCGCGGTCTGTAGAGGGGCGGGCGGAACGGGAGCGGGGGGCGTGCTTGTTGGGGTCTGTGTAGAGGGAGGGATCGGCGTTGGGGCGGTAGTCGGAGTAGTAGCTTGATTCTGTGACTTCGGTGGGGGCAGTGCGCGAGGATTTTGCAGGGGCTTTGGCGGGGGGAGAGTCTGGGTCGTTGGTGTTGACGCCCGTGTAGACGGTTTCGGTGTCGTCGCCGGTGGTGAAGGAGTAGGCTGCTGAGGGAGGTGCACGGCGGGGACCGTTGGGGCCCTTGCTGGTTCTGGTGGGAGCGCGGGTTGGGGTGGTGTCAACGACAGAGGGAGCGGTGTACTCGGTGTAGGCGCGTGTGTACTCGGATTCAGCTGGGTGGTACTCGATCATGGGGCGGCTGACTTCGGCCATCTCGGGGGCTTCAGAGGGTGCACTGTTCTTCCTGGATCGCTTTTGCTCGTCCTTGAGGCGTTTGGCTTCGGCTTTCTGTTCTTCCTTACGGGCTTTGGCTTCGGCAGCTTCCTTCTTTGCGGCTTCCTTTTCAGCGGCCTTGGCCTTGCGCATGCGTTCCTTTGCTCGTTGCTCTTTGGCCTTGGCCTCCTTCTTGGGATCCTTTGGTTCTTTCAGTTCTTTTGGTTCTTTCTTGACGAGGGGGACGTTGCTGGAGACTTGGGAGCCGCCGACTTCAGAAGGTTGAGAGCCAGAGTAGTCGGTGTACTTGCCATCGCCGACACGGTTCAGACCACCAACACGGGCAGCCTTCTCCTCGCGGTACTGACGGAGCTCAGGGTCGTTGTAGTCATTGGTGTGGTTGCGGCGGTGCTTCTTCTTGTGCTTGCGTCCGTCACCGCCACGAAGGCCGGCCTCGCCCTTTTCAGCGTCGGCATAGGTGCTTGAAGTGACGGTAGTGCCACTCTCATCCGTGTAACCAAGATCGCTCTGAGCACCAAAGTAGCTGCCACCGTGAACAACACTGCCACCACCGAGTCTGGTGCTCTTGGTAGCGTTGGAGAGAGTCTTGCCGTCGGGTCCCTTGCGTCGCAGCACTGTAGATTTGTAGTCTTCCCAGTCACCCTCACGCCATTTGAAGCCGCCGTTCTTGGCCCAGAAGAAGAACCAAATGGCCATAAAGGCCATTCCAATGCCAATGATAGCGAACAGGGCCTGGAAGCCAGGACCGGCGAGATCGAGCGGTGGCTTTGCTCCAGCCGAAGCAAGTTGCCTGTACGGGTCTTCACGCTTGGCCAGAGACTTTGCTTGCTGCAAAGCATTCATAGCCATGGGAGAGAGTGCATTGGCAGCAATCTCGGGATGGGGCGCCATGGTGGGCGAGCGGGTAGTGTTTGTGTTCTCACCGATACAAGGTGGGTTGTGTCGGACTTGAAAACAGCGAGTGCAACTAGCAACAAAACAGTCAGGTTGATGTTCTAGCAGAAAATAAGGATGGGTAAGTTTTTGTGGTTATGGGGGTTAGGAGAGGAGCAGTCTTCTCCAGGGACTTTTGGTTTGGCTGGAGAGGCCAGTAGTCGAGTGGCTGGAGAGGGCAAATGCAGGTGGTTAGGAGGAGGCTGGGGAAGCGAGCCGACGTCACGCCTCGCCCAAACAAACCGTTGATGCAGCAACAGCACGTTCCCTGCCACACCACTGCCACGCGGCAACCAGTAATTGATGAGAAGAGAACGCCTAGACTGCAGTATCCAGGTACCATCCCGATGCACTGCGCCAATCATAGTTGTAGCTAATGCAGCGGTCGGCTTTGTCGTTGTCACCAGCGACCGCTCTTTCGCAGCGGGTGCGGGTACCACGGCGGCCCATGGCACCCTGCAGTACTGCAAGGTCCCTCGCGGCAGCCTTAGATCTTCCTCTGCCCAACATTTTTTATTTTTGCTACCATGGATTTGCAATGGTTTGTATTGGCTGGTATGGGCAATCTGAAGTGGCTAGATATAGTATGTTTAGTCAATCAAGCAGGAATCAAGAAAGCGTCTTTGGCGCTAAAGCTTGAAAACTGCTTCCTGCGTCTCAGAATGTCGAAGAAAGATTGCGTTTAATACTAGAATAGTCTTCCATGTTTAGGAGTTACTTTTGGTTTTGGAGAGATTCGGAATGGATTTATTCCGTCTCATATGAACAGATGCGAAGCCCTGCAGAAGGAGTTCAGGGTCTTGGCGTATTTCATCACGGCTTGCCCTCCACCTGAATCAAGTCAGTAACCATGCGCAAGGCTAATTGCATGTTGACATGTGTATTCCGTCATCTGTTAACCTGAGAACGATATTCTGCTCATCTGTTCTTGAGAGGTTCTCTTTATCTCCCTAGAAATGTAGATTCTAGATTTTGACATGTTTCAAGGCGTAGGGCGTGCGGCTAGTCGTTCAACGGCTTGGTTCACAATCGAAATTCGAATGTGCTCGAACATCAGTCATCTTTGATAAATATAAATTATCCTGAGATTGTACATGTGTTAAAACAAGAGCAATCACTTAGCTCTTTAGGTATCTTCAAAAATGGCTACGCAAACGGAGGAGACTATGACCGAGGTCCTCGAGCTTCACCAACGGCCCAAGCCCGCACCGATTCCATATACACCAGGACCACTTGGAGAAACTCCATCTATTAACCATGGCATGTTCGATACTGAATCATCTCTACCATCTCCGGAATCCACCTCCAAACCGACAATCCTACGCACTTTCGTCACAATCTTCACACCGTCTTTCGTAGGATTCATGGCCAGTTTCACCAACGGCATCATCACTGTCGGCCTCCCAATCATAGCGCGTTCCATTTCTCTCGAGCGATCTCTATACCTATGGCCTTCGTCTGTCTACGGACTGACGTCGGGTGCTGCCTTGCTCACAGCAGGCTCCATTGCCGACATTGTTGGTGCCAGACCCGTTGAACTTGCTGGTATCACACTCCTTGGTCTTCTCACCCTACTATGCGGATTTGCGCAGTCAGGCGCTCAACTCGTTGTTTTCCGTGCTCTTCAAGGTGTTGCATTGGCGATGCATCTGCCAGCTTCTGTGGCTATCATAACGGGGGCTGTACCATCTGGAAGAGCGAGGAATCTGGGGTTTGCCTGTCTGGGGTTTAGTCAACCACTTGGGTTTGCTGTTGGCCTTGTGCTTAGTGGTATAATGATTGAGAGGGCTGGATGGAGGTCGGGCTTCTACCTGGCTGGAGAATGTACTCTAGCCATTGCTGTTGCTGCCCTGTGGACACTGCCAAAACTACCATCTCAGAACAACGACGGTGTAGTCGCTTTATCGAAGAAGGTGGGTAAGGAGATAGACTGGGTGGGCGCTATTATTTCCAGTGGTGGTCTGGCTATTCTTGCCTACGTTCTAGCGTAAGTCACTTCATGATCCATCACTACCTTATACTCACAGCATATAGTATCATCAGCGCAGACCTCACAAGCATCCGTTCAGCATCGACAGCCTCCCTCCTCGCCATCAGCATCCTCCTCCTCGCCGCCTTCCCGCTATGGATGCACTACCGCGAACGCACCGGAAACCCAGCTCTCGTCCCCAACAAACTCTGGAAGAACCTCCCCTTCACCAGCACCTGCATCATGGTCGCCCTATCCTACGGCGTCATGAACTCCATCGAGCTCTTCTCCAGCCTCTAGTACGCCACACTATACCCTCTATCAATTCAATTGCTAACCACAGCACTAGCTTCCAAGAAATCCAACATGCCTCCACACTAACAACCTCACTCTACCTCCTCCCCAACCTCACCACCGGCGTCCTCATCAACATCCTCGTAGGCCTCTTCATTCACCGCGTCCCCGCCCGCTGGCTCGTCGCCGGCTCAGCCCTCATCTGCGCCTTATCGCCTCTCCTCATGGCCCTCGTACCGCCGGCCTGGAGCTACTGGAAACTTGCCTTTTGGGCCCAGATCTTCGCGCCGTTTAGCGCAGACGTGTTATTCACCGTCGGTCTCATTATCGTCAGTGATAATTTTCCTGAAAAGACACAGGCGCTGGCGGGCGCGGTGTTTAATACTGTGGCGCAGTTTGGTATGAGTTTGGGCATGGGGAGTTGTCAAGTTGTGGCGTTGGGGGTGCAGGGTCCTGTTAGTGGTGGTGGGGAGGGACATGGAAGTGGACATGGTGGGGGGAGTGCATTTGAGGATCAGGATGAGGGAGCGGTGCTGAAGGGGTATAGAGCCAGTTATTGGCTCATGTTTGGGTATATGGTGGTGTGCATGGGGATTGCGGTTGTGGGGTTGAGGAAGGCGGGTAAGGTTGGACTGAAGAAGGAGTGAAAGGACTAGAAGACTGCTTCCATGTACTGTAATGTGTCGTATGTACCACCTACCTCGCATGCAGCACTTTCAGCACCTCCTCAGCCCACATTCTGACATCGATCCGTACTCCACAGCTACACCCGGTCCCCCCAGTGCCAAAGGGGAAGGTCACATACCACTTCACCAATCGCGTCACCACTACCACTCCAGCTTCGACAGCATACGGGCCCACACATACAGTATCCCCCGCAAGTCATTCGCACGTCGCAGGCGTAGTCTACATGTTGCGCGTTACCCAATGTGGCAGTTGGCTGGCCTGCCACGGCGCAAATCCCCTGCAGATCACCATCTAGGCGCATAAGGCTTGACCTGGCCCACCCAGGCTTATCTCGCAGTAAGCAACGATATTAACCACCTGCGCGCCATGTCCCCCAATACCTACTCAGATTATGGCAAACCAGCTTCCCAAGCAAGGTTGCTGCCCCGGCCAGCGGCCAAGGCCAGTCGGGCAGGTGTGAGGGAATGGTAGGCTGGCGAAGGCCCAATGTGGAATGAGGCCGTCGTACTGCATCGGTGGGGGTGTACTTTTGTCATGGTAGCACTTTTCATTTTGTTTCAAGGCGTTTATATATATTAGAGGGTAGGTGAAGCCTGAGTGTGTTCTTTCCTCAGGCCACGCTTCTCCCTCTCTTCTTTCACTCTTCAGTCTTGCAGCCATGAAGCTCCTCAGCGTCACCCTGGCCTCGCTGGGCCTCGCCTCCGCCGCCACCGTTGCCAAGAAAGTAAACTACGACGACTGGAAAGTCGTCCGTGTCAATGTCGGCGCAAACGCTGCCAAGCTCGAGAATGTAATGAGCAAGTTGCAGCTTGAGCTGTGGAAGGGCAAGCCTGCGTCTAGCGATGTCGTCGATGTCATGGTGCCACCGTCGTCGGTCAAGGACTTTGAGGCTCAGACTCAGGGTTTCGAAACAAAAGTCATGCATGACAATCTTGGCCTTTCTATCGCAGACGAGCAGAGTTTTAGCACATATGCCGGTACGCTTGTTTCCCGCCCAGTAAATTGAAAAGGTGACATGGGGGGTTGCTAACTCCGTCAGCTGGTCTTGCACCGAACGCGACGTGGTTTAACTCCTACCACTCCATTGCCGATCACATGCAATGGATTACCGATCTTGCGGCTGCATACCCCAAGAACGCAGAAGTCATTTCTGCAGGCAAGTCGGTTGAGGGCCGTGATATTAAGGGTATTCACATCTGGGGTAGTGGTGGTAAGGGATCTCAGAAGGGTGTAGTATGGCACGGCACTGTACACGCACGTGAATGGATCACTACAATGGTAAATTTCCCAGTCTTTCCAAAACAAAATAAATCGAAGTCAATGAGGAATTATGCTAATGTATTCACAGGTTGTCGAATACGCAGCATACCAACTTCTCACCTCCACCGACGCTACGACCGCCGGCTTCAAAAACTCGTACGACTTCTACATCTTCCCCATCGTCAACCCCGACGGCTTTGCCTACAGCCAAACCACCGACCGCATGTGGCGCAAGAACCGCCAGACCACTCCCAGCGCCTCATGCGTGGGCCGGGACATCAACCGTAAGTTCTTCCCCCTTCCAAAGCCGCATAAAATAACTAACTCCCAAAAAGGCAACTGGCCCTCCCACTGGAACCAACCCAACGGCGCCTCCACCTCCCCCTGCGACCAAGACTACAAAGGCCCCTCGGCCGGCGACGGCGTAGAAACCAAAGCCCTAAAAGCGCACCTCGACAGCATCGCCGCCGGCAAAGGCATAACCCTCTACATGGACATCCACGCCTACAGCCAACTCTGGATGTACCCTTACGGCTACACCTGCTCTGGTGCTCTCCCCAGTGCCGCAAAGTACTCTTCGCTGACGAACGGTGCGATTGCCGCGGTGAAGGCAGTGCATGGAACTGCCTTTACGGGAGGCCCGATTTGCAATACTATCTATCAGGTTAGTGGCGATAGTGTGGATTATGCATTCGAGGTCGCCAAGGCGACGTATAGTATGACGGTTGAGTTGAGGGATACGGGTAAGTATGGGTTTGTCCTGCCGAAAGAGCAGATTGTGCCGAGTGCGGAGGAGATGTGGGCTGGGTTGAGGTATTTGGTTAAGAATATGTAAAGGTCTTAGGGGACAAGGAGGATGTATGTATATATGAGTGTAGGGATGTTTTGTGGGCTTCTGGAAGATTTTGAGAGGGATAGAGCCCAATGCGTAGATATTTCTATAGGATGAAAAAAATCTTGAGAGTAAGAGCCCATTAGCTTCTTGAAGAAATTCTGTTGTTGGTATCATTTTATGACCTTGATAATCGGAGGAGAGGAGAGGAGAAAAGAAGGAAAAAAGGCATGACTATATCGCCCAACGTACCATGAAGGAAACTTGGAAAATCGATTGGTAATACTACCAGAAATATGCAAACCTCTCAACGGTTATGTACCCATTTGGTACACCTTTATTAGGTACGACAATTGAATTAATTACGGTTACCACGAAGGTAGTAGAATAGCGAACAGCGAACTGCAGTTACGATAAAGGTAATAAGATAGCAAGCTATGGTTGCGATAAGACAGCAGCATAACGAACTATGGTTGCAGCAAAGACACACAGTGTAGCAAAGCGCTCCGATGCCCATAAATTCGCCATATCGTCCGTCCGTCTCTCCCATCTCATCACCACTGCGCATTCATTTGAACTCGATCTCGCCTCTTATCACCGCCACGAATTCATTTAACCTCCATCTCGACTCCTACCAACGCAACGTCGACCTTCTCTTCGTAGCTCTTGCCCCCATTTTCTCTTCACCAACCACCAATCAAGACGAACTACATCTCCAAACTGCGATACCATTCTTCTACTATACCATCAACCGCGAACAACAAGCACTTTGCACAAAAATGAATCTCCTCCTTGTCACCACCGCCCTCCTCCTCTCCTTCACCAAACCTGCCCTCTGCTCCCTCGAGCGCCTCGCCCACCTCCCCGAGTGCACCGCTTCAACCGCCGGCCTTACCCTCTGCGGCGCAGCACCCAGCTACATCAACGACGTCTTCCAGTGCAACAACCACACCCTCCGCTGGGACCTCGTCCACACATGCACCTCGCCAAACGCCCCTTGCTCAAACGCCATATGCACGCCTCTCATGGACCGCTGCGAAGAATCAGCCACCCAATGCGCGACACTGCACTCCCATGGCTATGACGGCGTCGCCGTGTGCCGGGCTGGTAAATGGGAGATTAGGGATTCGTGTGCGTGTACTATGGATGGGGCGAGCGGAGCCCGGTGTGTGGCTCCTCAGGGTGGTAATGCGGAAGACATGGCGAGGCCGAGGGCGTGCAAGAAGGGAGACCTTGTTTGTTTGGCGGAGAATACCGAGGGCAAGGATGGGAGCGTGTTTCGGTGTAATCAGTACGGGATGTGGAGGATTGTGCAGAATTGCTCCAAGTGGGAGAGGTGTGTTGACGAGCCTACGCCGCATTGTCAGTGGTATTGAGGGGGTCTTGGTTATGTTTGCGGGGATGCTGTTTTGGAGTCAAGTCTTTTGGTGATGACATGAATAGGGCGAAGGATTTTTTCTCCTGGGGCTCGAAAGCAGCGTCTTTGTTGACGCCCATTCGAATCCTTTTACTTTGACTGCAAGGCCATGTTTTTTGATCCCCGATTCCGGCAGGTTGGGGTGTGGCCTACCCTCCTTCTCTGAGATAATTGATCCGATACGCTATAGCAAACAGATATAAAAAAAGTCAAGACATAGAAAAATGGATTTGGTAAGTTGATGGTTGATGTTGATGGTAGAAGTGCTTGGGTGGAAGAGATGCAGCTGGGTAAGGCTGTTTATGTACTCGGGGAGGGAGTCTCTGCAACTACCCGTTTGTTGTCATTGACGTTGTGCTGCAGTTGCACCCGACAGGCACGTGGCCTGTCACTTCTCTCTGTGTTGTGATACCAAGGTCAAAGTGATAGGAGTGTTGCCGCTACACCGTATCGCGTGCTGCAGTAACGCCGTTTGTATAAAGGTGAAAAAACAATGAGATGATAGTTCTTTCACTTCGAGGTACAATCAGGTTTTGAACAAAGACATGGCAGTGACACTCCCGTTTTCGGAAACTGTATCGCAGTTGGGCATTCACATACCAGAAAATCAACAGCACTGACACCCCGGTCCGTTTGTATTATATGAATAACCAAAAATTCGTATAAAACTTCATCTTGTCCATGGAAGGGGTATAATTTGTTGCTGTAGCATGTAATCCGCTACAGCATCTAAGTAAAAAGGGTCTAGTAATTGAGCAAGTACCGCAAGAACTGAACCCTTCATCTCTGCCTAGCCCAAGCGATTTCCATCACGCTGTCTTTCCGCCACATGAAATTTCGTCATCGTCAAAGCATCAACGACGCCAAGGCGCCACGCCATGTCTCTCATTGAGCATTGGCAGCAGCAGCAGGTTCAGTAACATTCTCTCCGCCAGTCTTAGCATTTTCTTCAGACCCTGTAGCAGTGACGTTGGCAAAGTGCACCTTGCGGTCTGAAGCTTCCGAGATCCTTCTAAGCTCGGTGACGAAGGACTCGCCCCACCAGGCACTAAGAATTGTTAGATTTAGTCTGATGATAAATGTTAGTTGGAAGACTCACCTAGTGTATTTGCGGACGTATTTTGATAGCTTCTGGTAGTTTAAGCTACGTTGCTCGTCGCCCATTGTGACTGCATCATGGATTGCATCCGCCAGCTCTTCAGTGTTCCATGGGTTGACAATGAGACTGCCGTTCAAGCTCTGAGCAGCACCAGTGAACTCTGAGAGGATCATGACGCCATGTCGCTTCTCTTGTGTCGCAATGTACTCGTAGGAGACCAAGTTCATACCGTCGCGCGTTGAAGAAACAAGGCAGACGTCTGAAACGGCATAGAGTGCGATGAGCTCGTCAAAAGAGACGGACTTGTGCATGAAGTGGATGGGCATAAACTCAATGGTGCCAAACTTGCCGTTGATGCGACCAACAAGCTCATTGACAACAGCCCGAAGATTTTGGTACTCTTCGACGTCTTGTCTGGAGGGAACAGCGACTTGGACAAGCACAACCTTGCCAATCCATTCAGGGTGTTCGGTGAGGAATACTTCAAGAGCATGCAGCTTCTGTGGTACACCCTTGATGTAGTCAAGACGGTCAACACCAACAATCAGCTTCACGCCTTGGAACTTCTTCTCGAGAGCCGCTATCCGCTCCTGCACCTTTGGCTTCTGAAGACCCTCGTCGAACTTTTCTGGGTCGATACCGATAGGGAAAGCGCCCACGGTTACGACCTTGCCTTGGAACTCAACGCCGTTTGGAGTTGTAGCCAGACCGCTGCTGCGTGTTAGCACAATCTCCAAATTTACATAGAGAAGATACGTACAGAATGCGAGAGCAACTGCTCAGAAAGTGGCGGGCATAGTCGTAGGTGTGGAAACCAATGAGATCGCAGTGGAGGACACCAAGCAGGATCTCGTTACGGACGGGGAGGATTCTGTAAATCTCGGAGCTGGGGAAGGGAGTGTGCAAGAAGAAACCAATCTTGACATTCTTCTTTGTGTCGCCAAGCTCTTCTCGCAGCATAGATGGCATGAGCATCAGGTGGTAATCGTGCACCCAGACCATGTCGTTATCTTGTACGTCTTTTGCGACAGCCTTTGCGAACAGACGGTTGGCCTCGGTGTATGCATCCCAGGCGGACTCGTCAAAGGTGATCTCACCGGGGTGGTAGTGGAACAGCGGCCACATGATTTCGTCTGCATATGGTTAGTTTTGGCAGTTATGCAGCTCGCCAGTGTGGTCTCACTTGAGAAGCCGTTGTAGTGTCGGTCTGCAAGCTCGTCGTCGAGCATGACGGGCACGGCATTGTACTTCTCCTTGAGCTGGTCGTTCAGGCCCTTGGCCTCGTCTTCTGGTACCTCGAGTCCGGGCCAGCCATACCACTGGAAGGTCGTCGTCTTTGCCAGGCCGCTCAGGCCACTGACCAGTCCACCAGAGGACATGGACATGTCGTACTTGCCCTCATCTGAGCGCTTGATAGTAATGGGAAGACGGTTGGAGACGAGGAGCAGGCGTCCTTCCGAGGCCTCGGGCCTTACAAGCCGTGTGGGTTCGTCGGGCATCTTTCTGAAGTTTGCGCGGAAACTGTATGGAGGGGCAGTGGACTGAACGAGGGGACCAGATGGTCCGATTGCTGGAGATGAAGGTTTATTTACAGCGGGAATAATCAGGCGAGGTCAGCACAGCAAGCGTGCGGGACAGCTTGTGACGGCGGCAGGTGAGGGGTGTGACAAGTGCTCGCAGGCGCGAGAGGGGAGGGATTAGTGTTTTTCAGCCGCGGTGTTGGGTGACGAAAGTATGATAATAAACAGGGCCCGCCGAGTGCAAGTGGGTTCTCGTAGGTTCCGAGCTCTGGCTCCTACATATACTTTCTACCTGCCGTACCGATGGAGAGACGGTGCGCGACAGGGCCAGATGCAGACGGAACAGGGGCCAAGGATGAACGAGACTAGGGCTCTAGGGCGGTGTGGTAGTGGGCAATGGGAAAAGAATCAGATGAGGCTGGTAGAGTGGGATTGTCAAAAGCTGCGAGCGTTTGTGACGTCGGCCGTGGAGCTGCCCGCCGCGTGGGCGGGGCATCCCTACATAAGTACAGAGCGTGGCTAGTCCTGCCGCCCAACAAATGCCGCCTTTGCCTTGAAGCTGCAAGAGGATGAGGGGGATATCACGGGCTACGTACTATATTTCTATCGTCTATTTCTACCAAACATAATTGACCAGCGCATTGGGCGGTCTTAGGGCCTGCCAGCCAAAGTGTGTGGCAGCACCATTTGCTGCGGGGCTGCCTGATGCGAATCGACACAATTCCATGTCTCCGCCATGTCACGTGAACGCCCCATGCCATACTAGGCGATAAGCTGCCGTCAAGCTCCCGCGCCTTGTCGCGTCCATACTATCGGCGGCCATCCAACATCACCAACAAACACAGCCCATCATGTCTGATTCAGAGGGCGGAAGACCTTCCGAGGCAACAATCACCAACAAGCTGCGCGACATTGTCATCGCCATCCACAAGTCTGGCAAGACGGATGACTTGACCGTCAAACGCGTTCGGGCGCGCGCCGAGAAGGAGCTAAGCCTAGATGACGGCTTCTTCAAGACCGACGCGAGCTGGAAGGAAAAGTCGCAAAAGACAATTGTAGATGCAGTGGTCTGTAACAGCAGTAGCCGTGGCATTGACCCATCTAAGACGCAATCTAGGACAAATTCTGTAGTGATGAACCCTCACCGCAGCCCACCCCCAAGAAGGCAGCACCCAAGCCGAAAGCGAAGCCTGCCCCAAAGAAATTCAAACCTGCTACCGAGAGCCCTCGCGGTGTAAAGCGAAAAGCTGCTGCGCCTGCGAAGAAGCCCAAGAAGCGCGCCAAATCTGAGTCTGAAGAGTCCGAGGCCGACCTCTCGGAACCTCCTGCTGAAATATCCGACGCTGAGAGCGAACCGCCAAAGAAGCCCGCAAGGCGCGGTAAAAAGATTGTCGCAGAAGACTCGGACGAAGAGGATGCGCCCGAGCCATTGTCAAAGCCCAGTGCCGCCGCTGATGATGACGAGGAGGTAGAGACTGCACCCTCAAAGGCGTCAGACACAAAGGGAGACGTATCCGACAGCGACCTTTCAAGCGTCATTGACGAGGAACCCGTCAAGAAGAAGAAAAAGACTCTAGCAGCGAAAGGCAAGAAAGAAAAGACTCCACCAAAAGCGAAAGCAACACCCAAGTCCAAGACCCAGGACGATCCCGATACTGCGGAGGTTAAGCGCCTACAAGGTTGGTTGGTCAAATGCGGCATCCGCAAGGTCTGGTCTCGCGACCCAGAACTCTCAAAATGCGACACATCCAAAGACAAGATCCGCATCCTCAAAGGTTGGCTGAAAGACGTCGGTATGGATGGCAAGTATTCCAACGAAAAGGCTGCAAAGATCAAGGAGAAGAGGGAGTTTGCAAAAGATCTTGAGGCTATCCAAGAGGGTGAGCTAGCATGGGGAAAGACAAACGAGGTTACGGCCACTGGAAGGCCAAGCCGGAGAGCTGCTGCAAGGCCAGTGCCCCAACAAAAGGTTGTGCTTGAAGACGACAGTGAAGAAGAGGATGCTCCTGAAGGTGATGATGACGACGACGACGATGATGACGATGATGTTGAAGTTGACTCAGGCGACGATGATGACGGCGACAAGAGCGAGGATAGTGCAGGTGACGACTCAGACTAATCATTCTTGCCTGATTCTGAGCATGATGTTCTCTTTTCCAGCTCTTCATACATGTAGCTTAGCTTCTCCTCAGCGTGTTCGTTTATTGATACCCACGAACAAAATCCCAAACATTTCTTTTCAATCAATCAGCCAGTCTTGTTCCATGTTAGATACTGTAGTTTTCCCTGCAAAGAAAGTGATTGAGAGAAGACAGGTTTTCAAGAATGCTGGATGATCAACTCAAGGTAGGGGCTCTTTTCTGTTCGTCCTAAACATTAGTTATTGAGATCCTCGTTAGGACTGGTCAATCATATCACCTCCGAACATTCAGCCATCAATAGCTATGCTCATCTTGATACCTGGAAATCCAATGCGGTTCATAAACACACTTGCTGATATCGAAAAACCTCTTCAGATTCACTCGACATTGTTCCGGTTCATTTCGAGAATCAGTGGTATTTCTTCTTCACAGCGATGCGTTGTATGGGGTTCGATGGGAAGGAGCACATGTGCCTTCCACGTGCGTTGAGGCATTTATGACACTCATTGCGCCCACTTACTCAACTCTTGATCCTCCAGCTGCTAACACATCAAATGCACGGCACCGCTTCCGCACTTTATACTAACAAACCCAAGACGAATCAACTGACGATTAGTAATTTGGATCAACCTCACTCCAGGCGACTTAGATCATTTTACATTTAATGAAAGATAATGGCATTATATATCACCCAACTGTCGAGAAAACACCCAGTCTATGCAAAGGTCACTACAGAATAACCTGAGCAGATTACATACTTTTACACCTTGGAGTCATCCTCCCGGCGTCCTAACGTGCTCGGGTCGATGTTCTCAGCCTCATCGTATGTCACACCATCCTCATCCTTGATCCTTGTAACGTGTGTGACAATTTTGGCTGCCCAGGCGTCACAGCTGACGTTCACAGCCGTCCTGAAGCGGTCCAAGAACCAATCAATCGCAATGACGACTGCGTACATTCCAGTGATCGGCACACCGACACTAGTGGCAATCATGACTACCAGAACTAGACTGGAGCTCGGGATTGGTGTCGTTCCAATAGAGGCCAGAGTCGAGAGGAGAATAACAATGATGTAATCTGCAGCATTCAACGTAATCCCCTGAGTAGCAGCTAGAAAAACGACTACGATTGGGAAGTAAATCGCAGTACCATCCATGTTGATCAGACAACCAAGTGGGACGGAGAATTTGGTAACTGCGGAAAGTTAGTGGGCGACAAACGAACAAGTCCGTCACACAAACTGACCTGTAACGGGAATACCCTGCTTCAGCACACAACGAATAGTGACGGGCAAAGTGGCAGCGCTTGATGCAGTACCCCAGGCAGTGACCCAGGCAGGACTCATTTTGAGCCAGTATGTGTACGGGTTGCTCCTAGTGATAATAAAGAAGATGAGGGGAATGAGGACAAATATATGGATAAACATGCCGCATAGCGTTCCTCCGATGAGTATACCCAGGTTCGTGCCAATCTCAGCAATATTGAGGCGGAAAAGGTTGGGCATAATGAGGAAGAAGACACCGATCGGCGCTAAATGGATAAGGACAGTGATAACTTTGAGGATTATCACTTCGACTTCCTCGACCGCTCGATAGATGGCACCTCCCGGCTTGATAACATATCCGAGGACGATGGCTGTGATCAGCACCGAAAGAAGAGCGTCGGTAGCCAAGGCGTTGACAATGTTGTTGGGGACGAGAGAATAGAACATGTCAACAACAACATCGTGGATCTCGACGTCCTTCCTCTCATCAACGAGCTCCTGGTCTTTTTCGGAAACTTCCAGTGCGCTGCCAGACACAACGTTGAACAGTTTGCTCCAGACCAGGCCGACTAGCAGAGCAGAATGCGCAACAGCGATGATCGTGGTAATGACATAATATCCGACAGTCCAGCGGGCGAGTTTGCCGGCCGCACCGCCTCCTTGGGTCATGTTTCGTAAGCGCTGGACAGCCATGATCATGGCAGTCACGATCATAGGGAGTACTGCGTTTGTTAGATGGCCAGATTCAGCCCAAATAGCTACCATTTCACATACCAACTGCTCGCAAGGCGCGCAACCAAAGGTTTCCGGGGACTGCGAGAAGAACAATTGCTGCTTCGGGTACTTCATCAACAGTGGTAGTGACTGCGAGACCGATGGCAATGGCCAAAACAGCGGCAAAGATGATCTGCCAAACCGAGCCGGGAGTCTTCACTGTCTGCCAAAACGTCTTCTTCTCCTCGACTGCGACGGCTGTTGTTGGCATAGCGTTGGCAGAGGGTGAACTGTTGTTGCTCGCAGCACGCTCCATCTCGTCGGTTTTGGAGTCGATTTCGCCCATTGTAGACGATTTATGGCAAGACGTCAAAAGATGGACAAGTTTTCGTTTTCTGTGCGAGGGGTGAAAAACAACTGTCACCTAGAACCTCACCCTGAACGTGTGTTACTACACGTACATATTATACAACGAACCCCGCCTTTCAGCTGCTCCCTGCATCATTCTGTGGCAAAGCAACCAAGAGATAACGATCCTGTTACCAATAGTTCGGAACGACACCGTGCTCTCGCATCGCCTTCGTCCCTGGGTATCATCAACCTATCACAAGGAGTCAACTATCTTTGACTATGACATCTGATTCGCTCTGGGCGGGCCTAGGTCTTGAGTGGATAGGCAGGTGTAGTGCTAGCAGACTCCTCCCAACACTTGGACATGAAATTTGAGCCTTGGAGTTGTTGGCAACGTTGGTAACTATTGCACGCAGGGAAGTTTACAAGCAAAATGGTGTGCCGGCTCCCGACTGGGCCAACAAGGATCGGCAAGACGGCGCCCCATGCCAAGAGCTCATATCACTGTGTTCGCTAGATCGGAACCACACGATTGGATCGCGCTTGGACAAAAGAGCCTTGTGGAGTGTGGGAAAACGAGATGCTGTAGAGGAGCGTGGTGTCTTGGTCTTTTGTCGCGTGCTGGGTGAAGCTTGGCTGGCGGACTGAACGGCTTGGCAATGACTCTGGCTCGTGTGTGGCGCATGATGAGCTGAACGCCGCCAACGGGGAAATACTTGGAAAAGGTCGGCTCAAGCAAAACTCGAGGTCATATGCCGCGGCACTGTGTTGGTTCTGGGCATTGGCAAAGTCAGCCTCGAGGCCCTTCAAGGCAGGACGCAATACGACACTGACCGGTCACCTTCTCGAATAAGCAAGTAGGCAGTGACTTTCACAGGCATTTCTTTTGAGGCGTAAGACATGTTGAATCCCGACATTTGCCTTGGATTAGGGCCAAAGTACCCGGGCATCGATGCCTCTGCATGCAGTCCGGGGTTGGCCAGCGGTACCCAGGTGCCAGGTCTGTCAGACTTCAAAAGCAATGGCCGTAGCTGCTTTTGACTGGGGCTTCGACCTCCGGGGATAGCCGTAGAATGATATCAAGCAACAAGGTCTGTCGCCGAGGTATTGGGTCTGATACTTGAAGGGTTAGGCTTAATGCATCGAAGGCCAAGGCTGTGCCTGGTAAGTAATTTCGACAAAGATTCCAGAAGCGAAGTTGCGCTAGTAGCACCTGATCAATCCTCAGTCGCTTTACTCGCTCTTGGTATTTACCCGTAGTTGCGGTACGAGCGTCGCTACCAAGCCAAGTAGTGAGTACACCTTTTCAAGACCAGGTAGCTGCTGCTTCACTTTCGAAACCACTGACTCAATCCACACTAATGTCGAAATCTTCTCTTCTATCTCCCACATAACACTCTAAATTTAGATGCACAAAGACTAACCTTATCGAAAGAACCCCTCCAGTTTTTGACTCAAACAAAGACTCAAGCGCTTGGTATTCGCGAGATCTGCTTCAACACTAAGTTTACACCTTAGAACAGAACAAGTCAGTCTCTAAAGAAATATTGCCACAGATCCTTGTTCAACCAATGGTAACCAGTCATGTTCGCATATCTATCAGCGTCATAATTGTCACTGGGCTACTTGACATTCGGCCAACCTAGATTTCTCTTATCTTCGAGTGAGTTCACAGTCCAGCTTTACTGCGTCAAGATTTAAGAGATAAACTTTTTTTCTCTTGTACTGACTGATAGTTCAGAAACTACTCGACAGTGACAAGAGAACTCATGTCAGGAATTCGCCGGCTTGGACTGCTTATCGCACATGACGGTAACAGGGCACAGCATCAACTCCAGAAGACGCCTCAAATTTTTACCACTCGAAGTATCGACGATTGACATAGCACTTCCCTGCGCTCCATAGTACCTAGGCCTTGCGTATTTAGGTTACATTGGGTCGACTTGGAAGGGTATGAACCGTAGGCGGAGAAAACTGGTTTGAAGCTACTTTCGAAATATAGTGCAACCATCTAAAGGTATTTTTTTTAATCGGAAGAACCGTATGGTACATTGAATACTGATCGAAAAGATCATATGGCTGGTTGAGGCCATTTCCCCGCAATTGATTTGTAATATCTACTTGGCTCTTATTACACCATTTCCCGTGCTTTCCCCCCACGGATATCGTAGTTTATGCACCCATAAAATGACTGGAGTAAGTTGTTTTTCATCATATGTTAGCAGAAACCGGCTCATACGTGCTCGTGTGGAACATGTCCCCGCCAGCCATTGCATTCAGTGTTACAAGCGAGTGCATCAGTCCAATGAGATTGATGATTCCTGCTGCAATAATCGTTTTTCTTTTGAAACCAAAGCAATATGAAGTTGCTTCGTTTCGCAATTCCGTTGTGGGACGCAAAAGAGCGTGACCATTGGCTGTCGGGCTTAGCATCACGGAAGCCGGACCACAATTCTTGATCCGATCCGACCTCACTTGCTCACATAAAAAGCGACCACATACCAACTCAAAACATCATCAACAACACACAGTAAATTTCAAATCCCAATCTACACATCCATTGTCCAAAGCATTTCAAACAATTCAATCACTCGACCAAAAATGCCTCAATTCAAAGTAGCAATCTACCTCTACCCCCAAGCCGACATCCTCGACTTCTCCGGTCCAGCAGAAATTTACAGCCACAGCGACACCCTGGATGAAAACGCCACCTTCCCCTTCGACGTGACATCCTTTGCGCACTCCAGTCCCGTCGTCTCCGCCTCGCCCGCCCTAGTGTACCAGCCCAACAAGACCTTCGCCGACATAGTCGACCAAATCACAGACTACGACATCCTCGTCATCCCCGGTGCCCACGACAAAACCATCACGGACCTGATTGCAACGGAGGCCGGCAAGCAGCTTCTCTCGTTGATCCAGAAGTTCGCCGCTGCGAAACCGCGTGCGGAGACGGGGAAGAGGTTCCTCCAGTCCGTGTGCACGGGTTCGCTGTTACTTGCTGCGTCTGGTGTTCTTGCGGGCCGCACGGCGACTACGCATCATCTCAGCTATGATTTGCTGAAGACGATTGCGGATGAGGCCGCGGGCGGCGAGTCCAAGGTTAATGTTGTGAGGCAGCGGTATGTGGATGCGGGTACGACGGATGGTGGAGTGCGCATTGTGACTGCTGGCGGAGTAAGCTCGGGTATCGATGCTACGATATATGTTATTGAGGAGATTTTTGGAAAGGAGAGGGCGGATTGGGTGGCTGAGGTTGCGGAGTTTGAGAGGAGGGAGAAGGCGTGGGGAGTTTGAAGGGGTGTGTGGAGTTAGTATGGTGTAGAAAATTTCGGTTCTGTTAGGTGACTAGAGGGGTGTATCGGATTTGGGTGAAAAGTAAAAAAATATGTATGGATATTTGGTGAATGAGAAATCTGATTTGACTGCGATGTGTGGCTTGTTGAGTGAATGGAACCCTGCATAGTGATTGGTCAAACTTGAGTCCTACGCTGCCTTGCTCTTTGATACACTAAGGAGCTTTGCCCTAGTAATTTATCAAAAAAAATAAGTATAGAACAATGTTCGGGTATACCCCCAAAATTTCTATTTCGTTTTGTTATCGCTAGCTGGATATAATGGAGAATAGTGTCATGTGATAACTGATCCACTTCTGCTGCGGATAGCTACGTGCGCGAGTTGAGAATTAATGAAAACCGAGGTAGCTGAATAGGAGTGAAATGGGTTTTGTTCAGTATTTAAACCTGTATCAAGATATCTGAAGAATGTGCGACGCAGAAAATCTGAGAGTCTATGTCCTCCAACGTATCTGTGCATTAAGAACAAGTATACTAAAGAACACTTACTTCTTACTCTAGATGCAAGAAGTGACTTCCATCAAGGCCATTCTGACAGCATTCCAAGGTTGTGATGACAATCGCTTGTAATTTGAATTGGCAGCCACCCAAAGCTCAGATCCAAAACGTTGCAGTTACCAAAGTTCACTCCTTCCCAAGCCATGACATGATGAAAGCTGATTTCCTACCCAGTTAGTCGTTGAGGCAAGCAAAAGCAATGAAAGACCCACTCTTACCTTCTCATTCACTTCTCTTTAACTTGTTTACCCACAGTATAAAATCCATTCTTGCTTCGAGTCGAAGCCGAAACAAGACTACAACCCCATCTACCAGCAACCCAGTCTCCAACCAGCAAAATCACGATGCCGTGCATTTACCTTCCATTTCGAAAACGTCCCGACCCAAAAGACCCTTCTGCCGGTTTCCCAAAAGCCCACAAGTACGATGGCCCACTCCAGGAGGGCTCACAAGGCTGCGTCGAGCAATGGGCACACATCTTAACCAACACCATTATCGCAGTAAAGGTAATGGCTTATACCCACCCAAATTCCCCTGAGATCCAAATCCTTAGCAACCTGCCACCCCACAACTCCATCGTGAGATACCTCGGGCACTACGAAAAGGTGCCATCTCCGACCCGAGTATCCATTCTCCTCGAACACTGCTCCATCGGAGACCTCTACATGCTCCGAAGCCTAAGCATCGACCAAAACAAACCCACCTTCTCAGAACCCTTCATGTGGTCCGCCTACACCCAACTCACTAGCGCCCTCACCTTCCTCCACCACGGCATCTCCCCCCAGCACCCCTTGGGCCGCCACCCCTGGACGCCCATCGTGCACCGCGACCTAAAATTCGAAAACATCCTCGTCAAATCCCTCGATCCCGCGCCCGACTGGTCCTCCCTGGACCTCAAACTTGCAGACTTCGGTATGGCAGGATATCACAACCCAGCTCACCCAAATCCCTCTGGCTACATCGGCACAACGCACTACTGGCCGCCCGAGGTGACGTGGGAAACCAAGCAATTCTCCCCCGCAAGCAACGTCTGGGGAATCGCAGCTATACTGCACGAATTGGCACATAACTTCCCACCGATAGTCGACCCCACGGTCGTGGAAGCGCAGTGGTTCGCAGCTCACAGCGAACCTCCCTTCCCATCCACATACTCGGACTCTCAAAAGAGAAATTACTTGGCTACTAAGGCACCGAGACGTGTTATTCCGATTAATCTTGATACCTCCGCCAAAATACCGAGTTTGCGTGACCCGAAGTTGGGGGGTGAGGATAAGACGGCGCTTTGGTTTCGAAGGCGGAGATCGAGTCCGAAGTATTCGGATCGGTTGAATGAGTGTGTTATGAAGGGGTTGGCAGAGGTGGAGCAGAGGGCTAGTGCTGAAGTATTGTTCGGGTTGGCGGAAGGGGGGTATAAGGAGATTTTGGAGGAGGAACTGAAGACCCAGATCATGGGGAGAGGTGGTGCAGACGGGGAGAGGAGGTGATGTGGTGATGTGGGGAATTCGGGGTTGAAGTATAGTTTGAGCGGGATCTCGACTTTAGCATGTAATGTACTGGAAAACAAGACGACTAGGTTATTGGAGGGAGCTTGGGGTTATGGATTCTTTTTGTTGATCATGGACGGAGTTGTTTAGCACGTTTGTTTTGCTGGTCATTGTGGCATGCCTCAATTGTATAATATTAGTCCTGACAAATCCGTACTGAAAGTAATGCTACCGCGAGTTCTGCTACCTAATTACCTTCGATTTTTTTCACATACGTATTTCATGTTGTGAACCCGTGTTTCAATCAAAGCATCACCACTCGTCCGGAAAGAAAAGCCTCGAGCAACACACCAAAACCGAACGCAATGATCCCGCAAAGTACAACAACCCATGCACTACAACCCGCACCCGCGTACCCAAATGCTCGATCGACATGATCTTCCCCATTGATATTTATGGACGGACCCACTCGTACCATCCAGGTGCACGGTGTCAATCTCCGCAGTACCCCGAACCTACAGATCACCCCTCCCCCCCCCCCCCATGTCGCCTCATCAGCCACTCTCCTGGAGATCACACAGCTCAGGGCTATGACCGGTTTTGTTTGAAACGGATTAGCTTATCTTAGAATCGTGCAATCACCATCTCTCAAGAATAAAAAAAAGAGAGAAGGGGGGGGGAGGCGTCTTGTCTGCCTTCTTATCCTCCTTATCAACATACCAAAAGAAGATGGGAAAGAGAATAAAAAGGGATACATGTTCCTTACAACGTAGCTTGAATTCGATCAGATACGGCTCGAATGTACCTACTAAAAGCGAAATTGAGTTTGACAGTTGCGGGTTGACAAGCTCACCTAAGCATTTTTTTTCCGCTTACGCAGAGAGTTACAGGGGCTATTGGTGTTTTGTTGAACCTAAAAGACGTGAACGTTTTGCTCGTTCATGATATTGATTACCGATCACGCTTGATTTGGGCTGGGGTCAGTGCTACACTTTGCAGTAGGCGTGTTGGGATTACGTGTGACCTTGTGCAGATCTGCTTACAACTGAAGCCTGACAATTTTTCAGGGGTCGCCATGCTTCGTGGTTACACCATGATACAGACCATACTACAGTGTTCGATTTCTCTGTTGCATATAGTATATGGGTTGTTGTGAAGTAAATGCTTGTAATTATGTGTCTCGAAACGGCACATGGGATTTATAGGTGCTAGATTAATGCGTGCTATACGGGGCCACACAGCGATCTACACAAAAGATTTCTCTATCATATCCGTTCCGGACCGGTGAGCTTCATGGCTTGAAGTATGTACGCAAGGCCCGATGGCCTCATCTTTCTTTGTATCTAATCAAAGCGTAGAGCTGCAGATCCATGATGACCGTTTTGGGTGCCGGTGACATCCATTCTTACGGTCTAGCATCAAAGCTTGCTTTGATAAGACAATTGAGTTGTCCGCTGCGCAAGATGTCGTGATCTCAGTCTCATCTCTATTCATGTTCGCCTTGTGGTTTGTTTCTCTGTCCGACCGTGTTGTAGCCACCCGGCACCCACACTCATTTTTGCAAACAATGTTGACCACTCAGCGCACCTGCTTTGTGATTTTCACAATCTTTGTTTTTATCGCAGCGTTTACTTCCTACATGGCCGGCTATCATGAGACGTTACTGGTTGAAACACCATACAGGTACGCCGCTTAGAGGTTCCAATGAGACAAATTTCCTAACAGCGTGTTCAGAACATTCTCACTCACCGATAGAAAAAGACTAGCTCAGGTTTTTCAATCTATAACACATGATCCCACTGCACCCAGCTACGTGGATCCAGCCGGTAAACACTACGAAGGAGGGCAGAACCCGATATGGAAAAAGCGCTTGGGCAAGAAGATCTTGATTGTCGACATAGATACACGTGCCCCAACTGGCAAGAATGACATCTTCAACCCCGAGAGGATGAACTGGGAAACTCTCAAAAAAGAAGGCACCGGTTTGGTGTCCATGGGAATCTTGAACTATTACTTGTACGCCGCCATCCATGGGTACGACTACAAGTTTTACCATGCGCGTGATTTGAAAGGCCAATACGCCACGTGGATCAGACCCCATGTATTCCGCGAGCTGTTACCCAAATACCAATTCGTCGTCCACATGGATGCCGGTGCTATGGTTCCGCATCTGGAGCTACCACTTGAATAGATGTTCAATCGTTGGGGTATCCAGAAGGAGACATCTATGGCTCTCCCATGGGATACTGAGGAGATTTGCAACGGCTCATCCATCAGCAGAGATAGTAAGGGATTGCGCGTCCTGAATGGCGATTTCATCGTTGCGCAAAACTCTACCACCACACTGGAAATGCTCGAGGCATGGCGTGATTGCACAACTGAGACACGCTATAAGGGTTGCGCAAATTGGAAAACAAAGTGGAGCCACGAACAGCGCGCATTCTCCGAATACGTTCGCTATGACTTCAACAAGACACCAGAGACAATCGTTGGCATACCGTGTGATGATGCAATGGGCTTTCCTGGTTTCCGTGAGTACAGGTTGAATCACTCAACCTGGGACGAAGATATCTCTGATTGCAACGGCAACATGATCCGGCATTACACAAATGGAAAGACCCATGCTAGGGAAGCTGGCGGGGCCAGTGCAATGCAAATCTTGAGCGCAGTGTTGCAGCAGCAGCTCTTGGGGCACAAGCGCGTGCTCTGGTATAGCGAACCCTGGCTCAACCCTCCGCCGCCAAAGATTTTGCAGCCAGCTGTAGAAGAGGACGAGGAGGAGCCTCCAAAATTGAGCAGCCTCCTCGTGGAAGAATGATGGACTGTGGTCACCGGATGAATTGGAAAGAGTTTTCCACTCCTGCTTTTATGCATCATAAATACCTAGCGCTTAACGTCCCCAAAACCCGGGAGGCGCGTATCAAGAGGTACCTGAATAAATGTTAACAAGAGTACCATGTAACCATATAATGGCAAAATGTTGTTTGTGGAATATCAGAGCTATCTTCTACTCGCGCATGGTGTCACAAGCCCGTTACAGCCTCTCACATCCGGGCTAGTGTGCACAAACCACAACATGCGCGAAAGTTGAGCGGGACTTCGAGACACTCGGTTCAAGTGTAATGTGGAATCGTCATGTGTGGATTGGAATATTGGGTTGTTAATCAAGATTTCAACGTACCTGTGTCTACCGAGGTTCGCCATGCAGTGCATGCTGTTTTGCATATTCTTACGCACCAGATCAGTTGAAGTCAGATTGTGGCGGGTAGAGCTGAGAGGCAGGAGACAGCAGGAGCGAACGAGTTTGAGAGAAAGGGGAGCTCAACCGAGCGATTATGTCAGCTATTAGTGCGCTCGGACATGCACGCGTCACTAAACATTCTTCTTCTCTGGTCCATCGACTTTCAACAATTATATTCCATTATTCATCGGCTCTTGAACCGTTCTTGAACCTTACAGACGTTAATTACAGAATTTCCTCTGGCTTAACCACAATCCAGTTCTTGTCTGCTGTGACCTCCCGTCCGTTCGCAATCTGCGCAAGAGTATTGTTCCTGATCTCCTCTTGCAGCTGCTTAAAGTACGAATCCTTGCGATTGATCCACAGATGAATGCCACCCTTCGAGACATCTACGCCGTGAAACTGCATATACGAATCGCTTCCGGGCGTATCGCCACCGACCAAGATTGGCCGCTTCCATTGATCGATGTAGGTCAGGATACCAGCCCACTTACCCGCGAACCAGGTCGCTGGGGTCCAGAGGTAAGGAGTCACAACCAAGTCAAGGTTGGCGGTTTCGTTGTATGTGCCTGCGGTAATTTGCTCCCTTGCGTTTGTGACCGCACCTGATGTTGTGTTCTTGAGGACCGTGGTAACGCCAATAACATTCTCGGGCGGGACATTGTATCCGTACTTTGGATCGCTGGCCACCATGCGTACGAGTTCCTCATGCGAGGCGCTCATGATGTAGACAGCAATGCCATTTTCCATGAGCGCATTGTATAGTTCCGCCTGGCCCCGGAAAACTTGGGGTGTATGGACGCTGCTGGAAACTACTTCATCGCCATCCCAGTATTTCGTAGGGATGGTCGAGTTGTACGCCATTAGCTCATCGACGTAGCCCTTTAGCTCGCGAAGTGTGAAGCCAGACCACACTTGCGCTGCCCACGGATAGCAGAGAAATGTGTCAATGTCGCACAGACGGTTGTAGTAGCTGAAAAGCGATTCTGTGAAATTCGCCGTATCCTTGAAATCTACCAGCTTTAGGCTAGGGTCCAAGTTTTCGCGCTTGAGGATACCGCGGTTCTCAAGGAAGGGAAGAAGCGACTCCTCGATGTCGTAGCGCCAGCTCGTGTTGTCCATGTCGAACACCGCATAGTTGCTCTGATTTGCATTGCGCGCAATCATGGTATTCAGCGCTTTGGCAGCATCGGCAGGCCAGTGCTTGAGTTGGGTTTTGTGATGAGCGCCATAATGGGGTGTTGCTACGCTGAAAGAACTAGCAAATGCCAGCCACAAGGCTGTGTTAAGGGTTGAAGTCCGCATTTTCGTTTCAATGATTGATGTTTCCGGGTTCCAAAAAGTGAGCGACTGGGGAAGCGAGCAAACAAGAATGCAGGAACCCGATTTTCCGGGGGAATTGGACAATTAATACTGGGGAGCTGTCAACATTCTGCTCGGGTAAATGAAGTCCGCCAACCATGGGTAGTACTGCTGCCGATAAGGGAACCCGGTCCCACATCCGCGACTCAAAGTCGGCCCTACTAACTTGAAATTTGCTGACCGCGCTATCTCAATCTTCAGAACAAAATACCAATGTCCGGCTTGAAGAAGCAAGTGCTCTTGTGAGCTCATGCACAATGACGTGCATGTGGGGGGTGCCGACACATCTGTATCGTCGGTACGCATGCAGCCCTTCAAGGGGTAGTATATGCCTCTTCTTCACAAACAAAACAGACACAGAATACACAAGGCCCTATCATGAATGAGTACTTGGTTTTAAGGGAATACGTGCCGAACCAACAGTACTGCCAGACCCAGCAACGTAGCCGAGAAGTTATGATTCACCCCAACACCATTTCATATCTGGGGCTATGTTCCGATAGCCTCCCAATCAGCGATAACATGGCCGCACGGCTGTCGTTATCCTGACCGGCGAGATTTTCGTATCTCTTGTCCCCATTCAAGTACAACGAGCTAACCATTCAGGCAACATATGTCTGAAGGGGAGCTCATCTAGCAGCAAATGTCTATAACAAGCAAACCACCACAGGACAACGCCAAACATATAGAAACCGAAAATTGGCAGGGTAGAGCGAACAGGCTTTTGGACATTCTGCAGATCCATCATTCCCATACCCCAGGCAAGCCATACGGGGCCCAAAGCAAGACACAGGTAGATGAAAGCAAGCCCGACGAGGGGCAGTGCGGGTAATATGAGGACAGAAGCGGAAATAGCGAGTATCCAAAAAAATAGAGTATCATCCGAGTCTCGATTGTTCGGCAGCACAACTGGTGCAGCAGTGAGTGCATTGTCAAGAGAAGCGCCGCCTTTAGTTTCCATCTCTTCAGATCGTTGTGCTGAATTACTCTCTTCGTTACCCTCAACAATATCGGCCTTCAAATGCGAGAATGATTGATCAGCCGGGCTCTGTGCAGATGATGGGGTCTCCTTCCTCTCCATATGCCGTCCGATATCTTCAAAGGCTCTGTTGAGGCCCTGTCTTGAAAATCCCGATGAGAAATCTTGCTGGGGCTTTGGGGCCTGTACTGAGGGCCCTGATGCGGGTTCCATAGGCCTCTGTGATTCCTCGGGAGTTGTGGCAGACATACTAGCGACGAACTGCCTTAACTTTTTGCGCGTAGCTGCAACATCGCCATTTTCTGAATTTCCTATTACTACACTGAAAATTCTGACCCATGAAAGTACCAATGATCGCCGGTCAATTTTGAGAAGATGATTGGTACGCGGACCCGGATTATTTCTACAGGTTTTTTGAATGCATTGATACACCGCATCGGGAAACACAGACAGACTGTCTTGGAACTGATCTGATCCGTTTTTCACCGTGATGTTGGTTTTCATCTTTTTCTGTGTGTTTATAAGAATTTCCGTTCCCAAGACAATAGGGTCTTTCTCTGGTGTATCTGTTGTGGTCGCCAAAACTTGGGCAACAGCAATCTCAAGGGGCATTGTTTCGTTGTCTTCCCAGAGCGGATCCACATGGTACTTGGCAGTCGTACTAGATCCCAACATACGAGCTACATGCTCCATCTTTTTTAAGAATCGCAACCTCGGGTCATCAGGTTTGTCGCTGACCGTTTTCATCGAATAAAGTCCTCGTGTCAGACACGGATATTCCAAATAAAATTCCAGCGCCTTTCGAAGTCCTGCCTTCGACTTGAAAACCAGCTCGTCAATATTGTATGCTTGGTCTAGCATCACCATGTTGATTTTCTGAGCATGATTACTCTCGAGGCGAAAGAAAATAAAGTCGAATTTGTCATTCATTCTCGGCTTCCCATCAGCACCTTCAGCCAGCTCGAGACACCCATTTCTCACAGTAGTGTAAGAATTTCGAGCTTTTGCGATGGGGAGATCCTCGAGTAAGGATGTTGCGTGCTCTGGATCTGTGTGTACCAGCGCAATCGCAGCCAGCATGCCTAATTTCCGCTCACGGAGCCCTGGAAGAAGGTCTTCGAGCGGCTCTGGCATATCGTTACTACGGAAAACGATAGCGAGCCGGGGTGAGATGACTGTTAGCAGGTGAAACTCAGTGTAGGCTATTTGTTTCTCCTCGCCCGTGAACCTGTCCACGGAGTAGCTAACAGGCCCTTCATGAATGCTGAACGCATTTTCTGTTAGAATGAATTCTTCCTGGGGGTCTGAGGGCGTAACAAAAGCCATATACATAGATCGGATGTTGGCAACGAACCAATCCGCATCAGGGGGGTAGATCGTCTCCCGAAGTTCCTCTATCCAATGACAGTCTGGATCCATACGTATATCGATCATCTTTGTCAAATTGTCGAACCACACTTCAAGGGGACTTTGGAAGTCTTTGGCCCGCATATATTCCAAAAACTCTTCCTTATCGTTTGAATTGTAATCTTCAGCGGTTTGATGATTGAAGCGACGAAAGAAGATTGGAGAGCGGTACTTCATAACGAACTGGAACTTGCGCAACAAGTCTTTTTCGGAGCGCACGAGTAATATTCCCTCCTTGCCTGCTTCATGTGCATCTACCACTCGAGCTATGACTCGGGCAGCTTTCCGTTCGATCTCTCCCAGTTTATCTTCCATCCGTTTGCCAAGGCCACCGTTGTACATGTCCTGTTGGCCAAAAGTCCGTCGTACAAATTCATTCGTTATTTCAGGTGGGCTTCTGTCCAGATGGAGAACTTTGACAGATGCATTGTTCTTGCGACGTTGCCTTTCACTCTTTCGATAGGATGCTGAAACTTTAGATAGGCCTATCGGCTGAGTTGCGGCAAATCTTCGCAGCATGAACTGCGGAACGTAGTGCTGATACTGTGTGAAATCCATTTCATGCCGTGGAATTATGCAGAAAGTAATAATATGTAAGTTTTCTGACTAGGCTTGTGTAGTGCGTACAGTTGAGGACGAGGCTGAGGATAAGAGGGAAACGCGGGAGGAAGTAGTAATTGGCGTCAGCTAGTTTTACGAGGAACAAAAGCTGATGTTGAGGGATACGCTCAGTTACAATAAGTAGACTAGTTAACAGATGCTTTGTAGGGTAAAGAGAGAGGAGGGATGATGTCCAGGAGCTTGAGTTGCGGCGTAGACCAAGGGCGCTTAACTATCCATTACTAAGCCCTTTTATGTAACTTGAGTGTCTTATTTGCTCTCCCCAGCGTTCTCATACCTACAAGATTGATAACACAATGTTTGATTACATTCATGCTTTGTTGGGTGATGTGACAAGGGTAGGAGTGCATGCTAAAGAGAACAAGCGAAGGACATATACGAAAGGTTTTGAACGCTCTGCTCAAGATCTTAGAAAGGCTGGGTGACGTATACTCACATTCGAAGTATCTAGCTGCAGCTTTAATGACGATTCACTCTCACATTCACTGGCCGGTGTCTTTGGACCTCTCTTTCAGCTACTTTCGGATTTTGGTTTTCGTCACTGGAAGGTGCACCTCACAGCCAACTGACCTACTCACCACTATATCAATATTTTCAACAACGTCTTCACTTTGGTTGAGACAATGACGGATAACTGCTCCACTGGCGTGATGCCGCATTGTACAGTGCTGCAAACCGACGACAAAGAATCTGGAGCAGTCGCAACGTCGACGCTGCTTAACCGTATCACCACAACAATCGTCGATTTCTTCCTCCCCGCCCCTCTTCGATCGGAATACCGCGTCATGTCCATAGCTCTTGCAAATAACTACTATTTATGCCTATGTCTCTTCCTCGTCTTGGTCTTCGCCATCGCCGAGTTTGAGCAGCCAGGGTGGTTCCCGCGACCCGAGGAACTGAGCTCAGCAGTGGTAGATACTTTCTCCAGCCTACTTATGGCTTTCCACAGAATTAAACCGCTAATGAAGTAAGCAGATTAGGTTTCTTGGTGTGGGAGCTATTATATTCCTTGTTGTCGCAATGCTCGAGTACATCGAAACACACACTTGGCCATGGGAGGACGAGGGATTCGTATGGCCATGGGAGGCACTGCTTTGGGGTGGCACTGTGTATAATAACGAGACATTAGAAGAGAGTGTGGCAGAACATTCAGAACCGTGCGTCGCACAAGTGTCACCGCAAGTAGGGACGAAGAAGGCTGGTTGTTCTGAACATGAACAGGCAAGTAATGCTGCGGCTGACAGAACCGCGTCTTTCACGACCTTGGAAGGCTTCCCAGAGAGACAGGGTATGATCATCCCCCCGACGCCTTTCCTACCGGGCGGGCTTAGGCCGACTCATATTTCCCCACCCATAAGACATTCCTCTTGAGTTTTGGAAGAATCGCCGACACCTCTGTATGCCAGGCGTTCAGGGATCGCCTCGGGTTGGAGAGCAACAGATGAGGGAATCGTGGATCTATTTGGAAGCACTCAATGATTATCTGTGAACAGGTACTTACACCTTAATAACGATGTAAACGATCATGTCGCATGTCATGTGGATGTATGATAGAATGTCAGCGAGGTGAGCTGAAGCAAATGACGAACTAGCAAAGTCAAAACACAGATGATATTTCCACTTGCTCCTTGAACTTGAGTGCCACAATGAACTTTTCGTCATCTTCCTCAAGTGAAAGTATGGCAAAAGCGACCAAGCCCTACAACACCTACCACTCTCTAATCTCACCCCCAGGCCCGATGAATCCAGGAACCAACCAAGCCTTGGCCTCCTTACTTTCCCTCCTCACCCACTCCTCGTCAATTTCAATACCCAAACCCGGTCCCTCCATCAAGCGAATAAAACCGTCCTTCACATCCCATACCTCCGGGTTCTTCGTATACGATGTGAGATCCTCGCTTCCAGCGTTATAATGAATACCGAGACTCATTTCCTGAATGGTAAAATTTGACAGCGTGCAATTGACTTGGACACAAGCTGCGAGTGCTATCGGGCCAAGAGGGCAGTGCGGAGCAATAGCTACATCGTAGGCTTCTGCCATGGCTGCTATTCGCTTCATTTCTGAAATACCGCCGATATGCGAAATGTCGGGCTGCAGAATATCGACGCAGCCTGCTTCAAGGAAAGGACGCACGTCCCAACGCGAGTGGAGACGCTCACCGAGTGCGATCGGGATGGATGTTTGGGTGTGTAGGGAGGTGATGCCACCAATATGCTCTGATAGCAGCGGCTCTTCAATGAACAAGGGGTGGTGGGGTTCGAGAGCTTTGGCTAGTTGTTTAGCCATTGGCTTGTGGACGCGGCCGTGGAAGTCCATGCCAGCGTCCATTCCCAATCCTTTGACTGTTTTGAGACGGTCGACGGCGGATTCGAGACTGGAAGGGCTATCGAGCCAACCAATGTCCTCAGTAGCGTTCATTTTAACAGCATGAAATCCTTGTGCTTTACGGCTAAGACTGTAGGTGTTTTTTTAGAGATCAGATTTGTCTTAAATGCTGTTCTTATGTCACTTACGCTTGTTCTTTAACGTCACTTGGTCGATCTCCACCGATCCAAGCGTATACTTTCAACCGGTCTCGGACTTTACCTCCCAGCAATTGGTATATTGGTACGTTTAATTTCCGTGCTTTCAGATCCCAGAGGGCGATATCGATGCCTGCCAATGCACTCATGAAGACAGGGCCGCCGCGGTAGAAGCTGGTACGCCAAGACATCTGCCAGATGTGTTCAATGTCACTTAAAATATTGTTAGTTGGTCTCAAATTGGAGAGATTGAACGTCATACTCTGCTTCAAAACCGACGTAGCGTGCAGCCCAGGCATCTAGACATCCTTCGACTGCTTGCGTGTGGCCTTCAAGGGAAGCTTCACCCCAGCCAAAGTTCCCGTCGACATCGGTGATTTTGACAAACAGCCATCGCGGTGGTACTCTGAAGTACTCGATGGTCGCAATCTTTCCCATTGTCTGACTCTCAGGACGTAGTCTTTTGTAATAAATTTGGTCAATGCTGAGCTAGATAACGTTTCGAGAGATTATATCAAAAAAGATGTGATATTTGGAAAGAGCCAGCCATCGGCAAGAAAGTAACACTACGGCCATGTCCAAACACCGACGTGCTTTTCTGTCCAATTAAATCGCTTCTACGGTCAGGTACTCTTCGCGGTACTACCCCGAGCGGCAGCGAGCGCGGGGTCATCTACTCCACCGCGGGGCACGCAACTTCGGGAACTGGGGTAAAGCAACCCGAGCTGCTAATGCTCCCGGTACGCAATAAAGCGCGAAAACCCTCTGACAGCATCAAAAGTCAATCAGCAAATATCACTTCGTTCTGCAAGGGAAGTTGACGTCGAAAAAAGCAAAACGAAATTCCCCTTACGAACAGTTACTATGACGTTATCACCACCAACCGGCGTCTTCGTCCCTGTCCCGACGTTTTTCAAACCCAAGTCTGCATCTAGTACCCTCCAAGCCGCCGTAGACGTCCAGACACAGATTGATCACTCAGTATTTCTCGCCAAAAATGGAGTGCGCGGGCTTGTACTGCTCGGCTCGACCGGCGAAGCAATCCACATGTCGCGACAAGAGCGTATCGATGTCGTGTCTGGGGTGCGTAAAGGACTCGAAGACGCGGGCTTCAAGGACTACCCAATCATGGCGGGAACACTGATCAACAGCGTTGACGAGACATTGGAGTGGCTAGAGGACTTCAAGAAAGCTGGTGCACAATGGGGCTTGGTGCTCGCACCAGGGTATTTCGGTGCAGCAGCGAGTCAAGAGGGAATTAGGGAGTGGTTCACTGTTGTTGCGGATAAGAGCCCACTACCGATATTGATGTAGGTCATGCAAGACAGCGAGCGAAGAGATAGACTAACAAATGCCAGTTACAACTACCCCGGCGTGACAAACGGAGTCATGGTAACCCCGGATACCTACCGCGTCCTTGCGCAACACCCCAACATTGTCGGTTGCAAGATGTCACATGCTGTCGTCTCATGGCACAACCAGGTCTCGCTGGACCCGAAAATCGACCACAACAAGTTCCGCGTATACTCTGGTCTTGGTCAACAACTGGGCCCCATCGTCATTTTTGACGCAGCTGGTGTCATAGACGGACTCGCTGCCATATACCCCAAGACTGTATGCTCCTTGATGAAGCTTGCCGAGACACGGCCCATCACCGACGAGAACCTCAAGAAGATCAAGGAATTGCAATACACTGTTAGCACTACAGAAGAGTTTATTGGCAAATATGGCGTCGTCGGCATCAAAGAGGCTGTAAAGAGAGTAACTGGTTTTGGAACCATGGAAGGCGGACGGCTGCCGATTCAGGGAAAGCTGCCAGATGGTGAGTGGGAGAAGTGGAGTGAGACCTGGGAAAGGATACAGAAGACGGAGGATTCCCTGAGCGAAAAGGATTTCAAGTAGTGGTTTTGTTTTGCCCAAATGAAAATTGACAGTTGTTGCATACTCTTGCCTTTGAGTTGAACAATACAACTAGGTCTTTAGCACCAATGGATGGACCGCGGGCCCTTCACCGGCATTTTTTCCCACGTGGTTAGCTACTAATCGAGACAAGATCTCTTCGGTCGGAAGACATCTAGATTCAAGCCATCGTATCGAGCGCTGCGCAACCCGACTCAGCGGTACCCTGGCGATTCTACCACGAGACAACCCTGGTTCGGGCAATCGCCGTTCTTCAGCCTCTAGTGTGAGACTTTTGACTGCCTGGCGCGTGTCGTGTTTGCCTCTTTCATCCATGTTCTCTCCATCTGGGCTTTCCTTTCGGCCGCGCGCTTGACAACATGTTTCCTCTTGGACCAACCTGTAATGGACGCCACACCGAAAGTACTAACACGCTAAGGTTTTGGATGATAGGTATACCTCAGTCGCCGAAGTTTGCCCTAAACGGGCATGTATGCTTTGTAGTCTTCTGATTCTCCCAAGACGCCACGAAGCCTTGACGAATAAGCGTCTGACTCCGAGCCTCGGCACTTTCGACGACATCTAGCTCAAATACAGGACCCGATGATGCTAGCATGTGGCTTACAGATAGCAGAAGTACAATGATTCCTGTACACAGCGACGGTTGAGGGGCTTTGGCAGAAAGAAGAAGAATAATCAACATTGTTGGGAGTGGAAAAAATTGATATGATGTCAGGCCAAGCTCGCGAAAGACGTTCCAACTCCCGCTCAAGTTGCCGTTGCTTCGGTATGATGTACAATGCGATCATCGGTGGATTGACTGGAGGTGGGGTAATTACACGCGCAACACATGAAGGCGGTAAAGTTCCGCTACATACATGTTCAAACTCCATCACATAGCAACGCAAACATCCCCATGATGTGTTCCTCAATAAACATTGATATTCAGACTGGGAAATCATGTCTAAAGAACCAATTCAGGCCTGATTTGCGTGTAAGATCAGCCCCTAGCCTGTCGTGTCGATTACTATACTCAATCTTAAGCACAAGGGGCACGTGGATATAGAAAGCTTCCGCACCTCCATCACATCTTGTCTCTGTACCCAACTTCAACACCAGCGGATAATGCCCTGACTATACGCAAAGACCGAGAGAATCGGCAAGACACACGCGGGTACTAACCTTAGCCAAGAGTCTAGGCCAACGCCGCGTGCCTGTAGCGTACGGCGGATTGCGCATTATGCGTCCGCCGAGACCTCAGCTTGTCACAACCTGCTCAACTTAATGGTAGTCCACCGCATTCCCACGCGGGGTACGACTGGGCGTGACCATCAAGATTGTGCCGCAAGACGCTACTGTCGTGTCCCGGAGTAGCTACCGGCATGCTGTCAGTGCTAGGGTGGCGCATCCACGACCTGCCAACTGTTCGGTCCTTCTTGGTAGGCGGGCCTGCTAACTGCTACCGTAAGCTGCCTCCGAAACTATAACTCTTGAAAATCGCATTGGGCGTAGACCAATAGGGCTTGTTGGCGATAGTTCAGGAGAATCTATTCCACATATCGGGTAGGGATATACAAGCTGACCGTGCTGTTGAGTCTGGGGTACGGTGGAGCCGATGGCGGAGGAATCTGGGGAAGATGGAGCTCCACAATCTGGGGAAGCTCCTGAGTATATGAGGGTACTTATCTCACGGTCAGCTAAGGAATTCTGTTCTCATCATCAGCTCCCTCTTTTCCAGTAGCTGCGCCCTCACTCCTCTTTCATCGACTTGGTCGACCCGTGAAGCACTTGGCGGGGCAATTAAGCACCAGTGCTTCTGTAACATACCCAGAAGGTTGTTGGACAAACCGATACCATCATGTCCTCTTTCGCCGACGAGAAAGGCGATGTTGCCGCCATCGAACGCGTCGAGTCCGACGCGTCAGCTAACAATGCTTCTATCGAGCGGTTTACCCCTGAGCAACAAAAGAAGATTATTCGCAAGGTGGACTTTCGGCTTATCCCTACGCTTGGTTGCATGTACTGTGTCTCGCTCATGGATCGTACCAATCTTGGTGTCGCCATGGTGGCAGGCATGGGTGTCGATCTGAAACTCACAGGCGAGCGATACAGTATCATTGTCTTGCTGTTTTTCATCACTTATGTTGCACTGCAGCCTCCGGCAACTGTCGTCCTAAGAAAGTTGGGCCCAAAGCTGTTTTTGCCATCTATAGTGGTCATTTGGGGAGCCGTCATGATTGGTTTTGGTTTCGTCAAGGAGTGGACTTCTCTGATCCCTCTTCGCCTCATACTTGGTGTATTTGAAGCTGGCTTCTTCCCTGGTATGTGTAGAAAAGATCCTCCCCAAACATTAGAAAGGAATAGAGACATAGAATGCTAACATCAATAGGCTCCGCATACCTTCTTTCTTGCTGGTACAAACGGTACGAGCTCCAAAAGCGCAACACCTTCTTTTTCCTCATCGGAATGTTGTCTTCAGCCTTTTCCGGCATCCTTGGCTATGTCTTCTCCCTGCTCAACGGCCATGGTTACCAAGCAGCAGAGTGGCTCGGCCCGCACTATGGCCCAACAAAGAAAGCACCCAAAACTCCCGTCGGATTCGGCTCAGGCTTGTCTGGCTGGCGTTGGATCTTCATGCTGCAGGGAATCATCACCGTCGCTATCGGTCTTATCGGATGGTACTACATTGTTGATTTCCCAGAGTTGGCTGCCAAACCGAGCAGGATTCAAAAGAAATTCCTCGAGCAGGAAGAAGTGGACTTCATTGTTGCAAGAATCGAGCAGGACCGCCACGATGTAGTCGCCGAAGAATTCAACCTCAATAAGTACCTTGCCGGCGCCATGGACCTCAAGGTCTGGGGCTTCGCACTAATCTTCATGTTTACGACTACGATCACATACGCTATTGCATACTTCCTTCCCATCATCCTCAAAGACGGAATGGGCTTTAGCGCTGCTGCTAGTAACTGTCTCATTGCCCCGCCCTACGTATTCGCTGGATTTGTCATGATCGGCTTCGCGTGGGCTGGTGACAAGTACCAGATCCGCTCTCCCTGGGTCATTGCCAACGGTGTCCTTGCTCTTATTGGACTCCCTATGATGGGTTTTAGCTCCAATACTGGTGTCAGGTATTTCGGTAAGCTATATCACGTAGTCTGTCTTCAGTTCACTTGCTAATCAATTCTCAGGGGTCTTCCTCGCTACCGCAGCAGCCAATGCCAACGTTCCCTGCATTCTCACCTGGCAAGCAAACAACATCCGCGGTCAATGGAAGCGCGCTCTCTGCTCTGCTACCCTCGTTGGTGCTGGAGGCATCGGCGGTATAGTTGGTGGCACAGTCTTCAGGACCCAGGACGCTCCCAGGTACGTCCCTGGTATTATTGCCTGCATGATCTCGGCAGGCATGATCATCTTCATTACGCTCTTGCTGAACTTCAAGTTCTGGAGAGCAAACAAGAGAGCTGCCAGTGGTGGTAAGATTATTGAGGGGCTTGAGGGATTCAGGTATACGCTATAATTGCTAGCAAGCGGGAATGTGGAAGAGAGTTATGATTGATGATCAAGACGATGAATAAGGTTAATGTCGAGGTGTTCGAACAGATGCAAGCGCACGTGCATTAGTTAGTTTTCGATAAATATACCCAATGAATGATATCACGATAGTAATGCTCCGTCTCGTATATTCACACAGAATGCACCCACCTATCTTGTTTCTAGTTGCAAAGATTTAATCGCCTCACTATATGACTTTCTAAAAATACTTCGTATATTGAAAATTGCTGCTCGGAACAGAAAGAGGCTCGAGCGTATGAATAGAATAAATAGTGCTGACTGTCGACTAGCTGCGAGAAAAACTTCTTTGTCTTTACGGTATAAGCTCCAAGACACAAGTAGCACGAATGTGCAGCTAACATAGATGTCATTACATATGGTAACGATGAGATCTGTTACTAGTGTTTGAATGACATTCATTTACCCCAGTGAGATTGCGCTCGTAACTCTACAACATTCAATCCCTTTTGAGTTCAGACGCCGCTATGCGGATAAAATTTCCCAGGCATCATGACAGTGCATACATAAGAACAAGATTTGTATAAAAAAAAGGTTGTACGAGACGGTGAGAAGATTATGTGATAATGTCCATTTTCTTGGAGGATAAAGTGATCGGCACGGGATGCTATAAGGTAATACGTATACTAGCGAAGTTGGGAGTCAGCACTAAAATTAAGTTTAGCAAAATTGTCGGTGAGGCTCTACAGTCTCGTCGTTCCGCATGTTGTTTACGACAACATAATAGTAATCATTAGCTACGTATAGTGTACTGAGAGACTGATGCATATGGGCTTACAGACGCCAGTGAAAATTCGATAGTGAATTCCAGCTTTGGCTGCACATTGTTGCTATGATTCATGATTGCATCTACCATATACGCGCCTTCGTGCTATGGCCTACTTCTAACTTGGCACCATTAGCCCTCTAGTGAGATAAGTGGCCAAGCTCTCCCATAGGCCCTATTTTGGAGTGGGGCATATACTTTCTGGCTGCTTTTTTTTATGTATTAACTAGAGCGCCAAGACGGCGCAAAAGTCAGGGGCGTGAAGTCAAACGTACATAAATGCAACCAAGTCCCCTACTTTACTATTGAGAGTATACATACCTCTTATTAGCAAACTTCACTTTCTGGAGATACAAGCCACTCTTTCTTCTTCACATCGCCACGCTGAATTCTCGCATCTCCCCAAACAAACCTCAGATCCCACTATCCGACCGCTATAACCTCAATCCGCCCATCATGAAGTTCACAACCGCCTTCCTTCTCGCCGCTTCAGTCAACGTCATTACTGCCCTCACGGCCTCATTTGATGGCTGCCAATACAACGTTGGTAAATGAACATCAGATTACGAAAACGCCCCATGCACACGGGCAATGTGCGGGCCCGTCAACTGTCAATTGGCTTGTCATCGAGCAGGCATAGCCGACAAGCCAAATGACTATTACCTCGGCGTAAACTACAATGGCCCTATTAAGAACTCGTGCAGCTGTGTATGCTACAAGCGCTAAGGAGGAAGTCGAAAGGATTATCCAATAGATGCAATGGCAGGATGTGAATACTGAAGTAATCTTCGTTCAGAGAGATATGCATACAAATATGATTTTACTTCGGCAATAGTACCCCGCCGCCTTGATAAATCACTGATCTGATATCTTCCAAAATGAACACACTTTTGTGAATACAACCCCAAACACTGCACCGCGCTCGGAGACTAAGACCACATATCATTGCTCATACCATCGACTTGTCATTGACAAGTTACCCCGTAAACAATCTCACTCGGACCGAGTCTTCTTGGAATTCCTTCCGTAGAGATCAATTGAGATTCATACAACACGGTCATCACCCAGAGCCAATGCAAATTGCCACACTGTTAGCCGACTGGCACGAAAAAGATCAGTCACATGTTCAAAATACGTGATATGACTAATAAAGCATTACTATTAACTACCCCTTCCGTCTATACTACTCCAAAGCATAAAGTCATCAAAGAGGAAGCTCATATCACATAACTACTCAAAACACACCCTTCCCAACCCCTTGTCCTTACAAACTCTCCTCACACCATCTTTAATCGTAGCGAGACACTTCCTCCACGACTCGCGTGCGAAAGCCTCATTAGTCTCCATCTTATCACTGATAATGTAACCGACCCATTTGACGAGACCGACTGCTTTGTTCATATCGCGCTCTTCTAGCACGACTTTCTTAAGGTACTTGATCAATGCTGTGATGTCTTCCTCGTAGGGCCCCTCCTCGTCGAATTCGCTGATCCAGAGTCTCATTGCACTGCGGAGATCTGGTTCAGTGGAGAGCTTCTGTGTGGTAAAAGTTGCTGTCGAGGGACGTGGGACTTTGATTTTCGGGGCTGGTCTAGGCTGTTTGGGGGCTGATGGGGCTTTGGTTTTCTTGGACATCACGAAGCGGAATGCGTTTAGTTTTGCTGCGTTGTGCTGATCAATGACTTCTTTACGCATGTCTTCGGGGAGCGCAGCAAGGAAATCAGGATCAAGATCGTCATATTCGTTGTGTTTGGTGATGGTAGGTGCTTCAAAAGCGTTGTCGCTCAAACCAGCTGAACCCTCTCTACTTAGGCTTTCTCGGGCTGGATTCTTGAGAGATATAAAGTTGGCTTGGGTGAGCATCTTGCCAGTTTTGTCAATGGCTTTTGCCTGTGCAGCTGCGGCCAACATCGCTGATCTTGGCGGACGACCTCTCCCTCGTTTTGCTGGCACAATAGGCTTGTTCGCTGGAATTCCGATGATCCTGTTTTTGCGAGGTGACTGAGGTAAAATAGTTTGATCAGGTCCTCTTGAACTCCGCGAAGGAGAAAAGGATATTTCACTGTCGACATACTGAGCAAGAACCTCGGCACGGACTTCTGCAGGTAAAGCAGCGAGAATTTCTGGGTCAAGCTGGGACTGGTTAGGAAGCGCTGTCAAAGCGAGAGGTAGGGCTTTCGAGGGTATGCTTGGCGTATCGTATGCTAACGCATTGTTTGCAGGCGTAGGGGACGATTGTCGAGCTTGGCGCAAGAGCTTGGTTCGTATATCCTCCGGCAGCTCATCGAGTACCTTAGGGTCGACTTGCGAAGGCATGATGAATTGTGTGCCCAGAGTATTGAGTGGACGTCGAGAAGGCGTCGAGGCATCAAGCTGCTCGGCGCCAAACACAACATGCTCATCTCCTGATGATATCTTGGATTTTCGTGGAGTCTCTGGGTCATCTTGAATCGGATCATCTTCAACCACCTGTAGTACCCGCGCTGCCCGCGCTGACTCTGCATTCTTGACTTTGAATTGTAACTTTGGTTGTGAGCCCTCAACACTTCCATCCGTAGCCGATTTCATGAGCTCAAGCTTTGTCATCTGTATTCCGATGCCACGAAGCTCTCCGGGAGTAAATCCGAAGCCACGTAGCACAGCCAAGGCTTCCTTTGTCAGGACTTCCTTTGCGTTGGTCGCGACGCCGAGTAGAAGACTCTTGCTGTGCGTATCACACTTGCCATGCCCAAGATGCTTTGGTGGATCTAGAGGTGCATCTGGTGAGCGTCGCATAACCTTCATGGTGAATTGTTTGCCTTTTACCCTCTCTTTCAGGAGTCGTTTCTGGAGCTCCCCACACAGGCTGGCAATGAACTCATCAGCTTGCTCTTGATTTTCAAATCGAACACCCCAATTCACCTCCGCGGACACAGATTTGCGAATAACTTGTTCACCGACTTCTTGATGGTCGATACCTTTAGAGTATTCGTATAGCTTCTCGCCGGTTTTAGGCCCAAGTATTTGAATGAGTCTCTCCTTGTTGAGCTTACGAACATCCTTGACAAGTTTGACTCCAATACCCTCCAGTTTACCGCCAATTGATCCGGCAACACCGGGTAGGTCCTGCACTTGGAGTTGGCCAATGAAGCCGAGCACTTCTTCGGGCTTAATCTGATGTTGGCCAGCGGGTTTTGCTTTGCGTAAAGCCAGCTTGGCGAGTAGAATGTTGCTACCGATACCGACCGAAACATTACATCCCGTCCTGGATCTCACTTCATCTCGCAAATTTAGTGCAATTTCATCGGCCTTCGCCTGCTCACGGTAAATACTATCTTCCGAGTGACTTTTGCCATCGCTGCCACCAACGGCTATGCACAGATTTGAGACATCAATGAGGGCCTCATCAATACTGACACTTTGGACAATGCCTCCAGTGGCGAGGATAGTGTCATAGAATGTACGACTCGTCTCTTCATAAGCCGGAAAATTGTAAGGCAAGATCTTGAGGTCCGGACAGAGTTCTTGTGCTCGCTTCATCCACATTCCGTTTTTGATACCGAATGTGCGAGCAGGGTAGTTGCAACTTGCGATTTCCGAAGCACTGCCTTGTCCGTGGGCAACGACGGCCGGCTTGTCTTTAAATTCCGGGTGTTTCTTTAAACTGACTGCAGCGAAGAAACTGTCGAAATCAACATGTAAGATGTATCGCCGAACACCAGGCACACGCTTCTGCTTAGCTCTCTGGGAGGATGTGCTTTCATTTGCAAGGGCCTGCAGTTGCGACTTGAGATCAGCCTTCCAAGTAGACAAATGGTGTAAGCGCGACTCTCTGTAATACTGCTCAAGAAAATTTGGATCCACAACAGTGGACCGCCGAATCTTTGGGTCACGGAGAAGGATTGCATTGTGCTCTTCAGCAGTAAGTGGCCTACTTTTAGGCGCCAGAGGATCAAGTTCAGACACGATCCCTTTTGCCCTTTCCTCGACTTGGCCGTTGAGCGGCGAGTGTAGAGCCCTGGGAGGGCTGGGCTCTGCGTAGAGGCTGTTGTGCAAATCACTCTGTATATCTTCAGGGTCAACAGGTAGTAGCGCAGGGCTCGTTTTGGGCGGCGTAATCAGCTTTGCAGCCTTACTTGACTGTCCTGGACCGGGCGGGTTAAGTAGACCTTGAGGTTGACAGGAAGGTGGAAGATCTTCTATGTCATCGTTAGGCGTCGAGTGTTGTTGCTTTGATTTTGAGAAACGCGGGCGCCTAGGACTGGAGGGTGTCGGTGTACTAGATGGCCCAAATTGACTACCTTGCAGCTGGCTCGTGTACCAGCTGGTGTCTGTCTGGTCTCGATACCCCCTCTTCTTAATGTTTGAATGTGTGGTGATATTACCCCCATCGAATGCCAATACATTTTGTTTTTCGCCCTCATCCACTACGCGGTACTCATTCCATGGCAGCAGTTTGCCAGCTCTTATGCTATCCACCACCCACGCCGGCTTTACAATGCGATATCTTCTGAATTCGACAGCCTTCTTCAGTGTGAGACTGCTGGCTATAATGTGTGTTACAGTAGTCTTTCCGTCCAAGTATTGCATGAAGCCTCCGCCATGCTGCACTATGAGTGTATGTAGATCATTAAGCGAGGGTTGAGTATAGCCGTTTACGTGTGCGACGATTCCCTTGAAGATCTGCGGTTTATCTCCTGCCTGAGATCGAATATCGGCATCCAGGTTCTGCAGTTTGATCTTCTTTCGCCTAAAGTAGTCGGTAAATCCTCCAAACGCCGAGCCTCCGTATTCTTCGCCATCTTCGCCGTCAAAGCGATGGCTGGCAATGCGCTTGCGAACCGACTCAGCATTCTTGTCTAGACGGGAGCCCATGGTGGTAAGTGCTTGGTGAATCTAGGGCATTCATCGGGGCCGGGGTCATGATGAGATGTCACGAGACCATCTAAACTGCTGCATGTCGATATCGATCTCGAGGTTGGTCCTGGTGGGCTGGTCAAAGGCGAGTGCGCGTAGAGTGGCGCGTATGACCGCGATCCAGTCGCGCTAGTGGGGCGAAGTGGAGCGTTCTGCCGGCGGTGAAAGGACGCTAACAGAAAGCTGCAGGGCTTGGCGAACTTTTTCTACCTCTCGAGCCCGCCGTTCTCGAGTTCCTCGTTTTTTTCGCTATCATCCTGCTCTACCAGCTGTCCTTGAGCTGTGCAAACCTCTGAGCAAAGAGCGCTTCTTCGACTGGATAAACATTGATACTTTAGTCAGCTCTCTCCCACATACATTCACGACAATCTTCAAGATGGCCTCTGCTATTCCTGTTGGCGTCTACGGACGTCGCATTCCGGCTGGAGGCATTCCCATTCTGGCTGCTGTCGACCAGTCCACCACTGTAAGTATATTCTTATGTGTTGTTCGCATTTCATAGCCAGCGCACCTGCGCTGCGTCAATTCTGTTCATCTTTGCGCGAAGCTGTCGCATTCGCAACTTTTTGCTAACTGAGTCTAGTTCAGAATTACGATGGCTGCCATCGACCCAGATGCTGAGCCACAGTTTGACGAGGACCAAAAGCATGCTCGCGCAACCTTAAAGCTCATCCGTATCCCTGATGACTTTGACATGGAAGATGATGATGAGGACTATGAAGAGGGTGACATTGAGGCAATCGCTGCCCGTCTGCGTGCAGCTGGTGCGCTTCTCGAGGCTGACTCGGATCTTTCCGATGACGACAGCGAAGATGAGAAGAATGGCGGTCCTAGCGATCCAGCCAAGTCAAAGAAGGCTAAGCAAGCTGCTCTTAGCAAGAAGATGCAAGAGGAGCTTGAGGCCGATGACATGGACATTGACGGTTTGACCAACGGCGCTAAGGGTAAGGCCAAGGGCAAGGCTAAGGTTACCGATGATGATCTGAGCGACGAGGATGACGAAGATGACGAAGACGACGACGATGAGGATGAGCCTGAAGAGCTTGTTCTCTGCACACTTGACCCTGAGAAGGTACGATTGCTCATTACAGAGTCTGCTAGGCGCCCCACTAACTCTCATGTAGCACTACCAGCAGCCTCTCGACATCACTGTCCGCCAGGGCGAGGAGGTCTACCTCTGTGTCACCGGCACGCACGACATCTACGTCACCGGTAACTATGTCGCGTTCCCTGAAGACGAGGACAGCGAGGATGAGGAAGATGATGGTCTTGACGAGCTCGGCTACGATCTGTCTCCCGACGAGGATGAGCTCGATGGTATGGACGAATCAGAGGACGACGAGCTCGATGGCATGAGCGACCCCAGAATCACCGAGGTTGACAGTGATGAGGAGGAGGAGGTTCCCAAGCTTGTTGAAGCCAGCAAGAAGAGCAAGAAGCGTGCTGCTGAAGAGGAGGCCAGCCTTGATGATATGATCAGCAAGACTAACGGCGACGCTAAGCTCAGCAAGAAGCAAGCTAAGAAGCTGAAGAAGAACGATGGCCAAGCTGTCGTTAGCGCTGCTGAGCCAGAGAAGAAGGCTGAAAAGGTTGAGAAGAACGACACCCCCAGCAGCGACAAGAAGAAGGTTCAGTTCGCTAAGAACCTCGAGCAGGGCCCCACTGGCTCCCCAAAGGTCGACGCACCCAAGCCAGAGGCAAAGAAGGAGGCTACCAAGGGACCTCGCAACGTCAGCGGCGTCATTGTTGATGACAAGAAGGAAGGCAAGGGCAAGGCCGCCAAGAAGGGTGACCGTGTCGAGATGCGCTACATTGGCAAGCTGAAGAACGGCAAGGTCTTTGATTGTAAGTATTCACCAAAGTCTGTTCTACCGAACATATACTAATACTCGTATAGCCAACAAGAAGGGCAAGCCTTTCTCCTTCAAGCTCGGCGTCGGCCAAGTCATCAAGGGCTGGGACGTTGGTGTCGCTGGTATGACCCCCGGCGGCGAGCGTCGTCTTACTATCCCTGCCGCGATGGCATACGGAAAGAAGGGTGCTCCTCCAGACATCCCGCCCAACTCTGACTTGATCTTCGACATCAAGTGTATCTCTGTCAGCTAAATCATCGACTTCCTTTATTTGTCCGCCTATGCGCAACAGGGTCCACTTGGCTCCTGTCAAATTGCAGGATCCGACTCCACTCGTATGCAGGACTCCGCCGGCCTGCGTCTGTTGGCGTATCTTTCTTGTTTCCTATTATGTCTGATTTCCGTATGCATAGCGTGTCGTCTGAGATATCCGACTTGCATAGTCCGGGTTGCTTCGATAGATTTGTGCAAGGAGGAAGGATCTCTCAGTCCTCTTCACCGATGTTTCTTTTGATGGATCATATGTATGAGATATAGCGAGGCGATGTTGCTAAAAGAGTAGAAATTCGCTGAGGAAGCTATTTCCAAAAGTTAATGGTGTTTCATGTGGGCACTAACACGAGTGCGTAATAATACATGATTATTCGAATTCAGGTCCCACTAGAATCCGCATGGTCCCATTGAATGTGATGATCACAGGCTAGTGGATGGTCTGAAATTTGTTGTCCTGTTTTCACAGGATCCAAAAATTATGGTGTTCTTCACAGTGCAGAACCAAGTTCCTCGTCCGAAGTGCTCTATCTGTTGGCCGAGGTTTAGGCCAAGGTTGGCGAAGTTTCTAGTGCTCAATTCTGACCAGTCACATGGCCATCCTCACGCACGAGCCAAGAGACCCCACTCCGCTAGAGCCCGACTCCTCTTTCATCTTCCGTCTTCCGTCTTTGCCTCTTCTTACCATATACATCACCGCTCAGCTCTGTTACACCAAACAACGCCTCCAGCACCTCCGCAATCTCTCAACCAGCGATCCTATACGCGCATTCCCTTTCCTAAGACTCTTACCTTCTTACGCATCCACCGTGGCAACATTGTAGCAATGGCGATGTCAAAACGAAACAGTAGTAGTATGAGTAGTAGTAGTAGTAGCATTCACTCGTACTCATCCGCTAGCAACGTCCGCGCTAGCTGCTATGCCGTAGACGCGTCGACCGCCAGCCTTCAAGGCTTCCATTACTCCACTACCCCGTCTGCCGGGGCCGGGTGGTGTTCCTGAGGTCAGCTCGGTATGTCATTGCTCATGCGCCGTTCCATATGTAATGGACCAAACACTAAGTGTCAACCAGGGAATACCATCACCTCCATCAAGTCCCCCCCTCGCCGCCAGACACGCATCTACCGCTAAGAACGGTAAGGCGCGCAGAGGGGGGGCAGCATATACCATTACGGAAGAGTGTGAGAGACTCTTCTGCGAGACACTGCGATCTGTTTTCCTAGGTGAGGGGAGCCAGCACCGTCAGCACTCGCTAGTGATGGATATGTCTTATATCGGTACGACTGCAAATACCTCGACCACAAATGACTACGGCATCGACGTGCGTCGCTACTCTGACTCCTCAACTGACTCCGATATACCTGAAATGGTACGGTTTGAGGAGCACAAGGGTGCGATTACAAACTACATTGAGATGTGGGATTATGTTGGTGGAGTTATGTTCCGTGGATTTGTTGTTGAAAGGGAAGAGGAGAGGAGCATGTTTGTCTTCTTTGATGAAGCTGTGATTGGTGCAGACCTCAAGGCTGGGTAAGTCATTCCTCAATGCTCTCGTGTCGCCTGTACCAGGACTGACATAAAACAGGCTCATGGCCCTACTCGAGCTCTGCGAAATTGATTACTTCTCATGCAGCCGCCTCGTCCTTTGTATCGACCGACACAGCGATCAAGTAGCTCGCAATAACCTGACAAAGGACCTGGGTTGGATTGGATTTGGGTTGACAACTCTTGACGATTTCAGCCAGGGCGAGAAGTTGACTAGTGACAAGTGGTTGTTTATGGACATGGAAGTCTGAACGCGTGCATGAAGCTATGGAGATTAAAAGTCGCCTGTCACTCGCTGCAAAATGGTCGTGTTTGGAGCTGTTATTCTTTTGGATGGTTGTCTAGCATGGAGTTTGGGCGTGGACGAGCTTTGGTATATGGATTGCATTCCTCTTCGTGTTCATATATCCTAGCAAGGCGCTCATTCGTGGATAGTCAGTTGATTCAATGCAACCTTCATTTTTCGTTCTGATGTCTTGCTGCACCTGATCTTCGGTGAACTGATACCAGTAGCTCAATGTGTATCTCTTAGTATTGATTCTCATTCAAATTACTTGCACTACATCAGTGGTGCGGACATGAAGTACATTCTTAATGGCGACATCCAACTACCAAACCCTGACAAAACGCCCCAAGTATCATGCAGATTTTTACTGATCGCTTTCTCAAGAGGAAGAAGGCAAACGAGTCTGCTCTTTCATGTGGTCAAAAATCTTCAAACTTCTATCCATCAGCCAATCCCGCCATCTCAGCATCAACATCAGCCCTGCCTCCATACTCGTCTCCCTCACCATCAACATCCATGCGCTCCACCTCAGCTCTCCCTTCCAACGCCCGCATAGCCGGGTTATCAGTCCCACTAATCCCGTGTGCCGCCTTCTTCCTCTGATGCGCCTCGAGATCCTCCAGACTCCACGACGAATGGCCCTCCTGCTCAGCCCTACTCCACGGCACGCTCATTTCCTTGAGGAAATTCTTGGCCATACCAACAGCCTGGTCAATGGAGAGTTTCGTGTTTTTGGCATCGAGGCCCTGTTGAATCCATTTAGGTAGTTGCGTTTGTTTCTTGTTGAAGCGCTTATCTGCTAGCACCATGATTCCGTAGTCATCTTTGCCGCGAATGACGCGACCGAGGCACTGGGCGGCGTGGCGCATGGCGTCGAAGGAGAGGAAGTCTGCTTCCTTGATGCGATAGGTTTCGCGGAGGAACTCCAAGCGCGCCTTGAGGATTCTGGATTCGGTGTATTGGTAAGGTACGCCCATGCAGAGCACAGTGCGGCCGTAGTGGTGGTCGAAATCAATGCCTTCGCTTACTTTGCCTCGGGCGACACAGAGGAGGACGGCGCCGCGGCCGTTGTTGCAGGCTGTGCGGAAGGTTTCGAGTGCGAGGGCGGTTTCTTGGGCATCAGGCGTTTCGACGAGAATGAGTTTGTATTTCCAGACTGTGTCGAGGATTTCCATGCCTTGCCATGCGGAAATGATGCTTTCCATGTAGAGATAAGATGGGAAGAAGACAACGACTCCATCAGGAGTCAGTTTGCAGAATTCAATGAGTAGATTACCAAAGTTTCGCTGTACTTGCAAGTCGTTTCGGTGCTCAAACTGTGATGTGACTTGATTCTGATCGTTTCCACGATCGACAATCATGGGAAGGAAAGATTTTCGTGTCAGTGTCATTGTGAAAGACTCCTGTACAACGGTATTAAAGTTGAGCATACGGGGATACATATCCAAGGGTGACATGGTTCCAGAAGTAACGATGACGGAGTAGAAGCGCTCGAAAACGGGTTTGATGGCTATTGCAGCGTCCAGGCATGTCAGATGTAAGACGGGGTTCGGTACAGTGGCTGTCGCTGATTCGAAGGGTTCGATTATCAGTAGGAAGCCAGTTTCATATGTTGCTACAAGTGTGGCGAAGGTAGCGACTTCTTGAAGGGGTTGGTAGTCCTCGATATTTGTAAGTTCGAGTGTACGGACGAGTGAGGTCAGACGCTCGGCGCAGAACCGCAGCGGTTTTCGTTCGATAAATGTCAAGTCCTTGAGATGCTTCAAGAATTCTGGTGGGGTATCCGCAACAACGTTAAGAACCTTCATACGAGTTTTGAGGTATTCGATGAAGCGCTTGAGAAATGCGACAAAATGCTCGGCTCGCCGTATGTTACCCGGTACGGCTTCTGTAAGAAGATCGTCTGGAAGGGCAGGGTTTGCCATGAAAGCCTCTTCGTTACGCGCCTCATCTGCAGCCCGGAGACCTTCGACTAGTTTGGCGTATTCGTTTTGCAGCTTCTCTGCGTCACTGCTCTTCATCTCTGTGATTTTTCGGTCAAGGTTATTGACGCCTTTGGTTGCTTTCCGTAACACATCTTCTGTCAGGTCGATGCTGAGGGACTCGATGCATACATTGTCGATGTTATGGGCTTCATCAAAGACTACTATGCAATCTTTTGATAACTCCTTGGATACTCGATCTGCAATCTTTGGGTCTAACAGGTAATGGTACGAGTAGATGATGACGTTGCAGTAGGGCATCATTCGCCGTGCGGTAAAGTAAGGACATTGCTTTTGCTGTTCACCATACTTCAGTATGCCATCAAAGGTCCATACGCCAGGTGGAATGAGGTTGTGTGGCTCTAACAGATCGAGATTCTCGTGATAAACGCAGAGCTCGACATCCTCGCCTCGTTCTTTCTTCTCCTTGACGAAACCTGCCGTCAAGCTGCGACATCGCGCATCTACTACCGTCCCACTCTTTTCCCGCTTGACTGAGGGATGTAGACAAAGGTTCTTTCGACTTGTCAATCCCAGACCTCGAAATTCTTCTTCATAGCCTAGCTCGGTGGTTCGATACTTCATCAACGCCTTCAACTCGGCCAAGGCCTTCTCAATCTCAGACATGGTACGCGAGCAGTAAATCAGCTTCCGTTTTTCAGGATAGTGTTGCTGGTACGCGATGATGAGTGAGAGCAATGACACGGTTTTACCCGTGCCTGAAGGCATCTCGAGGACGCAATGACCGCCCTGGTCCAAGGTACGCTTGAGATCGCACATGTAAGCATATTGCTCAGGATATACCCGAGGGTATGGGAACAGCACGGGAAGGCTGTCGATGTAGAACTTCATGGTAACAGATCACCACCTGCGCAGAGTGCTGTTGTGGCGGATGAGTGTAGAGTAAACAAGGGAAGAAAGATCAATCGAGCTTGGGCGTTGCCTCCAGACGAAGTTCCATGTCAGCGAAATCCGCTAGACACGGATTGGCTCTAGTGTGTGACAGGGATATGCCCAGATTGCCCCACCGTCGTCCGCCTACCCACAGTTGGTGCCGTCATCAGGCAGAGCCGCACTATTTCGACATTTCACAGCTGCTCTCCCATCGTTGTCACAACATGCGACTGTTGGTTTTCCTTGAGTCATTCCTTGCATAACTACGGCCTGTTCTGCTGTGCCCTCTGCCTCTACACACTGGGTGCCCATATTACACAAACATCTTCGAGGTAACCTGGGAGTTTTGTCACACGAACCCCACCATGTCGAAGCGCACAGCAAAAGCCCAGGCAAGCAGTGCCCGCGCTGCCAACACAACCGGGTTTGGTGCTTTCGGGAGTGCATCACCAGCATTTGGCGCAAGTTCGTCGCAGCTGTCATACGTATCAGAGCCTCCAGACGTCTCTGCCATCTCCGACCCGAACGTCGTAGTCTACCTGAGAAACCTTTCCAAAAGAGATAGCACAACAAAGGCAAAGGCGCTGGAAGATATACAGGCATATGTCACATCACTTGACAGTCCAGTGGAGGAAGGCTTGCTTGAGGCATGGGTCAAGATGTATCCGCGAACCTCGATCGACAACGCGAAAGCCGTTCGCCAGAATGCACATCTCCTCCACGGTCACTTTGCTGTATCTGCCGGCAAGCGCATAGCGAAACATATGTCTAAAAGCGTCTCAGCATGGCTCTGTGGTCTCTATGACAGCGATCGATCAGTGGTCGAAGCAACACAAACCTCCCTACGACAAGTCTTCAACACAGCCGAGAAACTACAAAGCATTCGGAAGATCTACCAACAGCCTATATTAGAGTACTGTGGCGATGCCATCGATAAAGAGAGCCCTACAACCCTCAGCGATGAGAGGACTGTAACCAAGGATGATGCTGAAGCAAAGTACAGCCGTGTCATCTCGGCATGTGTGTCTTTGCTGGGTAGCTTGGTAGCCAATTTACAGCCTGAGGAACTCTCCAAGTACCAGGCCGACTACGATAGCCTCTTTGGCGACAAGAATTTATGGGACTTTTCTTCTTATAGAGATGCTGGAATTCGGCGCTCAGTACATCGACTGCTGAAAACTTGTTTGGCAAAAGAAGATGGTTCGTGTTTTTTCTAGAGTAAACGAAATTTGAAGGATACGCTAACAGATTCACAGCTGCTATTGAGCAGAATCTAGCCATTGTCAGCAAAGCGTACCTGGCCGAAGCATTGAACTCTGACCAGACTGGCTCTGTTAGCGATTATGTTGAGACTCTGACCCTTCTCACTACCAAATATCCCACAGTGTGGACGACGGATTACAAAAGCAAAACAGGTGTTGACAGACGCCTACGGCAGTTCTTGAAGAAAGGGTCTCAGTTCGGACCGCGCGACTTTTGGTCTCGATTGGCTGAGCTGTTCAAAGTTATTCCAAAAGAGGTCCTGCCACAACACGATACTGACGCTGCAGATTTGTTAAATTCTCTCCACAGTGGTATTGTGCGCAAGGACGAGCCCAAGTACACCCATGAAGCCGCATTCGATGCTTACCTAGAGATAGCTCGTCTTTTGAGTCAGCGGTTGGAAGAGTCTGAGGGGACAAAGCTACTAAGAGAGATGGTGCTACCTATAATCATGCAGTACTTGCATCCAACATTGGAGACCTCACACTGGGCTATACCATCAAATGCGACGGGGTTGTTATCAAAAGCTCTTGGAATTGAAGGAATGGCTTCAGTCCTCGGCGAGCGATGGTCTGAGTTTTCGCAGCGACTCATTGACAATATCAAAACCTCGGCTCCAGAACAGTCAAAGGATTATGAAAAGTCGCAAACAGGTGTTAGCCAACAAGCGACGCGGTTCTCGACCCTGCAAGATCAAGCGCTCAAAATCGAAAGTTTAGCGGCACTGCGACCAGTTTTCGTACAAGCATGTACATCGATTGTAGCGGAAGCCCTCGAAGTTCTCAGAAATAGGAATGGGAAGCCATATGGTGCAGCGGCTGCTATTGCAGCAGTGTTGAAGCGCAGCCCCATATTAATCTCCTCATCTCAGACAGAGCAGGACCTTGAACAGTTCATAGAGAAAGACCTACCGACGCTTGTCCTGTCACCCTCGTCTTCCTATCTAATTGACCTCTTGTACTCGAAATCGGATAGCCCAATTTTCAAGGATGCATGGAGTGCATGCCTGAGAGCCATTCTCAAGGAGACAGACCCAACCATCCGGAACAAGGCCCTTGAGGGAATTCTTACCTCATCCAGGATACCATCAGACCTTGATCTCGCAACTTCAAATCCTGAATTGCAAGAACATATCATTGCCAACGTTCGTGAAGCTATAGAAGGCTTAGGGGAGTGGGAATCATTTAGTCGCATGCTTCAATCGCCAGCGAAGATACTGTCTCCTCAGACAACGGATGGTGTTCTTGCTTACATGACAGAAACACTCTCGCTACCACAGCAAGCTCCTTACTCTTTGCAGGGTTTACGTCAGATCGTCAAGTCCAAACCCTCGATACTTCGCGAATTTCTCGCTCAATCACAAGGTTCCAGTCTTCTTCAAGCGTTACTTCTCGCATCCGAATCACCAAACGACGAAGTAGCGCAGGATGCCAAGGCTGTCAATGCATCGATCCAGACCATACTATCATCAGGCTCTGATTCTAAGCAATCGATGTATGACCTCATTCAGCAGGGTCTGCGAGATGCTACGTCAACGTCAGTCTCGGTTGAGACCTTGGTGGATTTGGCAAAGCAATCCGTCAAAGCAGGCGGCGACTGGGATCAGGTATCTAATGTTTTTCCTAACATCGATGACTGGAACTCGGCGCTTGAACCGTTCCTCAATGCTGCACCCAAGACCTCGCTAGCCATCACAAACCCTCTTGGAGGCGCTGTCTACCTAGTAAAATCAGATCAATCGCCATCCAGGATTATCAACATGACACGGGATGTTGACGGATATTCGGTCGCATACAGAATAAGTCAATATGTGACCCGATTATTCAAGAACCCTGATCTCTTCTCGATCAGCATAGTCCCATCTGACCTGAAGGCTGCGTATCTTCACAACATTGCCCTCGCCGTGCAGCTTGCCGATGATAATCTTGGTCTTGCAGGGGCAAATGGTTTCTGGGCACACTATGATCTGGATGTCGAGTCTGATGCGATGACGTTCATTTCAGATGGACAGTCGTTCGTAACGCAGGAATTACGGACGCTAGTCGCTACCTGGTCAGACAGTAGCGCTGAATCGCTCATGACATGGGCTAGTAGCATCTTGTCAAATGTCAGTGCTGACACAAATGCCCCCATGTACTACCATGCGCGGACATATAGCGTACTAATTGCGGAAGCAATTGAGATTGCTGGGTGGAAAAACTCTCAGCCTGTTCCAATGCAGGAACTACTCAAGACGACAAGAAAATCCAAAAACCTATTTCAGCTGCTGGGACTACTGAATGGGTTTAAGGAGCCATTATCAGCTTCCAAGTCTTGCCAAAGGATGTCAAGCGAAATCCTGGCCGGTCTCACAGGTTTGGACATTGAGAATAAATCGTCAGAAGCACTGCAGAATCTCGTACAGCTGAACAGTATACTAAGCCAGGACAATTTCGTGGAAGAGAGCGCCAAACATCGCGTGCTCCTTTTCGTCAATCACGTAGTCTCGTGGCTTCAAGAAGACCAAGTCGCACGAGCTGTTAAAGCGGAATTGTGTCGTTCACTATCAGTACTGATTCCAGTAATAAGCGACCGGTACGGGGATCACTGGGGAAATATCCTCAATGCGCTATCTGCGATCTGGTCGGCAACAACCGAGTTGGAAACGAATGAGTCTGACATGGATAGTCCAATCCCTCTGGTACATGCATCGCTCAAATTATACGCCCAACTTCGCACCTTGGTTAATGTGGAAGAGCCAAATGACGATCTCCTAGATGCCTGGAAAGAGGCAGAGCAGCCTGTTGCCGATGGACTAATCAATATCCTGAAGCACTCCCAACACTTCCCTGATGAGTTTCATCAGCCTCTCAAGATGGTGAACGATGTCCTAGCGCGTCAGATATCCAAGGTGTCACTCAAGAATCTCGAATCAACTGAAGAGCTATTCCCCCTGTTGTATGTGCAGTCGCAGCCCGTTCAGCAGACTGCGTTCGACATTCTGCACAAGCAAATCCCTGCGGCTCAAGAGCAGATTTCCATCGACGCAGCACTGGAGAAGTCTACTGCACGTTTGCCAGAAGAGTTACTATCTCTAGTTATCGATGCCCCTACAGTTGCATCATTGGCTGATACAAACTTCGAAAGAAGCGTACCGTTATCGCTACGTGGCTATCTGCTTAGCTGGAGGTTGGTCTTTGATCATCTAGAACATGCTTCTTTCAAGGTCAAGAACGACTACATCGAGCACATTCGTGAAGGCGATTACCTGCCTGGCTTACTTGACTTCATGTTTGAATTCCTTGGACACACAAACAACAGACCAGTCGACGTTTCGAAGCTAGACATCACAACATACGAAGCGGATGTCGAGCCTCCCAAAAGAGATCTCCAGTGGCTCTTGACACATCTGTACTTCTTGTGCCTACGCGACGTTCCTTCGCTGACAAAATCTTGGTTCAAGAACTGCAAGTCGCGTGCGATTGTAGTCTCACTCGAGCCCTGGACGGAGAGATACGTCTCTCAGCCCGTCATCATCGCTTCTCTTGATGCAGTGGCGAAATGGTCTGAAGAACAAGCTGCAGCTGAGCCTGACTCCCCCTTCACCGTCAAGGTCGTCTCTCGTGCTCGTGAGATTACTGCGTCTTACATCGTCGATGAGCAGACAATGGCGATGCGCATATCCCTGCCTGCTGCTTTCCCGCTAGCAAACGCTCACATCGAAGGTCTCAACCGTGTCGCTGTAAATGAGACAAAATGGCAATCTTGGCTACGAACTTCGCTGGGCGCCATTACGATCTTTAATGGCTCCCTTATTGATGCGCTGACAACCTTCAAGAGAAACGTGGACGGTGCACTCAAGGGACAAAGCGAGTGTGCAATTTGTTACAGCATCGTCGGTTCAGACAGGAAGCTGCCCGACAAGAAATGCGCGACCTGCAAGAACCTGTTCCACGGTGTTTGTTTGTTCAAATGGTTCAAGAGCAGCGACGGTCCTAGCTGCCCACTTTGCAGAACCAATTTCCAATATGCGTAGACTAAGTGAACAATGGTGGGGCTCGTACCGGCATATGTAGAGGACAAGCTGTACATAAGAGTTCAAAAGGCAGATGAAAACCGACCTAGAACATACCAAGAAGGTGGGCAAGGCGGTGGCGGTATCGTTGTAAAAAGAACCTCGGCTGTACCTGAATGTTATACTTACTCCTCACGCCCTAACGCCATTTACCGACACTAAATCATGATATGTACATCATTTACTACGCACCCATGTTAATCAAATATTTATACTAAACCCCACTTGCCCTTGCACTTCCCACTAAAATCTCCCATCTCACCCCCACCATGGCCTCCCCACCCCCAACCCTAATCTTTAACTACGACATCTCCTGTCCCTTCGCTTACATAGCCTCCACGCGCGTGCAATCCCTCGCCAAACGCACAAATGCAACACTCGTCTACCACCCCGTCCTCCTTGGCGCCATCTACCGCGCCACCGCCGCGCCCCAGGGCGCCGGCGGCAGCGCAAGCGACGTCTTCAACTCGACGAAGAAAAGTGTAACAGCAACGGGTATGCAGCGCACTTTAGCTCGCTACCAAGTCCCTTATCACCCCCCGCCCAAACACCCGCGAAAAACGGTAAATGCGCTGCGCATGCTTTATTGCGTCCCAGAGCAGGATAAGAGGAGGGAGTTGACGGATCGGCTGTTCCGCGCGTACTGGGTTGAGGGGAGGGATGTAAACGACGATGCTGTTTTACTCCAGATTGCAAGTGAAGCCGGGGTTCAGGGGCTTGATAAGTCGTGCTTTGCAGATGCTGGGGCGAGGAAAGAGTTGGAGAGGGAGACTGGGCTGGCGATTGAGAGGGGGGCGTTTGGGGTTCCTGGGTTTTGGATTCCGGGGGCTGGTGAAGGGGGGGAAGGGAGGTTTTTTTGGGGACAGGATCGGATGCATTTTGTTGAGGCGACGCTACTTGGGCTTTCGATGGGTTCTGGGAAGGGAGGGGAAGATGCGTGGACGCAGGTGAAGAATTTGCGGTCGCTGCTTCCTCGTGTTGTGCATTCGAATCGTCTGTCTTCTACGAGTAAGCCGGCTGTCAAACTGGAGTTTTGGTTCGACTTTTCGTCGCCGTGGGCGTTCTTGGGGTACACGCAGCTTGCGCGGTTACAGCGCACATTCGGGCCTGGGCTGGAGATTGTGCTCAAGCCGTTCTTGCTGGGAATCTTGTTTCGCGAGATAGGGGCCCCGAATATGCCGATGATGGCGATTAGTCGGGCGAAAGCGGAGTGGTCGAGGCGCGATCATGCAGATTGGACGAGGTGGTGGAATGCGGTCGATGTGCAAGAGGGACAGCAGCAAGGTGGTAAAGGGAAAGATGGGCCGATCAAGTTTTATTGGGCTGATAAGTTTCCCATACGGACGCCGACGGTGCTTAGAGTGGGGATCGTGGAGCCGGCAGCGACGAAGGTTTTGTGTAAGTCATACGTTCTTTTGTCTATGGGTCTTCGAATTTGTCTCCATAGAGGCTGTTACACAAGAGACCATTGATGAGAGTTTGAGAAAGCAGATGCTAATGAGATGATAGACTCAGCGTGTTGGGAGCAGAACAAAGATGTAGCAGACGAGTCTGTACTTCAATCTGTTCTCGATGAAGCAGGATTCAACGGGGCCGATCTCATTGCGCGCGCCAATAGCCCTGCCATCAAGGAGAGACTGCGGGCTCTCACGGCTGAAGCGAAGGAATTGGGGCTTTGTGGTGCACCCACTTACCGTGTATTGAGGCGGCAACAGGATGGAGAGTTCAAGCCTGTAGGTGGCTTGGTGTGGGGACAAGATGAGATCAATGTTGTTGAGGACTTGATTGCTGGATGGTCGCCTGAGGAGAGAAATGGCCAGATTGCTGAAGTAGGGAAGGTCAGATATGGGGATGTACAAGGCGGAAATGGAGTTAGCGCAAAGTTGTGATCAGAGTCATCAGGTTGTAATTGTGGATGGACCGTTAGAAGATATCAGATATGAACAGACCTCGGCGTATTTCACGGCGATTTTCAAAGTTGTCAAAACCATTTATCATTCCGATGTAAGTACATATATATGAAAATGACTGTGGAAAGAACAAACCATTACGCCAAAACCTGGGGTCCCCCCGGGTATCATAAATCATAAGTAGTGGTCGTGTGGGTATCTGCTGGGGTATATGGTATGTCGTGATGGGTGATTTGAAAAGATGACTGAGGCCCGCAGTCGGTCGCTGCAAAAGTGCAGAACGACAAAACCTAAAGATCAACTTGGGGATATGCGCGGCGCTTCCTCCTCCGTGCTGCCAGCTGTGGAGTCCAGATACCACTGAAGAGGTCCTCGCATTCATCTTCGTCCTGCGAATCGAATTCAATGTCTGTCTCCTTGGCCTCGGTGACCATGCCATTGTCCTCTTCTTCCAAGGATTGATCCCATTCTGATCCTTTCACAGTCCTTTTGGCCTCAAGAATGAACTTTCCAATCTTGTACTTTTGACTGTCTTCTGCGGCGTCGACATATTTCCATCCTAGAACACTACCACAACTACGACAGCTTATATCAGACACAATGTGTACGCCGGTGACCAGCTGTCGGGACTGAGGCTTGTGTGTGAGTGTGTTGGGCAAGTCGCCATTCTTGAAGCCTGCTGCTGCGATGCTTCCGCTTGAGAGAAAGCTGGATGACGGCGGTGGACTGACAAGGTATGCACGACCATGTCTTCCAGTGAAACCCTTACTTATGATTGACGACGTAGGGATAAGATCGGCGAGACATTTCTGACAACGAAGATGCGAGGTCGGCTGGGTGGCGAGAAAGGATGTAGGCTGTGGCGGAGACGAAGACAGCGATGACGATGAGCTGGTAGAATCGCTAAAAGCAGAGCTGCTGCGCCGGCGGAAGGTGAAACTTGGGAACAGGTAAAGAGGAAATGGGGTTGTTGGTGAGTTCGGCATGATGTGCTAGGGGGGTGGAAACCCGGTTAGTACAAAGTCTTGTTGAGTGTTTTTCGCAAAATTAGATCAAAGTTCTCAAATATGGCCTGAACAGATGCGCGAAAAGTATTGGCGGCGTAGAGAAGTATTCAGAAGAGGCGCAGGCGCGTAGCAAGAAGACAATGTTCTTGGTTATGTTCGATGAAGCGCTCAATGAAAGATCGAGGCTAAATTGGCCCCAAACCTGTGGAATGATCTTTGCAGACTCTGTAATAGTTGCGTCGGGATCCGAGGAGCCTAGAAAACCCCGCACTAGAGTTTGGCCTAGGTTGCTAACAAGTCAACCTTTAAGGTTGTTGTGCAGGAGGAAAGTGACGTGATGGAGTTCGAGGGGGTGATGCCCGCGATAAGCGACAGCCGATAACGGATAAGGCGCCACAACCGAGTAAGGCGGAGCAGGACGGATGCGCTTGGAGTTATCGATAATCGCAACCCTTGCAACACTCAGGCATCGATGGGCTGGGCGTGGTAGAAGTAAGAGCTGCAGGAGAGAGAGAAGGAGGAGTGAAGAATAAAGCACAAGGCGGTCAATACGAAACTCTGGTCATGGCCTCGGGTGGTACCCCGCGCCATCGAATCACAGTCAGCGTCCTGATCATGCGGTCCTTGGAAACCCAGTATCTTGTCACGGGATGCGCTGGCACTCGGATCGCATGAGATTGGGACACACACTTTTGCTAAGATATGTGTGTCCCTGTGACTGGTGCTTGTTCGCTGGACTCATGACAAGATGCGCTTCTGCTGTCATGCCACAACCCTCTAGGAGATGCCCCACTCTTTCACTCCAGTAAACTCCTATTGTGCACTGTCCTAAGGTCGAGCTAAACTAAGATCGCCATTTCTACCAGACATGATGAATTCGGAAGAAGTTATCTGGGTTGTTTCGATACCCTGTTTGCTACCTTTCTCACTTTCACCCACCACGTGCGGGCTGATGCTGCTTCCCGTCTTCGATGCTGCGCTTTCCGTTTACGGCCTCAACAACGCCTTCTCCCTATGGCATACAAAACCAGACTAGTGTGTCTTTCTACTCCCGTTACTCCACTTGTTCCCCTAAATGGGCCTTGGTTGAATTTCCCAGCGTTTGTCCAGCATTATTACTCCATCCCAGTACTAACATTAGGTAAAATTGAGACATCAGAATTGTCGGGATGATGTCTCTTGTCCCAACGCGGAAAAGAAAAGATGTCCATAACCCCGGGCAAGAAGCGCAAGAATCGCAAGACAAGGGAAAAGTTCGTGTTGTCGAACGATCAGCAGAAGCTCATTCTGTTGCTACTGCGAAGCGTCCGCATGCGCGCAACACTACTCCTGCTGGCCGTACATTCACCACACTACGGCGTGGGAGCATAGGAATCTTTTCCATTTTCCGTAATGGCAAGAGTAAGTGTCTTGGATACCTCGTCCTTGAACTTATTAGAACTAACTCTACCATCAGGCTCTACTCCGAGCTCGGCAGAGGCTACACTGGGGAGTAACGGCTCAGCAGCGAACAAGTCTTGTAGTCCGGCTCATCTGAGAGTCGGAAAACGCTACTCCAGATCCTCTTCGCGAATCCCTCTTACCTCCGACCTACCTATCAGTCTCCCACCCCTCAGCCTAGGCCCTGATAATTCATCCCTCCTACAGCTTGCCAATACTGCCACGTTCGATGGCGAATCCGAACCAGTGTTCCAGACTCGCACACCTCCTCCTACGCCTGTAACCACAAGTGGATCGACTCCAAGTTTGTCTAGGCAGCTGACTACAAAGCTTTCAAATGCCTTGCTCAATAATGAGACCGTGGTACATCGCCCAAAATTGAATCCCAGACCTACTGTTGAACTCAGTTACTTCAACCGACACAGCAGCGACAAAAATACTACCATCTCGCCTAAGACTCCTATATCCGAGGTATCTTCTCTGCCCTCAAGTGGCTTCAGTCCAGGAACCAGTGGGGCTCCACAGTCAACTGCTCCCACTTCCCTGGTTTCTTCAGGCGGCCCACGATCTGCTGAGACAACACTTCGCACACAGAATGGGCGCTTTGTAACCGAAAGCTCGCCTCCTCTTTCCTGTGAATCGACTGCCGAGCATTCGCCTTCTCGACTTTTGGTGATCCCTCGCCAAGACGCACCACGATTATGTGAGCCTTCTATTGCGACTATTGAAAAAGCGGCGGCAGCGAAGATCTTCTTCGAGTCACATTTCAATGAGCTTCTTACTACCAAAGTTACACCAAGGTCGATGCGTCGTCGCCAAATGGAGGGTAAACTTCTCGTCATGGCTGTCTCAGAGGAGCAACGTCAATGCAATAGACGAGAATAGTATCTCTCCGAAACTTACCACTTGCGCCAAATACGAGTGATGAAATCCAATACGGTAGCTCGGCAGACAATGAAGGGCGTACACGTCTCGAACTACGATATTATTCGGGTGTTAGGTAAAGGCAGCTTTGGAGTCGTCAGGCTTGTTCGTGAGAAGAGCGAACACTGCGAGAGTCTCCGTGGGAGCAGCTCCAGCACAAGATATCTTGATCGATCTTTAACACCAAAAGAAGAAAACCCTTCTGGTACTTGTCGCAGACCAAAACAGGTATTCGCTATGAAAGTTATCAGGAAATCCGACATGCTTCGCAATAGTCAAGAAGGCCATTTGCGTGCAGAAAGGGATTTCTTGGTTGCTTCAGAAAACTCCCGTTGGGTAGTGCCTCTGATTGCCGCCTTCCAAGACAACAACAACTTATATCTTGTTATGGAGTACATGATGGGGGGAGATTTTCTCGGACTTCTCCTTCGCGAGGACATTCTCGACGAGAACGTGGCCAAGTGGTATCTGGCAGAAATGATACTTTGCATTGAAGAAGCACACAAGATGAACTGGATCCATCGCGACGTCAAACCCGACAATTTCCTCATCACCTCATCTGGCCACCTTAGAATTTCCGACTTTGGCCTCGCCTTTGATGGCCACTGGGCTCATAATCAAACGTACTATAACGAACAACGGTATAGCTTGCTACGTGATTTGGGCTTGCATGTTCAGGGTGATGCACAAGACATGGAAGAAGAGAGAAACAGACAAGATGCCCGCAAAAACACGGGCCATGTTTACGGCAATGAATCAACGCGCAACTGCTATCAAACTCGACAGGAGACTACCAATGGGCCCATTATTGATTGGTTGAACCGTGAGCAAAGACGTCAGTTTGCAAAGAGCGTTGTGGGGACCAGTCAGTATATGGCTCCAGAGGTCATCAGGGGTGAAAACTATGATGGGCGTTGCGACTGGTGGAGCATCGGCATAATATTATACGAGGTACGTCGCTTCAGAAGACGTGACGTCTCTCTAACATGCCCAGTGCCTGTATGGATGTACACCGTTTTTCTGCGAAAACAGACAGGCGACCAAGGCGCGGATACTCGTACGTGGAACCACATGGGGTCCTGGACCAAGGTTAACCCGAGTAGGATCACAGACGATGGTTGCGATTCCCATCCGATCAGCGTTACGCTCGTCCGAATATTGATCGCATACCTCTTGTGCCAGTCTCACGCAATGCCATCGATCTAATGACACGACTCCTCGAAGAGAGACAGGATCGACTTTCCGCCAGACGATACCGTGAGAATGACTGGGTGCTCCGCGATAAATCTCTTAGTATGCGTAGCAACCGACACAATCACAACAACACTGGTCACATCGTCTGCCCCCACGATGCCGAAGACATCAAATCGCATCCATTCTTCCGCAACATCCAGTGGTCCTTGCTACACATGACTCGCCCACCTTTTGTGCCTCGTGTCCATGGAGGACAGTCCATCACCAAGTACTTTGACGACGAGGCCGACATTCTAAGCGCATCCGATCATCTCGAATCTTCCAGCTACGACTTTATAGAAGTAGCCGAAGAGCCAGCACCGCCTTTTGCTGCTGCTGCTGCTGCTGCACCCAAAGTTAACGTCTTTCACCCCGCCATCGCAATCGAATCTCAAGTCCGCATCCCTGGAATCTTTGAACAACTCGCATGGGATAGGCTATATACTTCATTCAAGAAGATACCAAGGCGGAAAAGGGAAAAGAAGAGACCTCGTGACAAGCTGCTTCGTGATCCAGAGGTTGGTCGCGCGGTACTAGAGATCAGGAAGAGGGGTGCTTTTGTGGGGTATACGTATCGTAGGCCTAGGTTCTCGCTGCCTAATTTGGAGGATAAGATGGGGGCGGCGAGGCCGCATGTCCCTCGGTCTGGTGTAACTGCTACGATTGTCTAGACTTTTTGTTTAGTATTATCGAAAGTATCACTACTACTACTACTACTACTACTACTACTACTACAGCCAATGTTTCTTCCATTCTCTCTTGAAACATGCACTATATTCACGTGCCTTTTTCTTTCCACTGACCAAATTACCTCCCTTCATCCCCTCTTCAATCTCCTCACATTCCGCCCAAACACCGCCCACAACACCCCCGCCGTCACCAAAAACGCCAGTATCCCCATTGTAACACCTAACCCCGCTGCTGCTGCTGCTGCACCACTAAGCCCCGCTGACGACTTCGACGGCTTCACACACACAAGAGATGCAGATGCCGTATTACTAACTGTATCTAGCCCTGGAAGTGCAGTAATCGTGCTGCCAGGTGTGGCGGAAATAGATGTAATAGTGGCTGTTGGAGGGGATGTAGGAACGATCGTGTCTCCTCTCCTATCGGTACTACTTTCACTCTGGCGTGTCATCAGTGATGATGATGATGATATTTCCAAGGCTGAAGAGAGAGGTGCATTCGTTGTCTTGGGCGCGGAAATAGTGTCTGAGGAGGAGAGGGGGGGAGTAGTGCTGGTTACGAGTGGTGATGGTGGTGGTGGTGGTGGATCCATGGAGATTACGATGGGAGTGATTCCCCCTGTTTTTGTGGATGGGGATTGCATGATTGTGCCGTGGTGGTGGTGGTGGTGTTGTTGTCGCGTTGATGTGGTAGAATGGATGTATACAAAGGATGGATGGGAACGGAGGTCCCAGTTTTCCTTCATTAATGAGGCTAGAGAGGTGTTCGTTTGTTGTTTGTTTGCTTCACATGCGGGTCTGGTTGTGTGGGCGTGTGTTGGCACGCAAGTTGTCGTGTGGCGTTGGGTGGGATGTGGTGGTTGTCTGTTTGCTGATTACGAACATGGGCGTTGCTTGGTATATTTCAGACTAGAGACTGCCTACGGTAGTTTATTTTGTCAAACTGAGGAGTAGGGTTGTAGACTGTGAATTCGCAAAGTGGCGATGGAACTGTGTGTTAGTGGGGATACACAAGTATCAAGAGAGGGAGAATGCATATAGGCAAAATACTATTCCTTATCCACTGTCGCTATGCTACATTACGAATGGAAGGACCCATTCGAGTCTAAAAAAGTTGGAAATCCGGCTATGTCTTTAAAACAGATCCTATTCTATAATTCTAAAGATTCGAAGCGAAGGTAGGACGATTACTTGCTACGGCGGAAAGCAGCGAAAGGGGGGAAGAAGTATGCGGGGTGGAACGCAGTGAGCACTGCGCATGCGATACCAAGCATCCTGGTCATTGTAAGTTAGATGTCCTGAACATATAGTGAGTAATGCAACTTACATTCCGTCAAGCAAAAGAAACTCCCGCTCATTACGCATCAGCGCATTACCCCAACCACCAGCCATCTCTGGCAAACGGTATATGCAACGGATAAGCACAGTGAGGTACGCCAACACAATGACACCACCGAAAAGCTTGACTTTTCCAAGGGAGACACTACCAGCTTCCTTGTCCATCTCGTAGCTGCTCTTCTCGTTCAGCGCGTCGCGGTTCTGGCGAGCCTTGTAGTATCGGAAGATGTAGATCAGAATGAGCACACCGCACACTACCATGGTGACAACCTGGAATGCGATACCAGCTACGATGAGATTGTTGCCACCATCAATGAGTTTCTTGCTGGTAGTGCCACCGGCAGCTGCCATGCCTCCACCGACAGCCTGAAGCACAATGGAGCCGAAATCGCAGCCGACAAAGATCCATGGATAGAGACGAGGTTTGATGAGTGAATGCTGAGGCCCGCAGTACAGAACAAAGTGCTTCAGCGTGAGGTAGATGGCGGCAGCAACGAAACTAGGACCGAGGACGAGACAGCAAATTTGCAGTTTGAAACCAGACTCGCTCCATGGGTTACCGTTCATGATAATGCGGCCGGCGTATCCAGCGGCTTCGAGAAAAGTTCCGATGCCCAGGGCAAGAGTGTACGTCCATGTCTTGCTCATGATGCCGATGATAATGCTAGCAAGGCAGCAAAGAGCGAAGAGAGCGCAGAGGAAGGCATTGGCACCGAGATTTGGCCTGTATCCGTAGAGCGTAGCGAAAACGGGGCATTCAGGCGATACTTCGAGACATTGGCGGAAATTTCCCTTGGGCCTATCTTCGGCGGCGGAAACAATGACAACCTGGGTGGCGAAGACGAGGGCAGCAATGAGACCTTTTTGCGCGTAGGAACGCATTATGGGCGAACTGCACGAAATGGACGAAATGTTATTAACAAAAGCAGAAGAGAAAAGAGAGCAGAAGAAGAAGAAGGGCGCGAAACGACAAAAGCGACGCCAGGCAGCAGATTGGTGTGATGTCTAAGCCATGTGGGCGTGGGTCGTCGACAAGCTCTTCCGCGGCGCATGGCCGCTTCGAGGGGGACGCCTAGCCCTCTGCCATAATTATCCCCTGTGTGTTATTAGTCGGAGGGTGATACCCACCAACCGTACAGGCCGTATTCCCATGAGCAAGACTTCGCGAAGCTCTAAGCGAAGCTGCTCTGCTGTACTGCTCTGTACACTATTGGCTGCGCTTGCACCGTTAGGCCAATATGTCATGGCCAAGGCGTTGGCGTCAACGACTTGTGTTTAGGCCGCGGGTTGGGTGTCTCCCGGGCGCATGGGTCCCGCTGTATTGTCCATTTGCGGTGGCGCTGTGCGAGGCCTGCCTTGTATGGGAAGGTGTTTGACGCGTGCAGGGGGCGAATCACGTCGGTTGCGCAGCGGCTTCGGTTGCAAGTCTGGTGCTGCCGTTTTCCCGGTCGTTTAGATCTGGTCTTCCATTGTCTGTAGTCGTCACAACGAACGCTGATCCTGCGCATTTAAGCTTTCCTATATCATCTTCCTCCAAACCTTTTCGCTACTACGGTTGATGCGCAAGTATCGATTTCAAGAACTTTTAGAATCCCTCCTAGGCTTCGTGAAGTGGACCTGATACTTAGAACGAACCTAAGTTGCCCTTGGTGTATATGCTAATGTCGTATTTTCGGATTGATTGTGCAACTTCCGTGCCGTATTCGCGGTGGCTGATTTCAAAGACGTTGAAAGGGCTGTGTTGGCTGACGTGCAGGAATTGGAGGCTAGCCTAATGGAGACTTAGCTTCCCAGCTGATATCCAAACATATTTCTTACCAAGTCTCCACATAGTTAACTACTCCTAGTGCATATATCATGGTGTAGGTTGTACAAACGCTTCGTTTTGTACGTCGCTGCCGGGAAATATCATAAGCATACGGTAGTGTCCTTGCTGGCTGCTACAACCTATACTTAGTCAGCCATCAGGGAGAACCTTTTCGTGCTTACATTTGCAGTTTCTAAGCACAACTAGCGTGTAGTTGCAAGGTATTTCAGCTCAGTATAGTTGTAGAGCTGATCGCCATGGTTCCTGAGTTTTTGGGTCCCAGCTTTTCAGACGTCTCTTCCACGCACGTATCAACAGGCCCGAGCTCGATTTGTTAAAAAGGCTAAAAAGGCATCCCGCAGTACAAGCGTCACTACACTTGGGAGATCAATCGAAAAATGCTACAGTCATTAGCGATTGTGGCTTCATCCCTACACATAGCTGCGCAACGGTTTCAGACAACCTCACCTTCTATATAATTTATCGTGAGACGTCAGCTATAGAACAACCAATGTGATTGGCCAGTCCTTAGTCTTATGATGATTGGACTTTTAGAAAGCTGGCTGCAGGTGAAGCCGTAACCATTAATGACTCTAGGCTGACCACATGCAGGTTATTGGACCACTAACATAGCATTCACATTAGCACTATGACGAAAGACTTAGGTTATGTATATATATAAAAAGTGGTGTGATTAATGTGACTATACCACCTTTTACATAGGTAAGTCTTTCGTTAGTGCTAATGTGCATACTGTGTTAGTAGTCCAACAACCTGCATGTGGTCAGCCTACTCATCCTCAATTGTGACAAGTTTTAGGACTAACTTAATCTAGTATAGACATGCAAAATTTGATGCAAATTTATGGATAGCTTCAATCTTGGTCTACAGAAACCTTCTGAACTATCCTCAGCCTCTCGGATTTCTAATCTTGCCCCATCTAAATGCGACTTTTTTGTACACCTGAGCTAGATGAGAGAAGTACCATGGATCATATTAGGCTGTCAATAAACTTGACACATATCGGATGTTCCAATTACTCATTCCTTTTCTTCTCACACTGTCACATGAATATCTTCGTTCCAAACATCCAGAGTCTCTGTTCAAAGATAAATACCACCGAAATAACCCCAATTTTATCTTCTCACCAAATCGCCCCACTCAATTCTCTCATATTCAACATCCTACTCAAGTTACTAGCTACTCCTGCCTTATTTTTTCCCCACTCTTCAACATGAAGATTCCGACCTTAACCATCCTTCTCCCAATCCTTCTCACCACAACCACAAACGCCTGGGAACTCACTATCTGGCTTGCCAATGGCAAGCATGTTACTACACACGGCACCATAGACTCGGGATGTGTGACATACAACTTCAACATGAACTCGCCCGTCAATCGGGCTGTATTTAGTAAGAGTTTTTGGGCGAAAACCTTCGAATTGTATGAGCACAAAAATTGTAGAGGCAAGGCTAGCTATAGGGAAGGCCAGGGCGAGCATTCGGTCGTCCCGCCAAGGATCATTAAGAGTTATAAAGTCTACTAGCAGGTATGTGCATAGTATACGAGATGCATTATATTATGTAAAATTGCATTTACCAAGTCAGGTTCCTAACAAAGGTTAGGGCGTAGATGCAAATAACCAGTGTATCTTGCATTCGTACGAACCATAAGACGTTCGCTGTCTTAATTCCTCCAGCCGACAATAATCTCAATTCTACCAGGGCTGCGAACGAAACGCATTTGATATACACAGCTACGAAACTCTCAGATATGGAGGGCTACTGAATCGAATGACATCCAAGGCGAATCAAACAGGAATGCTTATAGTCTTGCCTTTATTGGTTTATGTTACAGTACTGCACAGATAGCTTCACCTCACTTATTCAAACCCCACTATCACTAAAGTTAAGCATGTGTTTTTACACTGAAAACTTTACTAAAACACTATATTTCTTAAAGTAATGGAGTTTTCGCGATTGCTATATACTATGTAGTACTTTGATATGGTGATCTTATGGTAGTCTACAACTAACAGCGCGGGCGAGGCAGAGACTTAATAAGTGTAGTTGCTGACCCCTGCTCGCTTGTCAGCGCAGACGGCGTTGCAGCTGCGTGCAGGGGTGAAACCGCAATCGCTAGCGACTGTATCAGACTAGATAACAGGCATTTCTCTACCACCAGATATAGTAGAGGTATGGCGGTAGTCGCATGGGCTGTTGGGAGAGTTAGGACAGAGTCGCATAGACTACTGATTGAGGTTAAGCAGGAGTACGTCACCTGTGGGAAGAGTTATGTTAGAGGTGGGCTCACGTCAGACCCTACCTAGTATGCATACCTATTTACCAATCTACATATGATCACGTGCTAGTAGAAAACCTTGATGCAGCAGATCACACTTTCTCAAGTGGCAAAGCATGGTTGGTAAATATGAAATAATGTGTCTGAGTAAACTTCAACCATATTACATCTCCTATAGCGATCTAATTTACAAAACAAGACTGAAGCGTCAACCCCTACCAGCCATTGCTAACTAGCCTTCCGCTCAACCCACTCAATCCCCACCTCATCCTGCCTAGTCATTCTCAGCGTTAACACGTTTTGACTGTCCTGCATCAGATCCATCAACCGTTGTCTTGCCTGCTCTTCACTCTCGCCCTCTTTCCGTACAGGCCGAGCATTACATCTACGAAACAGTGTCGCCATCACAGATACAAACTCCACCTGCGACATCTTCATTCCAGGGCATGAGCGGGGACCAATAGACCAAGGTATATATGTGCCGTGTGGTGGTGTAATCAAGACGGGCTCTGGCGCATTGGGGTCCAGCCAGCGACTAGGTTTGAATTCCAGGGAGTCTGGTCCCCATATCGAAGGTAGAGTGTGTAGGGCCATTGTGTTGACGTATGCGCCGAAGGGGCCTGCGAGTGAGAAGGTGCGGTCTCCGAGTTTTAGGGTCTGACTCGTTGCAGCGTCCCGCAACACGAGGCTTACAGGCGGGAAGTGGCGTGCTGCCTCAAACTACGAGGTTGAATCGTTAGATCAAAGTCATTTTGGAATGGGAAAAAACAATGCCGGCTGGCTTTATTTCGAGTGGACAGCAGAAACGTGTATTTGGAAGGATGATGGGGATACACTCACCATGACAGCTAGACATCGCACTAGCTTGGGATAAACTGTCGAATAGTCTGACTGTGATGGGCTGCATGTTTCGAAAACAGCATCGATCTCAGCCTGCATCCATGTTTGCCATTCTGGATACACGGCGAGGAGAGTAGCGGCGTAGCTCATTGTATTTGCAGTAGTTTCGTAACCAGCAGCAGTGAAGACGAAGAGATTTCCAGCAATCTCCTCCTCTGTGAGATAAGTGGTACTAGTTTTGGAAGAAGCTGAAGTTTTGTTTTGCTCCTTCTCCTGATCCGATATGCGAACAAGTGTGGTCATGATGGTAGTTGAACTATCCTTTGGGTTCTCTGTCGCATCCGTGGCATTTGACTGTGCGAGAAGATTTTCTTGACGTTCTCGGTCAAGTACATTCTTCACTAGATCTGGCATCTCATTCATTGCGGCACCTAGTCGTTTTAGTGCCTGTGGCATGAAAGGTAGGGCTAGCCAGCTACGCGGAATAAAGGCGGCTGCAGCAAGGAGTTCAACGACGGTAACAATGGCGTCGACATATCTGGTTTGCGCAGATGAATCAGTACTAGATGGTGGTGGAGACACAGAAAAGGGCTGCCTGCGACCATAAGCAATCCGAACCAAGACGTTTAAAGCGACTTTGTGAAGGTTGTGAAGCGTGTTCACGGATTCTTGGGCAGGGGTAGTCGCTTTCGATGATAACAAAACGTCGGCAAGGGATGACGCTTGTTCTGCAGCCTCTGTCCATACGTGCGGGCTGATGCGTTCGTTGAGAGCAGGAGCGACAATACGACGGTGCCGCGACCACGAGTCACTTTTTGCCTGTTTTTCAAATAATTAGCCAGCAAACAAGGACCAGCAGGCGGGTTTGTAACTCACAGTCATAATGTTGGCTCCCAGAACACCCATGGACGTTACGGTAATGTCGGGGTGACTATAGTCTTTCCTATTGGACAAGATATCACTAGCCATTGCTGGGTCGGCACAAATGAGACGGTTGTTTCCCATGGTGACATAGACAAAGGCAGGCCCAAGCCTTTCGTGAATAGCATACTTGTCACGAAATTCCCAGCACCAGATACTGAGTTCGACAGTGGCGAATAGAGCAGTGGGGAGGATACGAAGAAGCACAGGGCGGAGGGGGACACAGAGAAAGGCCCATATTCCCTGCAAGTATGGTTAATCTGATGTTTTTGTTCTTGTGTGGATAGAGAAGGTTAGGCGACTTACACTATCTGGATTGTAAGGGCATAGGATCATGGGCAACCCAGTAGCGCGGGCTGCCTGGTAGTTGTTACTAAATCTTCTTAGCTTGGGGCCCAAGTACAGCAGCACTGCTCCTATGAATCCGACGATAAGAGTAAGTAGCATGGCTTTTGAAAGATGGTGTCTTTGATCGGCTCAGGCCTTTTGGATAATGTTCAATGGCGACTGATTGTCTGGCGAATTGAATAAGAAAAGTGTAGTCAAATCCAAGGACTCTTATAGACGGCGTGCCGTTGATGTTGCTCAAGATGCCCCCCTGCCGGAAGATATGGATCCGGACTGTCAGAAAGCAGACCACCCAACTCTGGCTCGTGCCGTACACAAACACGCGCTAGTAGGAGCTAAAACTCTTTCTATAGAATGAAACTAACCCTATTTTTAGCTAGTATACGAGATATATCTCTGTGATGGGTGGGCTCTTTGAGCCGAGTGTACAACTACTTACGCTAACTATTTTGCCAAAAAGGCAGTAACAAGACTTCAAGCTTGTCTTGAAGTCAAGGCAGTTGCGTAGAAGTACTCGATTTGCTTGGCCTAGCCAAGCCACACACATTGGCGTAGCCCCTTACAATCTCCTAGCAAGCTACGAACGTAATTAAGACACGCGATAGTTAGGTATAAGTATTCTTAAAAAAAAGTTTAGGATGTATAGGGAATTTCTTATTCAAGTTTAGCATAATGTATCTAGGCAAAGGTTAGAGTCGCGTGGCCTGCCTACACTCGAACTGTGTATATATACGGTGCTAAGTCGCCCTTGCTTCGGTCTGACTACCGGATGTCTGTGCGTGTGAGGAGTAAGTACGTCACTGCGTCACCACTTTACAATGGACGTTGTATGTAATATGTAAATAAGTACAAAGGGGACAGACAGCAAGAGAGTAAACTATGCACATGTGCAGGCATACAGGAGCCATTCCTATACGCATGGTTTGTCGCCTGCTCAACTCCTTTGCAAGCAGGTGTACCCCTTGCGGTTGGGTGCGGGTGTGATACTGGACCAACTTGCAGAGATTAAGAAACGCTAATGTGTAGTCCTTGGAAACTTTGTGATGGAAGGGTGCACATAGCAATTGTCAAAATAGAGCGCATGGTTGGGATATGTAGTACGTTACGTAGGTACGTAGGTACGTAGGTACGTAGTGTACCTGTATGGGAAGTTGACTGCAATCTCGAAACGATGGCGTGATAGGCAACGATCTACCCCACTAATCCCACTCCAGTACCTCTCTTATCGCCGCAACTTCGGGGCCGGACCAAGCCAGGTACCGCGGCCCCATGACGCGCAACATTGAAACATGTGCAACACCAAAAACACCAAGCACTTACGCTGACTCTTAATACTTCATCTACATTTTGCAGCCGAATCAAAGCAGCCATGGCATCTTCAGACGATTTGAGCAAGCTCGCGACACCGCCCATGTGCACAGCAGACTTTTGTCTCATCCCACTCGGCACCCCCACAGCGTCGGTGTCCAAGGAAGTGGCAGAGGTGCAGCGACTCCTCAAGAAGAGCGGACTGGAATACTCAATGCACTCTGCTGGCACGACTCTAGGTAAGACTTGTCTACGCAGCGCCCATCCCTCTCGGCCGGGAAGCAGTATGTTTGTGTGTCCATGTGGTATTATCTGCGGGGTATCATGGCATGGGATGGAGGGGTAATAAGAGGCGAGGCTTGGAGTGCATGCTAATTTTTTCTCTTTGCAGAGGGCTCATGGGACGATGTGATGCGGGTTATAGGACAGTGCCACGCCATGCTCCACCAGAATGGCATTGTGAGGATTCAGAGCGACATCAGGGTGGGGAGCAGGACGGACAAGAAGCAAGGGTTCAAGGACAAGGTTGCGGCCGTCGAGCAGCTCTTGAAGGGAGACGAGGGCGCGTGACGCGTGGTCGAGGATGACTTGTCAGGGCGGCGGATGGGATGCATGAAGAAGAAATTTGACGTTGCCAGTCCGGCGTGAACACGCAGACGGCACATGTGGTTGCCCAAGCCACAGGGTGTGAGTGAAACAAGACTCCTTTTTGCGCCATTGGCTGTTTGGTGTCGTGGGCCAGTAGGCGGATGCTGGGGTAGGATGACATGGCTGGGATCGGCTAGCATTACGTGGAGAGCGTAGGATGGCCGTCCTGTCGCAGATTGCCTTGCATGTGTGTATGGATGTTCATAGACAGAGAGAGTGTGTGTAGAGTAGCTGTGCTGGCACTGGCAAGCGACTAGGGGCCAGGGCTGGTGAAACGGTCGGTCGAGGCTGCGGCCTATGGTTCAATGGCAAAGGCAACCAACCCCGCATGCTGGTGCTCCAGAATCTTCACCGCCAGTCGACGTGGAAGCACAGTAGCGCAGTGTAGGCTGTGAAGGATGGCGGCAGTGATAGGCCAGGCCCTAGGAGACGCACGGCCGAGGGGAGGTGGAAAAAAGTTGGCGGGTGCCGAGCAGCATCATCCTTGACGTCGGTACCTCAATCCCGGAAAATCCCCTCGACTCCCGCAAATATCCTCGCGCCTCGCACGCTCCCATCACTCCACCCACCATCTCTGCGCCATAATTGCATCCGCCCTCCCACTCCGCCCTCCCGCTCCCATACAATCCTCTGCTCTCCGTCAACACACCCTCCCCGTCCCACGCGTCCCGCCCCGTCTCCCCCGTCAGTGTCTCGTGTGATCGCATGGCGAATGCACGCGACCGCACCATCACCTGCCAATCTCTAGCTCCCGCCCGGTAAAGTCGACGCTCAACCCCTCGCCGCACCGGGCGATCCCAATCAATCGCCATGGCTTTCAACTTCAACTGGTCCCCGCTTATCGCAGACACGTCGCGCGCCCGCGACATGCTCACCACCGCCCTGAACAAGTCGCCCAAGCCGCCTATCATCGTCGACGACATCATCGTCACCGAGCTGAACCTGGGCACCACCCCGCCCGAGCTGGAGATACTGGAGATTGGCGACCTGGCAGAGGACAGGTTCAGAGGCATTTTCAAAATGTCGTACGCCGGCGATGCCTTCCTGACCCTCAAGACAAAGGTCCAGGCAAACCCGCTCAAGACGTACTTGTCCACAAAACCAGATTTTGCCTCGCCCCAGCCCTTGGCCGCCGCCTCGGGCCTGACGATACCTCTGCAAATTACCCTCTCCGAAATCCGCCTGTCTGGATTCGTCATTCTCGTCTTCTCCAAGCAAAAGGGCCTGACGCTCGTCTTCCGCAACGACCCCCTCGATTCGCTCAAGGTCTCTTCAACCTTTGACTCGATCCCCTTTGTGCGCGACTACCTCCAAAAAGAGATTGAGGGCCAATTGCGTGTGCTCTTCATGGAAGATTTGCCAGCTATCATCCACAGGTTATCCCACCGAATGCTCTCGCCAGAGTACCGCGAAATCGACATGGAAGAACGCTTGGAGGGGGCCAAGGACACAACCGCCGCCATCGATCCTCTTGCATCCCCGCCTCAAGATGCCGTTGATGCCTTTGGCAATCCCCTAGACGAGGCCCAAATATCTGCCTTGTCCCTCGATTCGGGCGAGATACATGCGTCGTTTTCGCAGAAGAATATCCTCCGCCTCGCCGCGCTCTCCGAATCTCAACGAACACTGTCGCTCTTCACACCCGGCATACGCGATGCTGTGTTTCGTGCCTGGGCGGGTCATCCCGACCGGCCCGAGTCTGGCGTTGCCACCCCTGCGCTTACACAAGGCAGTTTGTCAAGGATACAGTCAACGTTTGGTAGCCTAAAGTCTGGCGCATCCTCGGTTGCTTCTGATAGCACGGGCAACGAGACCCTGAGCTCACGGCCGACCATGGTTTCGTCCTTTTCCTCGTCGGCCGGACTCAGTCTCAGCTCCGCTCGCTCGCGCGCTGGGGGTATGCGCAAACGGAAGAAGCGCGTTGTCGATCTAAGGAAAAAGGACATCCCAGACTCTGGTGTGTCTACAGGAGAAAACACGCCACTGCAGAGCGCGTATGCATCCGAGACATCAAGCGTTATACCAGAAGAGAGGGAAGCAGAGGACGAGCTGGCTACTCCGCCAATGAGTCCCACACAGCCAGGAGTGCGCTTCGAGGGCAGGCGTGGAAGTCTCGATGTTGGTACTCCCAAACGTATACCTGAATCTAAGCCGGTACTTGAAGAGCCACCTGCGTTTGGTTCTCTCGCCCCTGCGCCTGAATTTTCAAAAGCACCTAGACCTGCAAAGTCGAAGCAGTCAGCGCCACAGCATTCGCTACCATTTGTACATCTTGAAGACCCATTCATATCCCGCGGATCCAGACGCCCGCCCATTTCCCACAACAAGTTACGACAGGCCCAACAATCCACCTCTCCACTCCTACGCTCCCTGTCTTTCGACAAGGTCTCATCCCTCTCGGCTCTATGCTCGCCCCCTCGCGCCCTCTCCCCACCTAATACCAACATGGCATGCAGCTCCGGCGGCATCCTCGAGCAAGCCTGGATGCACAAGATGGCACAGGAAATTGCGAGAAAAGTGCAGGAAGAAAAGGACCGGTCTTCACGGCAGCGACCCTCGAATCATACGCGCACAAAGACTGCCCCTGCCGGACGAAGCTTTTGGCAGAACGACGATGAGATTGAGGCTCCACCTGCTTATGTGGCGTAATATTGGCCTCTCTCTCTCACCCACACACCTCAACGAAAAGTGGCCTTGTGATGAAGTTATGAGTGATGATATTTTGTCATGACTAGCGTTTTTTGTCTTTGTCTTCTTTTCTCAACTCAACCTTTGAGTCTATTTTTTTGGTTTCTTGCTCTGTAATTTGCTCCATGGGTTTTGAACCCTTTGTTTCGTTTGTTCCACTAGCATTGTGTTTTAGCATCGGCGTTGTCACGGGTAAGGATTGAAAAGGGGGAGGTAGAGTAAAAATGGGAGATGGGGGAGATCAAAAGTATTGTCGGTTTCAAGTTTGGAAGAAAGAGGTGAGACACTTATTTGCATAGCGCTAAACGGTAGTTATTAGCATCACTTGTTTTTCTTTTTTTTTTGGCTATTTGAGGCGCCAGGATTACGGGCATTCTGATCGAGGTAGCTGATCAGCGGGCATTGCAAGGAGCGGGGGGGGGAAAGGAACACTCACCACACAATTTTTTGTTATGTCATTACTAATCCATTTATATTCTCCGTCTCGCAATTGAAACACGACGGGTCTTCTCGTCTAGCTGGGTCTTGCGAAGTCTACACACACATACACACAAAGATGGGAATCTACACGTATATACACATGTTGTGGTAAAAAAAAAAGAAATCACATCAAGAAATATCATTCAAATATACCACTCAAATCTACAACTCAAAGTGTGATGAAAAAAAGATATGCAGATAGAATTTGCTATGAAGAGAAAAAGAATATATGCCACCCTAAACGCCCCGTTCATGCATTCATAACTTCATTTACCCTCCAACCCACCCAGTTCTTTCACACAAACAGTAAAAAGAAAGGAGAAATCTAAACGAGAACGGCAATAAACTATGCCCCAGCATCACCCCGCAACATCCCCAACCCTAACCCACCTCTCCTCCAAAGCCAGCACAACCAACTCCTTGACACTCTCCAGACTCTCCTCTCTACCCAGCGCAACAGGACATAGTAACTCACTGACTCGCTTGAGTACTTTGTACAGTCTCGCTGCTTTCTTTTCGATTTTAGAGGCAACATCTTCGGTATCAGAGGAGGAGGGATTGGGCTTGAGGAGGAACTGGTGGGCAGGGATGGTGTTATGGGGTGCAGCGGAGGAAGAAGAGAGGTGGTTGAGGAGTTTGTGCAGGAGGAAATGGAGCCAGAGGAGGTTTGTTTTGGGGTGGAAGGAGCGCCATGGTGATTCCACTTTCTCGTCTGCATCATTCCCTTGGTCGTTTTCTTGGTCAAACCGGATGTGTGTGTTTTGTCGGGGTGCGGAGTCGCTTTCATCTTGGTGTTCGTCGCTGCTCTCTTGAATGGGGGGTTGGAATGCCATTGGGTCTCCGAAGACGGTTGCGCCGCGCATGTAGCGGTAGATTTCGTATTGGTACTCTTCGCTTGCGTCGCCGTCGAAGATGGCGGGGTCCTTGTCGAGATCTAGGTATGCGACTTCGGCTTCTTCGTTGTCGGTGTGGCTTGCGGATGTTGAGCTGGAGACGTGGGATAGACTCGATAGTCTGCGCGACGATGCAGGCGATACTGGCGCAGCAACAACGTCTGCGCGCGAAAGTGTGTAATCAATCACTGTAGTATCAAGTCCTGTGAACCGCAATTTGCGACGCAGAGGATCCTTGATGCTGGGCTGCGATACGTCGTCCCCTGTCCGATTGGACCGCACGCAGATATTGCCCAAATGCAGGTCGCGATGCTCAAAGCGACATGCTTCTTCTGCTTTGCCGACGCTGATGGCTACGCCCCAAAAGACATCCCAGACCTCCCAGATGGAGGCTAAATGGCCTGCCTCCATCATTTTCTCACAGTCGGTACCTGCGTCTTGCATTTCCACCACGGCCCAGAGTTGATTTTCTTCGTAGCTAGATTTCTTACTGGGGTCCGGAAATTCGCTTTTCTTGCCACGAGGGCGCGATTTATTCCACTCTTTCCACGCATCGTTGAAGGACGCCGAGGGTCGGCCTTGTACGATAGTCAAATCGCGGAAGACAGTGAACCCGGGAATATGAGTGAGATTTTGGAGAAGCTTGACTTCTGATAAAACATCATCGACTAAGGATTTGAACTGATCATCTTCGTCTCGCTGTGCTGTTTCCTTTTCTATTTGCGCTTCAAGGTCTCGTACAGCGCGGCCGTGGAGTTGGCATGGGAGAGGAACAGTGGGTGGTGTCTTGAGCGCCACCACCTTCAGAACAGACTCTTCTTTGACGCCATTGGCTGATGACGTCGAGGATAGGCGATACACTTCTGAGAAGGAAGCTTCTGCAATTTTGGAAACTTCAAAGTGGGGCTCCAGCTCGTCTGCCCAGTCCTGAAATGCGATAATCTTCTTCCTGTCGCTGAGAGCTAGTAATGGGGAGGCGTGAATGGAATAGAGGTCATCGGGTTCAGGTGTTGGTTCTGGGGTGGGCAGTTGAGGAACCGGGGTTGGTATGGCACGCTTCTTCTCCTTCTTCGGTCTTGGTGCGGCTGCTACCGGACAGGTTGTGGGATCCGAGGCATTCATGTTGCGGTCGCTAAGCACTTTTCTCGGCTTCCTGGGTTTCTGCAGCATCTTCTGGTTTTCCTCATCTTCTGCAGCATCGATCGCTAGTGTCTTCATACTCTGTTCCAGTACATGCTCTAGCGGGGCAATATTCTCCTTGGTAACATCAACATCCTGGCCGGCCTTGGCTTCTTTCTGTGATTTTGTTATCTTCTTCGTCGTAGTTTTCTCCTCCTTTGCACTTTGCCTCTTGTCAATCTGCAAATCCTCAAACGCCCTCTCCAATACTGAAGCTTCATCTGGTGCTTGCAACGTGCTTCCCTCTGCTTTCGCCGCTTCCAACAACTGCTCCCGCCAATCACTTGTTGCGCTGCTGTCTGCATTTTGGCTTTTCACTTTTCTGGGTGCGACTTCCTTCTCGGGCGACAACAACTTCGTGAACGCATTACGTTCGCCGTTTCTTTTCTTCCCGTATACGACTTTTGGAGGCATTTTGAGCGAATGAACAAGGGGTGTCGAGAGTGGTGGGTGAGGTGAGGCTCTGGTTTGACGTGTGCAAGGGTACTATTGAACGGAAAGTCTAAGCGAGCTAGTTGGCCTGACAACGATGGACCCCTGTCATGCCGTAGCCCTACCCTATCCCAAGAACACCGTCTCCACTCCACACGTGAATTGACAACTGGTTTCGTTCTCAAGAGTTCACATAAAATACTCATTAGGCATGGGGAATCCAAAAATTAACATTAAGAGCGAGCGGATACCACGTACCTCTCGGCATCTTTCAACGCTATAACAAACAAACACTCATCGCAAATTGAGCGCTCAAACCGTGTACCTGTACATAAGAGCCCAGTCTTCCCTTCCCTGGACTGTAGAACCGGATTACATAAAGATAGGTGTGCAGAAGAAGCTTGCCCAAAAGACCGGCAGACGGACAGGTGCACGTATGATAAGATGGAAATGCTGACACAAGGAAATTGAGCTAGTCGTTCTCGTACAATGCAAGGAAAAATGGTCAAGACAATTTACAGCCAAGTGAATATGGTAATTGGTAAGTAGTGTGTGTGTGTGGTAGGTTGGAGGTGGTAGTAGTAGTAGTTGTGATATTAGGACACGTCGAATCGCAGAGAGGGCCCCAGGTAGGGGTTTGATGCTCAGTATCACAGGAGTTAATAATGGAGCTTAGTTGTCTCCACTGTCGACTTCAGCTGGCTGTGGTTCAGCCTCTTCTCTTAGCACAGGTTGCGGCACTACTCCCAGACTCTTGCGCTTATTTTTCCTCTCTGTCTCAGCGTCTTTCTTGACGCCGTTGGTTTCTGAAGTCGCCGTAGTAGGACTGGCGTTGGCAGCCTTTTTGTTAGGGGCGACGCTCGTAAAACTGCCGGAAAGCTTTGAAGTGGTATCATTGTTCTCAGACTTATCGGCAAAGTCTTTCCACTTGCGCCAACCGTCGAAGTCGATCAGAGCCTGCATGCAGCCCCATTCCTTGACTTTTCGTTCAAGCCAGACAAAGTTTACGGGCTAAAGGAGATGTTAGCAAGACTCTATCGTCAAGAGAGGCGGATCAGCTTACCTTTGTCAAGAAATCATTGCAGCCAGCAGCCAAAGCCTCGTGCCTGTCACTTTGCAGCGAACTGGCCGTGAGTGCGACAATAATGACTGGACTCTTGAACATTCCCTTGTCGCCTAGCTTGTCGTCCTCTCTTAGCTCGTCTTGGCCTTTGCCGTCGTTTCCAAGCCGAGTGTTGGGTGCTTCGCTGCTGCCACTGCTAAAGACACCAATACCGTTGACACGCTCCAGCCGCCTAATCTCTTTTGTTGCTTCGAGACCGTTCATGACGGGCAGTTGGATGTCCATGAGCACCAAGTGAAATCCACCAGCTTTCCATTTAGTGACTGCCTCTTTTCCGTTCATTGCGCGTTGCCAACGAACCTTTAAGCGTTGCATGAAGGCACCCAGGACACGCAAGTTAATAATATTGTCTTCGACAATTAAGACATTGATAGGGGGCACAGATCCGTCCAGCAGTCCAGCAGATAGGGCTGGCGGCTCTACTGGGGCCTTTCTCCGCTTCTTCTTGGTGTTGAGTTGCGGTGATGAGATGCGCGGGGTGGGTGGAGTCGATGTCTGAAGCGTTTGCTGGTGAGGCGTAGGATCGACGGGCACAGGAGGTGTGGGTATTGGGTTATTCGAGGCCGCCGAGTTCTTCGCTTCGGACGCTGACGAGTCGTGCCGTGGACGGGTTGCGGGGCGGATAGAGGTGGCAGAAGAGGGGATACCGCCGCCCAGGGTGGTAGGAGAGGCGGTGTGTGTTCTGTTGTACTTGGGACGATGTGGATGCATGGGCCCGCGCCGTGTGCCGCCGGGAGATGGCAGGTTAGGTAGCTGTCCGGTGTTTAGGACGGACATGGAGTGGAGGTGGGGCACGGGGATACGGTTGTCGTGAGGATGCTGCAGGCTGGCACTCATGTTGGCTGGCGAGGGGGTGATGGCTGACATGGGGGGGAAGTACTCGGTCTGTTGGTGGATGCCGTCTTCATGATGGTAATAGGGAGGCACGCGGGGCGATGGCTTGGGGGTGCGTCGCGAGGGCACGTCGATGATGAGGGCCTCGTGGACCGTCTGACCGCCGGGGAAGTAGGCGTCGATGGTGTGACACATGTCCTCCTCGGGCCCCAGGGTGCGTTCGCCTGCGCGTTGGCTATCGCGGGGCACAATGCGCAGGGTAACGTCTGGCGCGTCGAAGCTCCTGCCCAGCGAGTTTGCATACTTTTTGAGGATCATGTCGCGCACGTCGTCGACCAGGTCGTCCTCTCTGATCTGGACGAGCGTGGCCGAGGCATTGGGCCGCTTGACCCAGATCTTGCGGTGCAGCATGCCGGGGGTGCGGGCTGTAGACGGCGGCGCGCCAGCGTGGTTGATGGCCGTGGGTGGGCCTAAGGGCGTGGCGGCCGGGGAGGAGTCAGGGCCGAGCAAGTTGGTAGTTAGACGACCATCGGCGGCAGAGGCGGTGGTGATGGCGGAGTGGTGGTGGGCGAGGGTGGGCGATGAGGGGAGCGACGTGGTTGTCGCTGTGGTTGCGGGGACAGACGAGGGAGTTGAAGAAAGCGAGTCGGGCAGGGCAGGGCGGTCGAGCTCGGCAGGCGGCGCTCCGGGGTGGACGGGCGTGGGAGCCTCGAGCGTGACCTGGGGGCAGACAATGGGCACGTCGGCGGAGGGCTTGCGGGCGTCGTGGGAGCTGCTGGGCGCAGTGCTGGCTTGGGTGCAGCTCGACCGCCCGTCTCTCGACGTATTGATGCTGCCGGTGCTTGCTTCTGCGTCGGCCTGACTCTCGGTCGCCGCTCTGCCCACCACCATCGACTCGTCGTCGTCGTCGACATGCGCCCCCGACCGCAACGCCTTGGATGCCGCCGGCTCCGCCAACTTTGGCAGCGACACGCTCTTGCGCAACGGGCTGCTCAGCGGTGGTGGCGGCGCGTGGCCATGCCGGTCGCTGCCCGCCGACGATGCTATCGAGCGTGCTCTCGTTGACGCCTCGCTGTTGCGGCGCGAGAACTTGGACCGCGCCTTTTGCAGCCGTGTCTTGATGTTGCTCATGACGGCAACGAGCCCGAATCGGCCAGCATGCAGTCGTGGGAAGCGCTCAACGGCCGTGGTGCGCGGCGGTGATGGCCAATTTATCAAAGTGAATTGCGAGCGAGGGCAGAAGTCACCCCGTCGTCCTGTCCGCGGCTCTGGCTCTGGCTCTTTGGTGCGCCACAGAGCCAAGGGGCGATGGGGGACGAGCTTAGTCTGGGATGCGCCGGATGCCCGCGCTGCATGTGCTCATGGACCGTGGCTGGCGGGGAGCGTGCACAGAATAACAGCGTGTGGATGTGTGTGTGTGTGTGGATGTGTGTGTGTGTGTGTGGATGTGGATGTAAGGAAACGACAAAATTAAAAAGGAGTGGACGGGCACAAGCCAGAGGGTTATCAGACGGCGCCAAAACAAAGTACGTTGTGTTGTGCTTCTGCGAGCCCAGTCAGTTGTATGACATGTCCAATCTCCAGCGCTTGGACCGGGCGGAGGATAGAAGAGCATGGGCGAGGGAGAGAGCATCCTCATCCATCGCCAACTCCCGCCCTTATGCCATTGTCCCCTCCACCCATCCCGCCGCCTGCATCTACGCTGCATGCGCAATGCGTCATTTGCATATTGCCGCGCGAGTCCAGAGCCAGACCTGCAGCATACGCCCGTTTCATTCACCATGGCCTATTCCCTGGTCCGTCTCACTTGATGGCAGTGACATGATGGCCCAACGTCACAATCACAGGCCATCCTGGTGGAACCCCCTCGCCAACTCATCCACGCCCAATCTTACCTCTTTCTTTGCAATACCCATTCGCTCCCCACACACTGCGCCTAGTGTCTCTCTAGCCAGCATACCCATCGTCGATTCTCCCTACAAACCGCCACCCACAACCCGTCCGCTAGCTCCAAGCAGTATCACAGCCAAAACTTGGAATCCTGCTCAAACCCGGTCGACATGCGCCACAATGCCTGAAATAAAATCACAACCGCTAATTGGTTGCCATGTGCAATCGATGCCGATTGCTCTTGACCTAACACCAGGGCACATGCTCACACCTAGTCTCGTCTGTAGTCTCCGCCATCTGTTCCCAATGCGGACCTCTCCGATCCCTATTCTATTGGTGGGCTGACATGCAGTTCTCTAAGCAATCTGTTTGGTTGCAAACATCTCTGGCTCTCATTCGCTCGACTACATTATCTTATTACTGCTATTGTTGACAAAATGCGTAGTGACTCTGGGAGAACAGACAACATCAAGTCCAAGTGTACTAACAATCGCAAAGGTGAACATGTAGTCAGCACAGCGCCACCAGGCTGGTTGGAGAATGGCTGCCCAGTCGCTTAGCCTCCTTGACAAGCACTAGTGGCTGCAGAGACGCCTTGCCAACAACCTCACTCCTCTCGCAACACAAGACACCTCTCAACCACCAAACACGTGTATCGAGTCACTGCAGCTGCAACTTTTGCTACTAACCATACAATTTGTTACTGTGTAATTGCCAACTCAATAGCACTACCAGCAAGTCTGTCCTAATGTCTTCCAATTCTCAGCTTTCCAGTCCAATGTTCCTCCATCTTTACGGTCGGGCTCCCTCACGATTAAGGTTCGGCCCGAACACACTAGCCAGTTTCACAAGGACCAGCTGCTGAGGCTGAACCTAGTTTCAATTCAGATTGGGTCGTTGACTCAGACGGTGTGATTACTTACACCAATTCATTCAGGGGAAACGACATTCGAGATGTCGGCATTCGATTGTAAGAGGGCGTGTTTCTCAGACTTGTCTCACACTGCATCCTATATGGATTCAACAGCCTATTGCTTCGTCCATGGCAATACTCTCTGCTCCGATAGGGTTTCTATTATCCGTACTCTAAGCGAGTAATTCTAAATTGATAAGTTCAAGATAATACTAACACGTTTTGCCACTTCTGATATTTCATCAGAAATCCATCCGCTATCATTCAGGCGAGAAACTTCTGTTATTTTCGTCATTTTCCTCATGTGATATCATCCGACGAACACTGAAAATCACGAGTGCATGTGTTGCACTCCTCACAACGCTTTTAGATGCACTTGGAATATAGAGCTATTGATATACGCTGAACAGCTCAAGCGCGATCCTTGAATTGGATGCCTTTAGCGTGGTTTACATATGGTACCAATACTGTCTACAGGGCATTTGATTACATTGAGTATAAATTGATTGCAGCACATCACTCGCACTCTCTATCTAGCAAGTATTTGTCTATTAATTCATAGAGGACAACACTACAATGTCCCATCTTGGGCCTCGAGAATTCGACAGCATAGCATGTACTCAGTAAATGAACAGAACAGACACTCACAAACCACAAGTGACTTCTCACTACGCGCACTAGCACCGTATTGCCGCATCCACCCTCCGCCCATTAGAGAATCTACACATAACATATCATTAGGTATTACTCCCAGATACCGCCCATTAAGAGCCTTAGTTATGCGGTCTCGTAAATATATTTACAGTATTACATATTTGAGCTAACAGAACCTGTACAGCCGTTTGATTGGCATCGGACGTCACTAGCTGTTACTCATTTGAATGTGATCTGATTGGTCTCTGCAATGACACTACGCCTACCTCCTATTCGACAGCTGTCAGAAATGACACCCCATCTGGCAACGGCTCTCTTGTATCAAGCAATAGCCTACCACAAAAATTGCTGAAAATGCGATTGCTAGGTACTCCTTGACTCCAGTGTTTAGAAACAAACTGAGAAGCTAGACATTGGAAAGCTAAACACTCATCAGCTCCACAGATTATCCACCTTATATGTTTGCGTCTGGTAGTGCTATCTAGTTACAAATATCTGGCATGGTCGGATCAGGGCTCTGCGGGCAGGGCAGGGTAGCCCGCCGCCGCCCACTGGCATCACCAACCAGACAGCTACCAACAAGCATCTTTAGGAAGCGCAGTGGCTTAGAGCGCACTAGTGTAGAATTTGCAATACTCAGTATAAGCAGAAGTCACTGTCTGGGTGGCGGTGGCTTCCGGCCTCAAACTAGCGCATATAAACAAGAGCCAGGCTGTCCAGATGCCACTCCACCTTCTTCCTCATCACACGATCGCTGCATGCGTGGAATGGCCAGTTTATCCACTTCCGCATCTTCACCCTCGCGACGCCGTCGTACCCTGGGCCTTTGGCCATTCTTATAACGAATGCATGGAAGTTTGTAATCCTCCGAAGATATCTTATGGAGGGCAAGGTGGAGTTACGAATGATGAGCATGAACATCATGGATTCGGGCTTGGTGAAGATTTCCAAGCAATACAGTGAGTGATAACGACACTGTATCTGACTATCCAATACTGAAATACCTACCTATCAGACTTCCTAATCGACATGAAATTCGTTGACTACATCATCAGCGTTGAATACCACCCGTAAATTTCTCAACGGAGTTCTAACATCATCGAGCTCCTTGCGGCGAACCGTCACTGGACAAATGAGCAAGCAGAACCAATCTAGAAGGCGATTGCTACGAATCACACTTTTCCAGCAACCACATTTTTCCAGCAACTACAGCAATCAGCCACTATCGCTCGCCAGCGGACCTGTGAGGCAACTGCATCCAATCAAGAGCTCTGGAGGTAATGACTACGCCTTTGACAACTTGTATGTGTCCAAAAGATGCTCTCCGACTCCTTCTTTTACCCTGTAGCTGTCTCGTGGGTTCAAAATTTACATGGCCCATCCACTTCTGTCGCTAGTAAGCGATACTAATCGGATTAATACTAATTAGAATCGTCGTAGGGTTCACGCCATCACATTTCTTGGAGATCTTCGAGGGAAGCAAGAGAAGTACAAACAACTCAACGATATACTTTGCAAGAAGACCGGATTCACTTCCTGCTATCCCATATCTTTCCAGACCTACACTGGGAAGGTAGAACTTTGTCTGTACGTACACCTTGCCAACCTACACCGATAGGCGGTGGCTAACTACAATAGCTCTAAATTGGCCACACTGAGACCACTGCGTTCCTGAATCATGGTTTTCTGGATTTCTGCCTGAAACCGGTTTTCATCCATTTGCACAAGCTCCTACAAGACAAATACCCAGAGCTTTTGGAGGATTCTGAGGAAGAAAGTACATATCTATAACCCGCTTGTAAAGTTCTTCTCCACTTTACTTTCACGAACAAACACGAGTCTGCCACTGCTCCCATTGCCAGTGGGCGATACCAATCGGAGTCATTACAGGGAGCAATCGCCAGAGCACTCTACAATCTACAACATGCTATCACTCATTAAAGTACTTGGCGAGAAGATTGGACTGTTATTCTACTATCCCGTCTCCTCCCTTCCAACGCTGGGGATGTAGATTTACTCGTCGCAGACGTGCTCTATGACCTGAGCACTAGCGCAAAGAGGGCGACAAAGACGAAGACGAAGCTATTTTTGAACTAGCCAGTCACGTACATGGAGGTCAAGAAGTCATTCGAAGACGCCTTGGCGGATATCCTGTACTTATCCCAGCTGCTCAGCAGCTCAACCAAATCCATCATTGTACTACTACTGTTGTTTCTAATCCTTTCCCGGTTCCGGGATTGTGCGGTAGCGCGCGGCATCATCCAGCCGCCCCAATGCAAGCTCATGTTTTTTCGTATCACATTTCCAGTTGCTATCATCTGTAAGTTATGCTTTGTATTCCGCTACAACTTACTTAACTCAACCCATAGCTAGTCAATCACTATCATAGCTCCAAGCTTCGTTAGTATATAGAGTATAGGGGAGGGGGGCACATCCAACATCTCGATGAATCAACCAGTCGGCAGTTGTCGGTTGTTGGCGATACCCATCAGCCACTATCGACAGGCAGAGACATCACATTCATATCTATCAGAATCATTGGGCTGGCAGTGGCTAGGGCACACTGTAGCTATCGGACACTACCTCCGCAGTGACACTAGCTGGGTACTTTGATACAAGTCGTCTTTTTTTCCCCTAGTTGCTACTACCACACGACTATACTGCTAAACTTGTATCGCATGTAGCTCAACTAGGTAGTGACTCAATAGAGTACTGTAGATCTAGGGCTCATAGGTATGTATTTCTTGGGTGTGGTTCTTCTATCAAGAACGTTGAACCTATATGTATCAATCTTTTGGCCGGTCGACAACTGCCGCCTGTGCGCGACGGCAATAGGATAGCTCACAGAGAAAGCTACACCAATCAATCATTTTCGCTCGTGATCGTGCGATGTCCTTCCTACGATAAGTCTTATGTTCAACAGCTCCATCTCAGGTTATCCTCGGAATTTACAGCATCAGGGATACGATCAATGCATTTTCCTTCGGACGGATTGGAGGCGACCTGAGGCACTTGCAGGCAATCCCAACAATTCAAGTATTACAGGTAGCTGCGGCCAGAGTCGGATGGGATAGGACACAGTATGTATTTCTATTGTTTCAAGCCTATAAAGCAGTTGGTTCATGCGGTTTATCTTCAAATGGCCAGGCTTGGATCTATTCCCTTCCAATCTAGTAATTTTTACCAGCCAGATTGTCTTGAAATCGCAGCGCATGAGCAATCTCCGGACATTGCTCGAGCATGTATATAGATTCCATAGGGCTTATAGACAGACTGAGCAGCCCGGAGATTCTTGGCTTGATATTGTGCCTCCTCGTCCATATCTTCGAAATTATCAGGATGTGGGATGGGCTTCACGCCTTCTGGTATTGGCCCTTCAAACTTGGTGAATGAAGGATGGCGTGCTTGAAGGAAGAGTGGGGAGACATTAGCCGCTTGCCAGTCGATGATGTTGAGGACTTTTGTCGGTTGAAAAGGGTCAACGAAGATGTTATCAGTATGCAGGTCGGAATGCCATAGAGTTGGCTTTAAGAGTTTGACGTCGTTGGGCAGAACATGGGTTGCGACTTTGAGATAATCCTGGAGGACTTGGATCTTCAGCTCTCTGTCTGGACGGTATTGGTTAGGACCACTGAATAGCCCTTGCTGACCAGGATACGATGAGAACTTCTCAATGCGCGCTGGCTCTCGGGCGGCGCGGGAATGGGCATGTTCGTCAAATGAAGGCTCTGTCGTCTATCAGCCTAGGACGAGCATGATAAGATGATAAAAGAACTTACATGGCCCTCGATTTACTTCGACGGAGTCTCTCCCTTTGTCGAAGAACGACCTGTTTGTTGTGGGTCTGATTACGAATGCTTCTCCTTTGTCTATCAAGTCGATGGAATCAAGAAATTGACTTGGACTCGGGCTAGGTAGGTCCTTTGCACAATACAAGCTCCCGTACATGGAAAGATCAGCAGAAGCAAAGACTTTCTCGTACCTAACTAGGGTCCTAGAAATCTCAAGTCGTTCCTTCCAAGACATGTTGTGCCACATCTTGCGCAATTCCATCCCTGTACAGCGTTCCATCAGAACGTATTCTGCTTTAACAGGATTATCTATGGAGGAACTCCAGCCATATACTTAGGGCGCTGGGACGTCAAGGACATTTCGAACCTATAGCATACTCTTGTATCAGTAATTATCAGATATATCAAGTAAAGGAGCCCATACGTAATCCATAGTAGCAACTTCATTAGCCGTCGTAAGTGCGGCCTTTCAGCATTTGGGGTTGGGATTCTAGCGATCAATTCTCGACCGTCATCCATTGTAAGCAGGAAAACCTTGCTGAAGTTTCCTTCCGGTAGTCTATCAACCTGGACGCAAGAGCGAGCCCCAATTGCTTGCGCTGAGACTTGGAGAAGTCCTGGTACGTCGAACTCAATGTAACGGCGGGAAAGCTGATACTTCTAATTCTAGAGCCATCGACCGCCATTGTATTTGTAAAACTGCTCCACCTGACAGTAGTGAATAACGTCGACATCGTGCGAAGTCGTTGTGTACTGCTGGGAATGCAGCGATGTGGGCGAAGTTGGTCGACGATATTTACGGAGCTTTCGAAGGAACCAATTCATTTGCAGAGAGCTTAAAGTTTTATTCAAGGTAGAAGCTCGACGAAGAGCAGTTATGGTAGTACGGAGTGGCATGTCGGATGCGATTGCAGTGTCAACTGCGATGGAGGCGGTAGAGCACTTCGCAGGGTAAGATAATATCGAGTTGTACTACTAGCGCGCGCGTGTAGGTTGCTAAGTATGTACGTAGTAGTAGTTGGCGATGAACGCATGGCCAAGGATGTCACTTCCTGCTACGTGCCGAACAAAATACTAATAGTTTTTGTTGTCGCAAATTTCTCCTATGAACACTACCACAAGCGTAGTGAAACATATAAGCGACTTTCATCACCAACCTACCAGGTAATGGAACTTGGCTGAGTGATATTTAGCTCAAACAGTAATTTTCAGATACTGCTTGCGCAAAGACAGAGCCTTATAATAACACTAACTAGCAAGAATGAATCATTTACAAAGCCACGTGATTCCATTCACCACCAACCCAAGACACTGTGCGTCAAGTCCACACCTACACTCCTAAAACACGCGATATTGTGCATTCACCCTCGCACCAATGTGCACCCACATTTCCCCCTGCACAGTCCTTTCCAGCCCTGTATTTCCTCCCTGCTTCTCAACTTGTTCCCATCCGCATCAAGCCCATCCATCCATCTATCTCATAGAAGATTCACTTCTAGAATCACCCCAAGCCCAACACACCCTTCAGCATCACTATAAGTTAAAATCTCTTATCAAATACCTACTTGACACAACACATTTAGCCAAGATGTCCACTCCCCCAACCCTATCCTCGTCTTCCACACCCACCCCCTCACCCCGCTGCCCCTCGTGCACCTCCCTCTTAACCTCACACCCCTCAACCTACGAACTCCGCACCTGCGATACGTGTTTCGTGCGACTTCGCTGCACAGAGTCGCTCTGGGGCAGCACGAGCAGCGGTGAGATTACATTTTTCCCGCGGGTGTTAGATGATGAGGATTCCCATACAGACGATAGGGAAAGTGAGAGTGGTAGTGATGGAGAGGTGAAGGAGGAAGAGATGGAGAGGGACATAGAAGAGGAGAAGAAAAGGGGGTTGTTTGCGTGGGTTGTTGGACGGAGGTGAGATGAGGGGAGGGTTGATAGAAAGAAAAAGTTTAAGATGAGGAAAAATAAGTCCTTACCTTCTTGTGAATGTCTGGACTTTGGTTGCTTTTCTTCTTAGATGAAAGTCTTGAGATATAATTGTGTTTACGGATTTTAAAATAATGTCAGAAGAATATGGTTATTTCCATTTAGAACAAAGCTTCTACGGATTGTCCCCCTGGTGACGTATGTGTGATGTTGCTCCCCTTTCATGATTGAGAAAAGATGAGAGAGACATGATAGTTATGATGATGATGATGGGAGCTTAAAGCTCTCGCATACCTGTCCCCCCCTTCCTGAATATACGCCTGTTTCCTTGCAACTTTTCGATGGATACGAGCTGTTTGCTGATAAGCTCGTATATGGGACTTTTGAGACAAGTCCGGTGGGATGGAGGTTATAGTCCTTGTACCCACTTTCCACTCTCGCGTGACATGCTCTTCTTGTAGATATTCTTGAGCTTGAAAAAGCACACGTTGAGTTGTCTTTTCCCTTTCCCCTCTTAGCATGCTGAGTGTCTTTCCAATTCCCTCCTGGCACGCCCTCTTCTGTACCTCTGATCTAAAAGTCCTTGAAACTCTCTTCCCACCTATCACTCAGTTCCTTGGTGTATGGTTCTCTGTGTTCCGACTCTGGCTCATACTCGTCAAAATTCCGCGTGTCAGCTGGACCCCGTAGGTGTGGTACTATAGGACCTTGGGTTTCGCGGTTATATATTTTCTGCCAGTCAATGTCTTTAAACCACTCATGGTCCTTGACACGTTGAGCACCACCAGCGACATTTCCCAGACGCTTAGAGGTGTCGACAGTGCAGAGGCCGGAAATGAGATCCCGTGCAGTCGGTGACATTGCAGATGGAAAGCGGACGCGTCCTTCTACAATTCTACAAAAGATTAGCACAAACGTCATGTCTCCTGTGTTTTGAAACATACTGTTCGTAGATCTTCATAGGATTCTGATCCCAGAAGGGCGGTTGCCCAACGAGGAATTCGTACACAAGGATGCCAAACGCCCACCAATCGACTGCTGTGCCATGGCCTGATATTCCGTCAGTGGGGTACCAACAGCATGTGTGGTGCAGATCGTACCTGTATTACGAATGACCTCGGGGGCCAGGTACTCGGGAGTACCACAGAGCGTATACGTCTCTCCTAGGCGAGCTGTCAGTCTCCACTCCCCACATGCGACCGATGACGTAACGTACTGTTGTCCACCTTTTTCGCAAACCCAAAATCTACCAATTTGAGATGACCCTCTGCGTCTATGAGGATGTTCTCTGGTTTCAGATCACGATATGCCACGCCCTCGCGCTCGTGCAGAAACTCTAATATCAGCACAATCTCGGCTGCGTAAAACTGCGAAGTGGGCTCGTTGAAGCGCCGTGCTCTTCGTAGATAACTGAAGACTTCGCCGCCAGGGCAGTAGTCGAGCTGGTTTAATTGTTAGTGATTGCCAACTCTTATTCGTATGTGCGACTACATACTACCATGTAGAGCGAATCGAGCGACTGGAAGCTGGCGACCATGGTTGTTATGAAGGGGTGGCCGGCGACCTTTGCGAGGACATTGCGCTCGTTCCGGACGTGCTCGACTTGCTTAAGACGGATGACTGAGACGAGGCGGTCAGCGGCAGCGCAGTAGTCACTTGTTGCGGGGCGTGCATACCGTCCACCTTGCGTAGAATCTTCAAAGCAAAAACCTTGTTCTCGTCGCCGGGCTTTGCGTCCTTGAGTCGCACGAGCCAGACGCGCGCAAAGGTGCCAGTTCCGAGCGTCTTGATGAGCTCAAAGTCTTCCTCTCGCAGCACCTTTGACGAGTGGCCGACGGGCTTCTTCTGGGGGTCAATGTCGATTTCCTCGGGGGTGAGGGTGTGCTTCTGGGCCTCCCACTGCGCCAACTGCTGTTTCTCCTGTTCGCGCGGCTTGTCCATGGCCGAGTCGGTACGGTCGTGCAGGGGGCCGGAATGGGGCGGTTCTTTCTTGTCGCGATGGTGGTGCAGCGGGTGGAGCATGTTTTTGAAGGCAGTCGCCATGGCGATGGGGGGGGAGCTAGCTCTTGGCCGCAGTGGGCGAGGAAGCCAGGAGCGAGGGATAAGGGAATTAGGGAGCGGAGAGGCGGGTTCCGTTCTTGTGGCAGGGCTCAGTAGCAGAGGCACCACATGGCAGACACGGGCAGTCGGCGACGGGTCAATGGCAGTGTTTGCGTGGGTGGCGGGCAATCGGGGCAGGAAGAGTGAATGGAGGGCGGGCCTGGGGTTAGGCAGAGCAGCCAGGCAGGTGGCAGAGCACAATCATGGGCCTTCCTTGGTGGGCGCTGGAGAGAGATGGAGTGGGATAGGATGGGCACGAGGAAGCGGGCGCGGGCGCGACAGGAGGATAGCGGGGGTCCAGGACGAGGCGCATTGCTGCAAAAGATGACGCACCGGGCGTGGGGAACATGCAACACTCGCCGGCCGAACCCTGGCGGGCTGGCGGGCTCTGCGAATAGCGAATACACGCCCTGCCCTACCCTGTCCTGCGAGCGTAAGTAAGCCGGCCCGCTGTGGTCCATTCGTCTTGACCGCTTGCAGTGTCCCTTTGTTCACCCCAGGCCACGCTACCCGACGGCCCTGGCCTGGTTGCTGTGCCCAACTACTGTACTTGTGTATATGCACCATATGTAAGTAGAGTATGCTTTGGCAACAACAGCCGCCGAGGGGTAACAGTAGGCGGCATCCGGGCCTGGCTGGCAGCTGATGTCTTGCGGCTTACAGTAAGCCACCCTGAATCATCCGACATGCATGTGCATGAACCACGGTACGCTGCAAATAACGGCTCGTCGCATTTACACTAAACTCGACAAACTCCGCGCCTGACGCTGCTCTCGGCGTGCTTGCCGGCCTTCAAATTGATACCGCTACTTCACATGCAGGGCTCTACCCGCCCCAACTGCCGCCATGCACAAATGCCTATATATAACTCTGACCAAAAGCTCTCTTTCTTGCCCAGGCCGCGTAAATCGCCTTAAAAGTGCCTGTGTGGCCTGCACCGACTCTTGACCTGCGCCAGTTCCCGACCCCAAACGCCAATGTGTTGCAGGCTCAATCGAGTATTTCTACACCATGTAGTCGTACAATACAAATAATCCTTTCCTTGTCCGCTCAGCCACTTGCCCGTGTATTGAGAATGAGGGCAACAATCAGTCTAGTCGAGTCAGCACATGAACAATCGTGCAGTCTGCATAGCGCCGTCGTTGTTGCGCGCGCGGACCACGTTGGCGTGTTCTGGGTTGGGAGACGTACCCGTAAAGACCCAAGACTTCTGCGAAAATGAGAATGAGCACCATGCCGACAAAGATTCGCGATTGGCTCATAAAGGAGCGCACGCCCTGTTGCAGTTAGCCTTTCTCTTTTCTATCATCTCTTAACGACTGGACATACAGCGTCGCCCACAATTCCGATGGCGTATCCGGCAGCCAGACCCGACAGACCAACTGACAATCCGGCAGCCATGTGCATGAATCCAGCATACAGCGAGTACGTGTTGTTGGGCGGGGGCTTGATGTCGCTGGCGATGAGGACGGATATGACGAGTGAGTAGACGGCCAAGATACCCGACATGACAATGGGGATGAGCGACTGGCCAAGTTAGATGGAGCTTTGTGTGAGCGGCGCAGGGCGGCACACCTTCATGATCAGGTCTGGCCTGTATGTTCCGATGCCAGCAATGCCGATGCCAGCTTTGGCGGTGCCATAGGCAGCTCCGGCGCCTGCTTCGATTAGTTCCTGTGCAGCTTGACTACGCGTCCTGGGGGTAACATACATCCAAAGATCATCTGGGCAGGGTTAGCATATTAGTTCGCCAGCTGTAACGGGGAAGAGGAGCTACTCACTGCAAACGCGATTCCGCTCTGCATGGCTGTTAGCTATGAAGTCATGACACGGACGCGGCCGGGGGCACTCACCATGCCAAAGAAAGGCGCGAAGCTTGGGGCGAGCTCGTTGGAAGACATGGTGCCTGTGATGCTCGCGACAGAGGGGGATGGATGGGGGTTTGTGTGGGCGTGGGTCGTGGTGGTGGAGGCGTCGTCGGAGACAGCTGGGATGCGGCCAGGCGGTTGGTGAGGAGGGCTCTGGATGCCAAGCGCATGCCGATCCAACACCTGCACCACCGCCATTCTCCCCAACGTCGCGAGCTGCAAGGAAAGCCGGCCAGCGCCCCCCTCCCCCCTCAGCCAACGCTACCCCATAGTCGACCTGCAACCCCCATCCTGCCCGCGCCACACCCACTCGCCAGCTGCCGCCGTTTTTATCCTCACCACGGGCTCCTCGCACCCGCTGCCTCCCCCTCCCCCCTCGCTGGGCGGCTTGTTCCCTCAACTGCCGGAGCGGTGGCCCTGTTGACCCTTCTCTGCAACACCCCGCCGCCCTGCCCACGCCCACGCCCGCCCTCGCTCGCCAGCACGCCCTCATTCAAGTGAAAAACAACAAGCGTGACTCGCCGCTGTGCCCGCAAGTCGCCTCGACTCGTGCGCCCCCCCTCGTGCCGGCTTTGCTGCCCCGGCCACGCCGCCGAATCCCTTGTATCAAAAACCCTCGTCCACGTCCACCGCCCGCCCACGTCCACCGCCTCGCCTCAGCAGCGCTGCGAATGCTCGCGACAGGCTAGATCCGCTGTGGACCGAAGAGATATGGCCGACTACGGCAATCAGCAGCGGCCGGACTATGCGCGCGGCCAAAACCATGGCCAGCCCTCAGGCGCAAGGGAAACCGCCTTCACAAACATCTTCGGCGCCAGCCCGTCCATGGCCGGCCGCTCCCAAACCATGACGTCGCAGTCGCACAGGAACATCCCCGACCGCGCTGCCACCATGTCCAGCCAGACGGCCGACATGATGCAGCGCGCCCCGCCAATTCGCCAGCCCGTCAACGGCTACGATCGTCGTCCTCACCCACAGTATGATCAGCGCACGGGACCAAGTCTCGGAGAGCAGCGCCCCATAGATCCACCGAATGCTTATAATCGCCCTATGCCAAACGGCTACGGTCAGCACCCGCGATATCCTGACGGGCAACAGCAACAGCAGCAGCAGCAGCAGCAGCGCCAGCCGCAGCCTCAGTACCTGCCGCAGCCCCTTCGTCCTGAGCGCCAGCCATACGGCCAGCCCCAGCGCTTCGACTCCCGCATCTCTCCTCCTGGCCAGCCCCCTTACAACAAGCCCATTCCCAATCGCTTCCCTGGCGGTCCAGGACCTGCAATGAATTCGGACCCTTACCGTTCACAATCGCTTGCCTTGAACCCGCGACCACAGTTCAACCCTGGTGGGCCATCCCATCCGTCCCCCGCAAACACGTTCCGTCAGCAGCCTTATATGAACCACATGGCCAGGACCACAGCACAAGGACGCGTGGTGCCAGAACGGCCCGATGAGCGGACAATGTCCATGACCTCGTACACAAGGGATCCCGAACATACACAGACAATGAGCGGCAGAATTATACCAAGTCGAAGGCGAGAATCTGGTGAATCTGAAATGTCAAGTGGACCGCACGGCCACCCCCAACACCCAACCATGGGACTGCCGCCCAATCCTCGGAGTGTGAGCCAAGGAAGCATGCCGAATCAATCGCGCTCAATGTCCATGGCATCCACAATTGCGCCTCCTTCAGAGCGTACCAGCACTATGACGTCCATTAGCTCTCGCCCGGACTCGTCCCAAACACTCGGAAGCAACTCCAGCAACAACAGGACTTCCAACCAGTCCATGACTTCGCTCGCTCCCTCGCAACAAGTACCTGCTGCTCAGCGACGGGCACCTTTGGTCTACCCTGCCCTGCTATCTCGCGTTGCCGATACCTTCCAAGATCGAGTGGTTCTTTCTGAAAAGGAAAAAGATGGCCTTGTTTACAAGAGTGCTTTTACGGGTGCAGATGCGGTTGATCTCATCTCTTTCATTATCAAAACTACCGACCGTAATCTAGCGCTCCTGTTGGGCCGGTCACTTGACGCGCAAAAGTTCTTCCACGATGTTACGTACGCGCACCGCTTGCGAGATTCGACAAACGAGATATACCAGTTCCGTGAGACCATGGTGGAGGACAAGTCTGAAATCAACGGAGTCTTCACTCTGTTGACCGAGTGCTACTCTCCCACATGTACACGTGACCGTCTGTGCTACTCAATTGCATGCCCACGCCGTCTGGAGCAGCAAGCCCGTCTCAACATGCGCATCCAACCCGGTCTCAAGCACGAGGAATCTAGAGCAAGTTTGCACGAGGAAAAAGACCAAGAAGAGCAGAAGCTGTGGATCAACACCGTACCAAAGGAGATTTCGGACAGTGTGTCGGAGAAGGAGCAAAAGCGACAAGAGGTTATTTCCGAGCTCATGTACACTGAGCGCGATTTCGTCAAGGATCTCGAGTACCTCAGAGACTTTTGGATGAAGCCCTTGCGCAACCCCGCGACATCACCAATTCCCGAGCACCGCCGAGAAAAGTTTGTCCGTACCGTCTTTTCCAATTGCCAAGAGGTCTATATGGTCAATTCCCGCATGGCCGAGCAACTTACTAGACGCCAGCAAAAGGAGGCTGTTGTCCGAAATATCGGAGACATCTTCCTAGAATTCGTACCTCATTTTGCGCCATTCATCAAGTACGGTGCTAACCAGCTCTTCGGTAAGTACGAGTTTGAGCATGAAAAACGCACCAACACAGCCTTTGCCAAATTCGTCGACGAAGTCGAGAGGATGAAAGAATCAAGAAAGCTGGAGCTTAACGGTTACCTTACTAAGCCAACCACGAGGCTGGCCAGATATCCGCTGCTTTTGGAGAACATTGTCAAGTACACCGCGGACGACAACCCGGACAAAGAAGATATCCCCAAGGTGATTAGCATCATCAAAGACACGCTATCAAAGGTCAACATCGAGTCCGGCAAGGCAGAAAACCACTTCAACCTTATGCAGCTCAACAAGGATCTCAAGTTCAGGCCTGGCGAGTTTGTCGATTTGAAGTTGACGGACGAGAATCGACAGTTGGTATTCAAGGGCACGTTAAAGAAGACGCCGACCGAGGCTACTGGCGACATTACCTGCTACCTCTTCGACCATGCTGTTCTGTTGGTACGTGCGAAGACTGTAAACAAGCGTGAGGAGCAAAAGGTCTACAAGAAACCAATACCTCTGGAACTTTTGGTCATTACGCAAATGGAAGAAGTCAACCCCAAGCTGGGCATTGCAAAGAGGCCTTCAGCAAACTTGATTGCTGGCAAGGCCATTGCTGCGGCAACCCCAAAGAACAACGATCCCAAGCAGCAAGGCTATCCCATTACCTTTAAACATCTTGGAAAGGGTGGATATGAATTGACTCTCTTTGCGAGCACGCCAATCTCCCAGCAAAAATGGATGGAGCACATTGATTCACAGCAGCGAAGTCTGAGGGAACGCAGCAATATCTTCACCAAGACTATTGTCCACGAGGGTCCCTTCTCTCTTAACTCTCCTACTACTATTCGGGTTACCTGCGCTGTTCCTCTGGGTGAGTACATTTCAAATTTGACCAAGTCAAATACTAACACGATGCAGATGGTGGTCGCAAACTGGCCCTTGGAACGGATAATGGTGTATTTGTTGTGGAGCGCAAGCCAAAGGATGCTTCGATACGTCCTCGTCGTGTACTAGACTGCAAGGGCGTCACCCAGATCGAAGTTCTCGAGCAACATGCCATTGTGCTGGTCTTGGCCGACAAAACTCTATACTCTTACTCGACCGATGCCCTGGAGCCAGACGAGTCACAAGCCATGGCCAAGCGTCCCCGAAAGATTTGTCATGCCAACTTCTTCAAGGCTGGCATTTGCTTGGGTCAACAATTAGTCGCTGCGGTCAAGACGTCGGCGCTGTCGACTACAATCAAGGTATACGAACCCAAGGAGCAAATGGGCAACAAGAACAAGAAGTCTGGTTTCGCAAAGATGATGTTATCCACGGGTGGCGCCGATCAACTCAAGCCTTACAAGGAATTTTACATTCCTACGGAGTCGACATCCATTCATTTCTTGCGTTCCAAGCTCTGCGTTGGTTGTGCACGTGGATTTGAAGTCGTCAGTCTGGAAACACTCGAAACGCAGTCACTTCTTGACCAGGCGGACACATCTCTCGACTTTGTTGTGCGGAAGGAGAACATCAAGCCAATTCACATTGAGCGCATGGCAAGCGAGTTCCTGTTGTGCTACACGGACTACTCATTCTTTGTCAACCGCAATGGCTGGCGAGCACGACCAGACTGGAAGATCACCTGGGAGGGTACACCGCAAGCCTTTGCCATCTTCAACCCATATATCCTTGCTTTCGAGCCTAGCTTTATTGAGATTCGGCATATGGAGAGTGGTGGCCTTGTGCATATCATCACTGGGAAGAACATTAGGTGGCTACATACATCAACAAGAGAGGTACGTCATTTCGATGCATGGATGGCTGCGGAAATAAAAACTAACAAATCCAGATCCTATACTCATACGAGGATGAATTCGGCACCGATGTCATTGCCAGCCTCGACTTTTGGCAAACCGGAAACGCAAAGCAGTCACTCGACGTCCCACGTTCCGAAAAGAGCTAGACGCAACGATATAATCAGTAAAAGAAATTCAGCGTCAAGTCTCTGTTCTCTTACACACGAGTACCAAATGAAGCGGTGGCAGACGTTTACGCAGTTCATCTGCGCTGTAACCGGCGCCACTACATTCAATCAAGGCTACTCCGCAGTCTCGAGCATGAAACCCAGAGAGAGAAAGAGAAAAAAAGGAGAAATCGAGCCAGGCAAAGCATGACACTGTTGCCTCGGTCGAGCCGCGGATCGGTGATGGCAATGGAAGGGGAGGGGGTCAGCGGAGGATGGGGGAGGAGGTTCACTTCATTCTTACTACTCTTCCTTTACAACACTTTTGTCCCTTTTTTTCTCTTGTCGAAGGAAAGAGAAAGAGAGAGAGAGAGGCAAAGAGACCATTTGTATCATATTAGACTAAGAGGGGACTGTGCTTGAAGCCTTTTTTTCGCTCTTTTTTTTTGGAAATAAAGACATCCATTGCCGGTTTGTGGAAGCAGGGAAAGTAGCGAAGTGGGAAGGGTAGGAGGGTAATTTTTCTTAAGAAAAAAGGGTAGTTGAGGATCGAACGCAGCTTTAATTTGAAGAAGCGATTCAGCGAACTTTTCTGTTCTTTATTTTTGCGATATCTCTTTTTTCTTGGTGGTGGTTCGTTTTCTTGAGCTGTAGTAGTAAAGGCGGGTTGAGCAGGGATCGGGTGAGGAAGATTTATCATTGGCTCCGGAGATTTTTTTCTGCTTACACCGTTGGCGATATGGATTGGCAACGGCTTTTTTTGTTCGTTCTTGTTTCGATATCGGCCCGATACCCACTGCTTTTATTTCGGTTTCACACATAACAAAGCGGGGGCATGGAAGGGGGGGGCCTTCACAAAACGAGTCGAAATATTTGCACATAAATTCGATTGTCTGGTTTTGTTTGTTCAAGTCAGATCGTGTGGTTGTATATTCTAGTTCAAAGGGAAAATTATCATCACTACAATAAGTACCGATTTTCCTAGGAGGGAAACGAGGTGTGAAAGCCGCAGTTACCGCAATAAGTAGTGTGACCTTGAGCTACGTGTTCTACGAAGCGTGTCACCCACACGTCCTTGTCTCCACACCCACTCACCCACCCATGTCGCCACGAATCCCAGCCCCGTCCATTTAACACTCTTCTGAGTTAGACGAAAAAACCCGTCCTAGGTTTCAGACAGCGGACATGACTTTCGCCACGCTATTACGCGGGGTCATCGCCGTTTTCCCCCAAGTCAACCGTGTCTGGAGTTGTTGCTGTGTCACGGCTCGCATACTCGGCATTGACACAAGTATACCTCGGGTTGTGTACACGCAGAGATCAAAGAAAGAGATAGGGAAGACTAGGGAATTATGGCTCCTCCAGGTATTTTGTGGGTCTCGTCACGGATCACACATCCGGAGAGGCTTTCGGTGGATAAGTTTTCAGATTGGTATGAGAATGTATGGTTTTTTCCTTGTCTTATTACTCACTTTCCCGTTTTCTTTGGGCAAAGTTGAATTGCTTGAGAAGAGTTGGGATAATGAACAGTGGGACTAAGAAGCTAACGCTGAGTGTGTTGTCTAGGACCATATCAAAGATGTCCTCGAATTGCCTGGTGCTGTAGCCGCAGTGAGGTACCAAGCTGCGGAGCGGCCGGTAAAGGATGGAGGGGAGGAAAAGACGTATAGCAGAGAGATGCCTTGGTTGGTGAGTTCATTTCATTCTTATCCAAATTGATATTTTTTGGTTCCACTTTCTGTGTTACACACGAAAATATAGAAAGCAGCCATATGACATGTTCCTCATGCAGAACATGAAATGAAGATCCTTTTTATCTTTGGAGATTTGGTGTTAAGTAATCATAGGTCGTATACGAACTTCCAGATATGGTGGGCTTTCGCGAATCGGACGGCTTCAAGGACATCGCTCAACGCAATCCACCGAGCCAAGAGCAAATTGAGACTATCTACGTGAATGCACAGTTTGCTATTCGGTTCTGTGAGGAAGTGCAGCGTTTTGAGGGGGAGAAGGCTAAGGAGAATGGTATGTTTTCTTTCAGTCTCATCTCATCTCATCCCATCTCACGTGAGAATAATAATAATAATAATAATTGGGACATTCTATTCCCATTGCAACTTCAGTTCTGGAGGTATGAAGAGAAGAATACGATTCTAAGTTTACAATTTAGGCCCCGCAAAATTCATAATTTCAGGCGCTCTCGAGCCCCCTTCCGACACCGCTTCCACAGCCGATTTCGACAGATGGTATCGCGAAGAACATATCCCTCTGTTCTCTCGCATGCCAGGCTTCATCCGCTCGCGGCGCTACGAGGTCAAGACCGCGTACACGCTCAACCAGCTCCAGCCCTCGGATGATATGGAGAAAGTGCCAAAATATTACGCGTTGCATGAATTCGGGGGTGAGGCACTGCCGTGGAAGCAAATTGAGGAGAGCGTGGATACCGAGTGGGCAAAGAAGGTAATGGGCACTGTGCAGAAGGCAGAGGTGGGGTGGTATAAGGTTAAGAGGGTTTATCCTGAAAGTGAGTGGGGGAGTATCGGGAACTGAGTATGATGATATACCAATCCCAATACGAAATGAAGAGCTCGATAAACTAGAAGTACATGTCTCACTCCTTCCTCAACAACATCAAATGCCCACCCGCACTCACGGTATCACCCGGCTTCACAAGTACCTTTTCGACCTTGATTTTCCCCGCTTTAGCCACAGACTCGGGTGTCTTGACTGAGATTTCCAATTTCATCGCTTCGAGAATGACGATCTGGTATTCTCATTAACACAACGTTCACATATCCAAAAAAGACAAAAAAATAGACTGTAACTTACCACCGTCGCCTCCCCAAGCACGTCCCCTTCCTTGACCTCCACCTTCCACACATTAGCATCAACCGGCGCCTCCACGCCCACAATATCGGGATTATCCAGCAACTTCTCCACCGTCCCCTCATCAACCCCACTCTCCGCCTTTTCCCTTCTCCACCTCTCCAAACTCTCCTGCTCCGCCTTATTCATCTCCTCCTGCGCCTCCGTCTGCCTCTCCCTAATCTCCCTAACCTCCTCCCTCGTCTTCTCCAACACCTCATTATGCCCCGCCATATCAAACTCGACCTCTTCATACTCCCACTCATATTTTCCCGCGCGAAACCGTCCTAGCAACTCATCCAGCTTCTGTTCGCTCACCTGGTAGAAGGTGAGAATGTCAAAGTCACGGAAAATCCAGGGTTTGGCGTCGAACCCGGGCTTGTAGGAGTAGTAGTCCCAGCAGGGGACTGTGCGCCCGGTCATTTGGTAGCCGCCGGGCGAATCGACGGGGTAGATGGACATGCAGCTTCCGGCCCAGCCGACGGTGCCTTCGGGGGTGAAGACGCGACTGGGATTCATTTTGGGTGCGGAGATGCGGTGGCGGGGGTCGACGGGTAGGGAAACGGTGTTGCCGCAGAAGAAGCCGACGACAACGGCCATGAATTGGCCGGTGAGATAGAGCTGCTTGAGTTGCTGGGGGGTTAGAGCGTTGTTTTTTGCTACGAAGGCGAGGTTATCAGGGAGGTAGGGGGCGTGTGGTCGTTGGTTGGTCATGTAGCGCTGTGTTGCTTCGTCTTGGAGTTTGGATTCGAAGGAGATGGGGAGTTTGAAAACGCGAGTGGGGACTTTTGTGCTTCGGAGGTCGCCGAGTTGGGACTCGATGGATTGGAGGTGGGCGATTAGATCTGCTCGGGGGATCTTGGAGCCGTCGTAGAAAAGGAGGAGGGAGGTGCAGCATCCGACTGTGTTGAAGAGATTGGATCTGATATTCTCTGGAGTCGACTCAGACCGGATGGCGTTTTCCAGAGCCGTGACACGACATCGGTGGTTGAGATCAAAGTTCTCGTTTCCGTATTCGACCAGAATATGGTCATCTCCTCCTTGACGATATCTGACTTGAGGAGTGCTGGCGTCCTCTGGCTTTTCCCATATCACAGCTTTTCCAATATCACCCACATGGAAGTCGCAATGCGCGCCTTGCAGCTTGTCAATTCCCTGGAACGCGCCTCCGCTCTTGATAGCTTTCTCGACAGAGTCTAGGAAGTTATCATTCCACTTTCGCTTCTTCAACGCATCTTCGAGCCCAACCCGGACATACCGAATAGTGTTGCCTGCCTTGAGCTGTCCCAGTTTCCACCAGTCTGCTCTGATAATCGTCGTGCTACTCGTGAAGCCACCAAAGTTTGGACAATCGACCGGAAATATACACGGGTCGTCTCCTGTCCAGTTCAAAGTACCAAGTGGATAACCATATTCAATCAGATTACTCGGATGGGCACCGCCCTGGCCACCATCTTTGCGTGCCCATTTTGGCACTGGGCCAACTAAACGAATACCGCTTCGAGAAGCGTTGTGGGAGACCTTCCACTCGGTATTGTAGATTTGCTCAATGAATTTTGGATCGAAATAGCCTTCATCATGTGGACCAACCATGGCCCTAATCTCCCATTTCGACTTGTACACTAGGCGGAGATGCTCAGGAAGCGATATGCTTCTAAATGACTCTGGGAGTCTGTCTGTTATTTGCAGCAAGTCACCCGGTGCAAGCGCGCGTCCCTGGTATCCCCCAATAGCAACAAGCGGCGACGTCGATTTCGAGCCAAAGTAATCTGCCACTGACGGAAACCCGCCATAGATGGCTAGATAAGAGCGGCATCCACCACCAGTTGTCTTTCCAATCTTGAGTTTCTGTCCAGCCTCAATCTTTACGCTTGTCCACATGGGAAACACGTTGTCGTCCAGGGTTGCTTCCATTGGTGCACCACACAGAGCTACGATGGCCGGACCTACGAATCGCAGCTCGGGCCCCGTCAAGGTGAGTTCTAGGGCTTCTTTTGTCCGAGGATTTCCTACAAGCATGTTCGCAATTTGGAAGGCTATTGGATCCATTGGTCCGGAATGAGGTACACCTTTGCCGACTGTTGGTCTCGCTGGAAGGTCTTGGACAAGAGTGTATGCACCCGCTGATATCACGTCAATGGCATGGGGTGTGTAGGTGAGATCTTTGAGGAAACTAGTCATCGTGTTGCCTTTTTTGAATCGAGAATCTTCCAGGATACAGGCTAGGAATTCGAGGTTGGTTGGTGGTCCGCTTATAAGGGATTGTGTGAGGAGATCTTTCATTGAAGCGATTGCGTCGTCCCTGGATGAAGAATGAACCATTGCCTTGGCTATGAGGGGGTCTGTAAATCGTCAGTTTATGATCTAGTCTGAACATAGAACACAGGATGTCACATGTGCGAACATACCATAACTCGGCGTAATCCTCACACCCGTAAACACCCACGTATCAATGCGCCCACCAGGGACATCCTTCCACTGAACCTTCTGCAGCAGACCAGGCGAAGGAGCATAATCTCTAAGCGGATTCTCGGCATATATCCTCGCCTCAATAGCCGCTCCAGAAGGGCCCACAGGCTGCATATCTTTCAACGTCTTACCATCCAACCCATGTCTCCCAGCAAGCTGTGCATCTGCTTGCTTGAGCATAAGCTCTACCAAATCAACATTGTAGCACAGCTCTGTGATACCATGTTCAACCTGCAATCTCGTGTTCATTTCCAGGAAGAAAAAGTCCCCAGATTTATCATCGACCAAGTACTCAATCGTGCCCGCAGACCCATACTTGATTGACTCGGCGAGCCGCACAGCAGCATCACCCAGCTTCTTGCGCAAATCGGGGTGTCTCTCAACAAATGGACTCGGACACTCTTCAATAACCTTTTGGTGGCGGCGCTGGATGGAGCATTCTCGCTCGCCAAAATGTATCGCTTGACCCTGGCCGTTGCCAAAGACCTGGACTTCAATATGGTAGCTGGCCGGATAAAAGGCCTCGATAAAAACCCCGGGGTTCTTAAACAGTGTTTTGCCTCTTGATTGAACCATGCGAAATCCATCCCGCACCTCTTCGACCTTGTTGCATGTGATAAGTCCCATACCACCGCCTCCCCCCGTTGCCTTGAGCATAACAGGAAATCCGATACGCTCAGCTTCTTTCGCAGCTTCTTCTTCATTTTCAACCAGGCCTTTCGTTCCAGGTGCAATGGGCACGTTCGCCGCCTCTGCAAGTTCCCTTGCAGTATGCTTGATGCCAAACGCTTCAATCGCCTCAGGCGACGGTCCCACCCACGCAATCCCTGCATCACCAACTAGTCGCGCGAAATCTGCATTCTCTGATAGAAATCCGTAGCCGGGGATGATAGCATCTGCACCTTTGTCTTTTGCTATTTGCAACACGGCATCTGCGTCTGTATACGCTGTTGCATTGCTGCCTGGAAGCAGTACTGCTTCATCTGCATCTCGCACATGCTGCGACGCAGCGTCGGCCTCGGAGTAGATGGCGATAGTCTTAATATTGAGCTTCTTTGCCGTCTTACAGATGCGGACCTATATCATACATTCATGTCAAGTCAGTTAACTTTGTATCGATACAAACCAAAATCCTTGCGCCGATTGTGAATCTTGTTACTCTCTGTCATACATACCGCGATCTCGCCACGATTCGCAATAAGCAGCGTCTTTAGCTTCTCCATCTTATAAAATAACCATTAAATAATTACCCAAACATTTACAAATGTTGCATCATGTTATCCGTCGTGAGGAGAGGACCACTTTATCGACGTCGCGTCGTTGGAGCCCCATCTACCATCAGCACCGTACCATCTCCAAGAAACCCCGCCTTCCCCTTCCGCCTCCCTCCGTATCCGCGGGAGACCCTCAACCCCTCTCGTAGTTGGAGACGAATCTTTTGAAATTGGCGCGCGGCACACGCCGCACATGGCTGCATTGGGTAATGTCGAAACGACACGGGATGTCTACGTCAGCGGGGTACGTACAACAGAGAAGCGGGGTCGATAACAAAGTTTGGAGACAATGACGCTGCAGGTGTGACGGGTGAGTGGAGTAAGAGTGGAGACACTTGTAGGATGATAGTGCTAGATTCCGAGAATGTTTAATTTATATTACTTTACTTGACTGCGTGTACTACTTTATCGGACGTTTGTTGTACATACTTACCTCGAGCGTTTTTACCAAAGAGAAACACGCTACCACGCAACAATGCCAGCGATCAAGCACCCCGTAAAGCTCAACGTCGATCTAGGCGAAGGATACGGAAACTTCAAATGCGGACCAGATGAAGAGTTAATCCCACTAATTGACCATGCAAACGTAGCATGCGGCTTTCACGCAGGGTGAGTCCCCTTTCAAAAAAAACCCCCCCTCCACCCTCCATTTCCCCACTCTCCATCTCCACTAAATCCTCAACAACGCCCCCCTCCAAGAACAAAAATGTAGACTTTCACATACACCTAACGCAAAACCAATGAAAAATCAGCGACCCTCTAATAATGCACCGCACAATCCTCCTCTGCAAATCCCATAACATCCTCGTTGGCGCACACCCGGGCCTCCCCGACATCCAAGGCTTCGGGCGCCGCGAAATCTCCATGACGCCCGAAGAACTCACAGCGTTAACGCGCTACCAAGTCGGGGCCTTACAAGCCTTTCTCGACGCCGAAGGCATG